ACCTACCCACGTTCCGAGGTTATCGCCCTATTACGCCACCCCCTATATAACCTCGTGCCTTTCATTGCAATAGCAACCTTGGATTCTCATGTTATAATTCATTGAAATTTCCTATATCATAACAGCTGGTATCAGAGCCTGAGCTTTCAGGAACCTTCCGTTTTCCCGTTTAATTAGTTAAGGGTGGTCAGAGGGGATTAGCACGGCTGCACAGAAGTTGTCTTCGATCGTAAATATTTTTACGTCAACAACTACAGCGTGTGCGCTAGCTTCTGCCCCGTCCTGACCGCCATGGCCCCGGTAGATTCGACGATTGAGGAACAGTCCACCTCGACTGCTGCGAACCCTGTCCGGGAAACTGTGGACCTGCAAGCATTAATAGAGCAATTGAATAATTTGACAAGCGTCGTCAACAACCTCCGCGACGAGAACCAACGACTTCGCCAGGCGTATGAGAGGCGTTCGGAGGAGCCGGGCGACGATGCACGAAGCAAGGCGGATGAGCAGCAACCGTTGCCAGTGGAGCTGGCACGACTAGCGGCAACAGCCCCGCGCTCGACAAGTGGCGGCATGAGATATCAGCAACCTGCTCCTTTCGACCCAGCTAATAAAGACGTGACGGTGCGGCAGTGGATATTCGTCATGAATATCTATTTTAATGCGGCGGGCATCCGAGACGATCAGAAACAGATCAGCCACGCGTTAACACTGTTGCAAGGGGCCGCCCTACAGTGGTGGAAGGTTATCGTCGACTCAGCGACAACTTGCACAGAAGGACAGCATGAGTGGTCCGAAGAATTCGGCGACGAAGACGAGGCAGATTTGTTGTTTGGTGCGACCCACATTCGCACGTGGGCAACGTGGTATACAGAGCTTCACAAACGGTTTGAGCATGCTCCTGACTCAGACAAAGCATGCGAGACTCTACGCATGTGAAAGCAGCTGGGATCTGTGTCCGAGTACACCGCGTCATTCTTGACGTTGGTGGACAGATGTGGCTACATGCACGAGTTGGAGAAGGTTGACAGGTACATGGGCGGTCTGAATCCTGAAATACAGTACCAGATAAAATTGCAACGCCCTGCGAAGCGGTTACATGACTTCATCCAGCTCGCCGAAGCCGCAGATTCGCTCACGAAGCCGAGGACAAACTTCTACGACGGAGGTCGCCCTCGAGAAGAGTACCAGCGCGCCACGATAAAAGGGGTGGACGCAGTGGATATTTACACAGTTGCTCCGCGAAATACGGGGATATGCTACCACTGTGGCCGGCCGGGTCACATCCGACGAAACTGCCAATAATTCATAGCCCTCCAGAATTCTATGGGGAAGAAGCCGGAGGAGCGACCGGGAAATGGGTCGCGTCAGTAAGTACTGGGCCCCTTACTGACGGGCAGGCTTCTTCGTCCGAGCCACACAGTCCCCACCGGGTCGTGATCCCGTTTGCTACAATCGACTGGACCCGGACGAATAAGGGGGACGAAACTGCTGATCACCCTGTGTTGGTGGAGGGTAAAGTCAACGGAGTGTTATTGAATATTTTCGTTGATGGAGGCGCGAGTCATAGTCTCATACAGCCGGACAGGGCTAAAAAATTGGGTATACCCTTACTCAAGTGTCTACCCGGAATCGACGCCCGACTAGTGGATGGAACACCGCTGGCAATACAGGAACGAGTGGAGAACGTCAGTTTTCATTGCGGGGAGCATGTAAAATTTCGGATGGGGCTGCTGGCGACTACTCTCGACGGGTGCACCGTGCTGCTGGGATGTAATTGGTTGCGACAATACAATCCGAAGATCGACTGGACGACGGGCGGCTGTAGCATGGAATTTTCAGGGAACTCTTTGACAAATGCGTCATTATCTACCTCGACGACATACTAATCTACATCCGCAGCAGGGAGCAACACTTACAGGATCTTGATGCAGTCTTCACACTGCTGCACAAGAATCGCCTCATCACGAAAGGGTCTAAGTGCGACTTTCTTAAGCAGGAGTTGGAGTTTTTGGGCCACATCGTCTCTACCGAAGGAGTGAAAATCGACCCCAAGAAAATCAAGACCATACAGGAGTGGAAGCCGCCAAGCAACATCAAAGAACTGCAAAGTTTTTTGGGTTTCGTCAACTACGTCCGCCGGTTTATCCTAAATATGGCTGGGTTATCTGCCCCGCTAACCGACCGACTCAAAGATCACGATTGTTTTTGGTGGGGAGAGAAGCAGCAAGCTGCATTCGACCAACTGAAGATCGCCCTCACGTCGCCGCCCGTCCTTCGCATCTCAAATCCTGAGTGTCCATACGAAGTCATAACTGACGCCAGCGACATCGCCATCGGTGCATTTCTCCTACAGGATTTCGGCGACGGATTTCAGCCGGTCGCCTACGAATCACGGAAGCTGCAGGGCGCGGAAAAAAACTATACGGTACACGAGAAGGAAATGCTGGCGATCGTCCACGCGTTCAAGACCTGGCGGTGCTATCTGACAGGCGCTGACGGCACTGTGCGGACCGACCACAAATCCCTCCAGTACCTGCGAGCCCAACCGAATCTCAACCCACGACAGATCCGATGGCTCGATTTCCTCGAGTCGAATTTCCACTATACCATTACCTACAAACGGGGCGCCAACAATATTGCCGATGCCCTGACTCGACCGACACTGCCCATACAACCGCCATACTAGTCGCCCAGACCAGCCCATAACTTACTGGACTATTTACCCACGGCTACAAAATTGACCCCTTCTTCCGCTCTGCTATTCATCAACAACATACCACCGCCACCGGACACTATTTTAATAAGTGCGACACTTCCCGCATCTGGGTGCACGGCTATGATTTACTTCGTACCTTTGTAATACAGGAATCCCACGACAACCCTACCTCCGGGCATTTCCGAGTCGACAAAACTATGAAGACGTTGCAGCGCAACTATTATTGGCCGAACATGGCCGACGATGTGTGCAGGTACGTGTCCTCCTGCACCGCCTGCCAGATCATGAAATCCTCCCATCAGCGAACAGCCAGACTACTACAGCCGTTGGATCCGCCCTAGCGACCCTGGCAACACATTACGATGGACTACGTGACAGGACTGCCGGTCTGTCCCAGCAGAAACGACGCCATCCTCGTGGTCGTTGACCGACTCACGGAAATGGCGCACTTCATCACTTGCCAACAGACAATTATAGCTGAGGAAACTGTCCAACTGTTCATCGCCAACGTCATTCGACTGCACGGACTGCATACTGCAATTATTTCTGACCGAGACTCGAAATTCACATCGAATTGCTGGCGCCACCTGTGGGACTAGTTCGGCACCAAACTACTGTTTTCCTCCGCCTACCACCCACAGACCGACGGGCAGACCGAACGAGTCAACCAAACTATGGAGCAACTCATTCGGAGTACATATACTGACCCACAGACATGGGAGAAATCCCTTCCGCTGCTAGAATTCGCGTATAATAACGCGCCCTCCGCCACAACCCATCAGTCCCCATTTTTCCTCAACTACGGACAGGACCACGTGGTACCCTCTACCCCGAACATCGAGACACCCGTGCCCCGGTCCCAGAAATTTGTTGAAGACATTCTCGCCGCTCGATAAAAGGCAGCTGAGGCAATCAGGAAAGCCAACCTGGTCGCAAGTCGACAAGCCGATCGCCATCGACGTGACGTCACTTACAAAGTGGGAGATCTCGTCCTACTCGACATTCGCAATTTGCGGCTGCCGATCCCGAGCAAACTCCGACCCGGATTCTGTGGGCCCTTTCAAGTGACAAACATGGTGACACCTGTCACTTCTCACCTCCGACTCCCGGCCGATTGGCGTCACCACCCGGCTTTCCACGTCAGCCTCTTACGGCCCTACGTCCCCAGTTCGTCGGAATTGGCACGCCAACGCGGTGTACCGCAGCTGACACCCATGCAGAAACCGACGACCGAGCCCTTGAAAATTCTCGGCCATCGGGTCACGACGCAGCTGAACCGTCGGATGGTTGATTTTCTCGTCCGCTGGCGCGATCGCACGTTAGAAGATGACAGCCGGGTGCCGCTCGCTGAGCTAGTAACACACCCGATTCTAACAGTGTATTATCAGCGTCGGAATGTTTCCGATGCCCGCGGTCTCGTTTAGGGGGGGGCGGGGTAGTGCAAGGAATTTCCATTCCTTACTGAATCGTACGCTAGCGCATACATCCGAACTCCTCGACTCGTCACGTTCGGCCTCATTTATCGGCCCAACCTTTTCCCGAGTCGCGTCCGGCACTGTCGCCACATTGCCGAACCTACCCACGTTCCGAGGTCATCGCCCTATTACGCCAACCCCTATATTACATCGTGCCTTTCATTGCAATAGCGACCTTGGATTCTCACGTTATAGTTCATTTACATTTCCTATATCATAACACTCTGGGTGCTGCTCTCGTCACGACGCCGCCGTTTTTCCAACCAATATCCGTGGCTGAGCCAGGCAAACATCACTGTCGCGTAAGGGTCCATTCTAGAGCTTGTGTCTGACACTAGTATCATACGGGAACACCCGAGGTTTTTAAAAAAAAGCCTCGGGTCTTACGACTCCTGACTGCTGCTTGACTGGAAACACACCGTTCGCATACAAACCTACCGGACTAGAAGTGGCGCAATTGCATCGCCCGCCAATGTACACCTCCCAATTTGCTTTGCGATAACACTGTGCGGTTTCTGTATATCGTCAACTCGTTTTGCGACTTTCTGCACCTCTGTAGGCGCACGACCGTCAAAGTCATTAGACCCAAGGTTGGGCCTCTAAACCCCGCGGCTCCTTCGACCGCGGGTCAGCCTCGGGTCAGACCCGAGGTGCAGCATTAACTCTAAATTGTACGGCCCCGATCAGTCCGATCTCCTATCTCCCGCCAGCCAGCCTGGGGATCGGTTTCTCGGTCTGGGGACTGCCCCCTTTAGTCTTGTGAAGGAGACTTATGCAGGGTGGGGGGGGTCGGCTGAACACCCAACAGCCATGTTGTGGTGGCCTTGGGACTGTCAACCCGAGAGCTGATTTTTATTGCCGCGCGGAATTCTGCTCTGCTCTGCTCGTAGGAGTCTCTCCACGGCGCTTTCTATGGCCGTTCTGCTGCTGGGGAGCCAATGAGTGCTCTCGGGCTGATCATCGCTTGTGATCGGTTCGAATAAGCGGGGCTGCACTCTTGCCGCCGACCCTCCCGCGCATCCTTCACGCAATTCCAGTTCGCTTATATCGCGAATCGTTCTTCAGGCTGCTTTTCCGTCTCTCATTTTCCTTTCACTCCAACCTTAGCCGGGACTATTGGATTGGAATCTTAGCAACTTTAGCGACTATTGCGACTATTCGTCCGTTATCTGCATAGACCGCCATGGACGACCTAATATCGCTGGGCGAGACGTTACAGCAGGCATCGTCGGCTCTCGTGGGGGACGATATCCAAGCCGACCCTCGCTCGGGGTCTGCTCCCGTCATCCAGCTGCTGGTCGTCGGCGCACCGGTACGACGCTCGTTGGGTCGACTCAATAGAGCGGCACTCGTTATAACAGCAGGACACCGCGCGACACCGCTTTTGTCCTGTCATCCAGCGGTTGGTCTTAGAAGTACGATGCTCTTTGAGTCGGCACAGAGGTACGGCGTTCGTTAGAACACTCGGACACCGCTTTGCTCGCGTCATCCAGCTGTTGGTCGACGGCGTGACGATGCTGTATCTTGGCGTCTAAGCATACGCACAGTAGCATGATGCCTTACCGTACGACGCTCGATCATGATGCCTTACCGTACGACGCTCGATCATGATGCCTTACCGTACGACGCTCGATCATGATGCCTTACCGTACGACGCTCGATCATGAAGCCTTACCGTACGGCTCTCGATCATAGTGCTTTAGCGTATGAATCTCGATCATGACGTTCGTAGTGCACGACACTCACTTAGAAGTAGGCCGTCGCTTTTCATTACGGGTCGTCGAAATTCTCTTCCCACACTTTTCCTTCGCCCTTTTCTCGAGAGTTGTCCATGTGGTACTTAATCAGCTTCAGTCTTCATTCCTTCGGGGCCTCGTCCCTTCGCGTCCTCATCCCTTCGCGGCCTCGCCCCTTCGCTTTCCCGTGATTGGCTACAGGGATCCGGAAAGTCGGCCGTTCTCAACACGCTCATCGGCCATGCTGTTCTGGTATGTCTGCTTTTTTAGGGTGATTCCCGAGGTGCTTAAAACATCCGTTCTGATGCGTCTGCCATCGTCTAGTTGAGCCATTGAATCAATCAAATTCTCCTGAAGAACACGCCGGCGACCGACTCTGAGCGCACACTCATCGCCCTCGACAGCTCCTTAAATGGCTGCGACATTGCCACCCTCCATCAGTTGCCTGCTGCGTCTCATTGTACCATTCAACGCGTGCAAGCCTGACGTCGTCTGCTATTTTTTCTCCCGTTGGTCACTGCCTGTCGTGCTCCTGAATCTACCTGCCATATCGCTCACTGCAGCCAACGGGAGAGGGCGGATGCACGCGCTTCCCTGTGCTCGTTGATTTGCACCGAGACCAGAACCTGTCCGCTGGTGCTGTGCGGGGGAATCTCGGTGCCAGAACCAACATGCCTAAGCCGTGTAAGCGCAATAACCAACATGCCTAAGCCGTGTAAGCGCAATAACCAACATGCCTAAGCCCTGTAAGCGCAATAACCAACATGCCTAAGCCGTGTAAGCGCAATAACCAAGATGCCTAAGCCCTGTAAGCGCAATAACCAACATGCCTAAGCCCTGTAAGCGCAATAACCAACATGCCTAAGCCGTGTAAGCGCAATAACCAACATGCCTAAGCCCTGTAAGCGCAATAACCAAGATGCCTAAGCCCTGTAAGCGCAATAACCAACATGCCTAAGCCGTGTAAGCGCAATAACCAACATGCCTAAGCCCTGTAAGGGCAATAACCAACATGCCTAAGCCCTGTAAGCGCAATAACCAACATGCCGAAGCCCTGTAAGCGCAATAACCAACATGCCGAAGCCCTGTAAGCGCAATAACCAACATGCCGAAGCCCTGTAAGCGCAAGGACCTTAGGATGGCTCGTTCATGTCTACACTGGTTCCCTATTTTTGCCTTTTGACAGAGTTGAGAAAAGTTATTGTGCTATTGGGTACTTGACTGAAGGGGGTGTTCATTCTTGACATTCCCTAAGGACTCGTCACTTCGCCCTGTGGTGTTCCCCTCCTCTGGGTGCAGTGGAGATCCGGCAAGCGCTGCAGTCGGACATGAGCAAAGCCAAGGGGTCGCCGAGGAACAGAGAGGAGGCCCTCTGATCGGTTTTACACCGCCCCCTCCCACTGATCACCCCTTCCCCCCTGTGGTGCTTCCCTGGGTGCAGCGGAGATCCGGCAAGCATTGCAATCCGACATGAGCAAGGCCAAGGGGTCGTGGAGGAACCGAGAGGAGGCGCAGCTCATCCTGCTTTGCTCTCACCACTCAGTCTGTTCTCTTCTCCCCATGTGCTTCTTTGGGTGCAGCGGAGATCCGGCAAGCGCTGCAGTCGGACATGAGCAAGGCCAAGGGGTCGTCGAGGAACAGAGAGGAGGCGCAGCTCATCCTGCGCTCCCCAATAGGTGCGTCCCCTTCCCTCCCCTCAGCTCAGCCTCTTGGGATTCTGTCGGTTGCGTTTGCATGCATGCAGGTGTCAAAATCCCTCGTCCTATTGGCTTGACTAGTATCTTAAACTCTTAATGGTGTGCTCCTTCCCACTTCTTTCCCTGATTGTCTATCGGCTCCCCATCCATCCACCTCCCCTCTCCGGGCCCACCTCTCTTTATACCCCTCCCCTCAAGCTAACGCTTTGTCTCCCTTCTCTCCATTCCTTTTGCTTTCTTTTTTATCAATCACCATTGTCCATTCTCCCCACATTCCGATGACCCCCGCCCCGCTGACCCCCTTATTCCCCAACAGCCCCACCAATGCGCATCATTGACCTGCCGGGAGTCGAAAAGGCATCTCAAATGGACGGAGCAGTAAGCCATCCATCCCACTGTCATGCTGGCTTGATTTTTTCTTACCTAGTTGTCTTGTTTAGTCTTGTTTCCGTTTGTGTTGGCTTTGTAATTGGTTTTAGTGGGGCATGGCTGCTCTCTTATTTATTCCTGTGCCTTAAACTTGAAACGTTCAGTTCCAGGACAATGTGTCCAACAACGATGCAGTCATCCTGGTGGTGGTGGTGTCCGCCACAGCAGTCAAGACCCCCTCAAGATCCTCCAGGTTGCTCACATGATGCTCCCACTGTGTCCCATGCGTGCAGTTCCAGGACAATGTGTCCAACAACGATGCAGTCATCCTGGTGGTGGTGGTGTCCGCCACAGCAGTCAAGACCCCCTCAAGATCCTCCAGGTTGCTCACATGATGCTCCCACTGTGTCCCATGCGTGCAGTTCCAGGACAATGTGTCCAACAATGATGCAGTCATCCTGGTGGTGGTCTCTGCCACAGCAGTGAAGGACTCCCTCAAGATCCTCCGCATCGCACACGATATCGACAGAGAAGGTGAGTGGACGGGGACACGATATCGACAGAGAAGGTGAGTGGACGGGGACACGATATCGACAGAGAAGGTGAGTGGACGGGGACACGATATCGACAGAGAAGGTGAGTGGACGGGGACACGATATCGACAGAGAAGGTGAGTGGACGGGGACACGATATCGACAGAGAAGGTGAGTGGACGGGGACACGATATCGACAGAGAAGGTGAGTGGACGGGGACACGATATCGACAGAGAAGGTGAGTGGACGGGGACACGATATCGACAGAGAAGGTGAGTGGACGGGGATACGATATCGACAGAGAAGGTGAGTGGACGGGGACACGATATCGACAGAGAAGGTGAGCGAACACAATTATATCGAGGTGCTTCGGGTTCAGAAATTGCCACAGCAGTCAAGGACTCCCTCAAGATCCTCCGGATCGCACATGAAATTGACAAAGAAGGTTAGAGAACAACTTCAAGTTGCGGTGCTCCCAGCCCAGGTTAGACATTGTTTTGGAGTTTTTGGAGGAGTGATTGATTTGAAGCCGTTCATTTAAAGTTATTGATCTGAAGTACAAGGCGATGATGGGCAAGGCAGGGGAGAATACATAAGAGAAGAAACCGAGCACCACAGCACTCAGCCGAGATGGCTGCAGACCTGAAGCAGAGGAGACGTAAGACGCCGTTTCCGTTTCTCCTCACCGCAGTTGCAGACCGGTTACAGGTGTGAGGTCCATTGGAGTGATCACAAAATTCGACCAGGTGGTGAAGGACAGAGATGAAGCGAAGCTAGCAGTGGACCTGCTGTAGAGGCAGGGGGAGTTCAAAACACACTGGCTCCATTTCCACCGTGCATAACCCCTGCGCTATGCACACATGTGACCTCAGGAGTTCGAACGATCGGAGTGATCACGAAGTTCGACCAGGTGGTGAAGGGATGCAGCGAAGCTGGGCAGTGGACCTGCTGCAGAGGCAGGGGGAGTTCAAAACACAATGCTGTCATTTCCACCCTGCACAACCCACCCCCCTCCCGCTTCCAGGTGTTAGGACCATAGGAGTGATCACCAAGCTCGACCAGGTGGTGAAGGAGAGAGATGCAGCAAAGCTGGTGGTGGACCTGCTGCAGATGCAGGGCGCGGCCATGGCGCAGGACTACCCGTGGGTGGCCCGTAGGTGACCATGCCTCTTTTCATCCCCTCCCTGTTTGATTGACCCCAGGTGTGAGGACCATCGGAGTGATCACGAAGTTCGACCAGGTGGTGAAGGACAGGGATGCAGCGAAGCTCGCAGTGGACCTGCTGCAGAGGCAGGGGGCGGCCATGGCACAGGACTACCCGTGGGTGGCTGTGATTGGTCAGCCGCTGGGGGACAAGGACACGAATGAGCCCATGGATGGCGCGTGGCAGGAGGAGTTCAAGGTTCTCTCGCAGGTAAGAGTCGGCTCGTTTAAAATGAAATAGTTGATGGCTGTGTTGGGGAGCCGCTTGGGGACAAGGACAAGGACAAGGACAAGGACAAGGACAAAGGACAAGGAAAAGGGCAAGGACAAGGACAAGGACACGGACGGGGACAGGGACAAGGGACAAGGGACAGGGGACAGGGGACAGGGGACAGGGGACAGGGGACAGGGGACGGGGACGGGGGCAGGGCAGGACAAGGACAAGGACAAGGACAAGGACAAGGACAAGGACAAGGACAAGGACAAGGACAAGGACAAGAGGACAAGGACAAGTTCACGTAAGGAAAGTTCGCTCATTTCCCCCCTCCTGTTGCCAACTGGCCCTCCCTGCAGGTGATGCGGGCAAATGGAGTGAAGGGCATGGACACGCCCATGGGTCGGGACGCGCTGCTGCGGCTGATTGCTCGCACCGTGCGGCACAAGATGAAGGAGAAGATCCCCCGCATCATGTCCGCGTAAGTTCTCCTTCACCTCCACTCACTCATTCACTCACCCACTCTCACACACTCACCCACTCTCTTTCTGATCACACGATGAAGGAGAAGATCCCCCGCATCATGTCTGCGTGAGTTTTCCCTCCCGCTCGTGTATTTACACGGTACTTACTGCAACTCTAAATCATTATCCTTCTTTCTTGTTCCACACCCTCCCCCCCCTCCCTCCTCCCCCCGCCACCCCCCCTTCCTTCATCAGCTTGGAGGGTCGGTCCCAGGAGGTGGACGCTGAGCTACTCAGGCTGGGCGACTCCCTCATCTCCAGCCTCAATGGCTCCACCTGTGTTGGAGATGTCCCTTCTACCTCAACCCCCAAATGTTCCCTCCCCTTCCTTCTCATGAGCTTGGAGGGTCGGTCCCAGGAGGTGGACGCTGCTGAGCTACTCAGGCTGGGCGACTCCCTCATCTCCAGCCTCAATGGCTCCACCTCCTGTGTTGGAGATGTCCCTTCTACCTCAACCCCCAAATGTTCCCTCCCCTCCCTTCCCATCAGCTTGGAGGGTCGGTCCCAGGAGGTGGACGCTGAGCTACTCAGGCTGGGCGACTCCCTCATCTCCAGCCTCAATGGCTCCCGCGCCCTCGCCCTGGAGCTCTGCCGTGGCTTTGAGAACAAGTTCTGCGAGCATCTGGACGGCAGTGAGGTGAGGTGGTGTTGCAGGTGGCTTGCAGCCTGCAGGTGGTATTTGGAAGGGTTTGGAGTGGCCGATGTTCGTGTCACCACCGTGCGTCCTCGCCCTGGAGCTGTGCCGCGGCTTTGAGAAGAAATTCTGCAAGCACCTGGACGGCAGTGAGGTGAGGTGGTGTGGGTTAATGAGTAGAAAAGTTTAAAGAGGATTCGGGTTTTGGAATCGATGAAAGTGATTCGTTCCCGCGCCCTTGCCCTGGAGCTGTGCTGCGGCTTTGAGAAAAAGTTCTGCGAGCATCTGGACGGCAGCGAGGTGAGCACCTGGACGGCAGCGAGGTGAGGCGGTGGGGGGTAGTGGTGCAGATGAGAGGTTCGAGCCTCGAGGTGGGTACTTGGTGATCACCCCAATCGTTCTCCCGCTGAGGGCTCCTTCTCTGACCATATGTGGGGCTTTTAGCGATATGCTCAAACCCCGTATGCAGGCCCATCCCTGCGTTCGGCGTCCACCCGTGTAGGGCGGTGGATCGCGAATGGTGGAGAAGTTCATTGGCATGCTGCCTCCCCGCTTCAGAGGGGCTCCCTCTTCGACCACTTATACTACCACCTGCTCTCAGCTTTGAATAACATGCTCAAACCCTGCTTGGGTTTCATCACACACTTCTTTTGCCTTCCACCTGTGCAGGGCGGGGGGTCTCAAATGGTGGAGAAGTTTGTCGGCACGCTGCCTCTCCGTTTCAGAGGGCTTCCTTTGGACGACACGTTCAGCTTCGATAATGTCAAGAAGGTGAGCTCTTGATGGTGCCCTTACTGCTACTGGGTGTGTTTTTTTCTCCCCCAGAGACCACCTCTGTACTACATGTTCAGCTTTGATCGCGTGAAGAAGGTGAGGCCGTGGTGGTGCCCTTCTGCTGCTGATTATGACAATGAGTTACGCTCTCTCAGATGGCCCCAAGGGAACTCTTCTCGCGTTGTAGACTTCTCTACTGAGTCCTGAGCATTCCCTTCCATTCATATTTACGTGTTTCGACGATTGTACCATCTAAGTCTTTCTCTCCCCACTGCGCCACCAGGTGGTGATGGAGGCGGATGGTTACCAGCCGTACCTGCTGTCGCCAGAGAAGGGCCTTCGTCTGCTCATCAAAAGAAGCCTGGAGCTGGCGAAGCAGCCGGGCATTGACTGCGTGGACGAGGTGAGATGGAGGGGTTGACCGGGGTTGACTTTGAGTGACTCCATCTGATGTCGTCTGCTCATCAGGAGTTGTATGGAGCTGGCCAAACAGCCGGGCATTGACTGCGTGCACCAGTTAAGGGATCGACTGGTTTTGACCTTCTGAAACAGGCTTGACTCTGGTCGCCTGCGATTGCTTTTGAGGCGCCTCAAAAGCGATTGACTGGTTTTGACCTTCTGAAGCAGGCTTGACTGCGATCTCGACTGGTTGCCTGCGATTTAGTAGCCTGGGATATGTGGCCAAGTGAACGGGACTGACGAGTCTAAAAAGTGACACAGGGCGAGAGGGGAGGCGAGAGGTGAGGCGAGAGGTGAGGCGAGAGGTGAGGCGAGAGGAGAGGCGAGAGGTGAGGCGAGAGGTGAGGCGAGAGGTGAGGCGAGAGGTGAGGCGAGAGGTGAGGCGAGAGGTGAGGCGAGAGGTGAGGCGAGAGGTGAGGCGAGAGGTGAGGCGAGAGGTGAGGCGAGAGGTGAGGCGAGAGGTGAGGCGAGAGGTGAGGCGAAAGGTGAGGCGAGAGGTGAGGCGAGAGGTGAGGCGAGAGGTGAGGCGAGATGTGAGGCGAGGGTGAGGCGAGAGGTGAGGCGAGGGGTGAGGCGAGAGGTGAGGCGAGAGGGGAGGCGAGAGGTGAGGCGAGAGGGGAGGCGAGAGGAGAGGCGAGAGGTGAGGCGAGAGGTGAGGCGAGAGGTGAGGCGAGAGGGGAGGCGAGAGGTGAGGCGAGAGGTGAGGCAAGAGGTGAGGCGAGAGGTGAGGCGAGAGGTGAGGCGAGAGGTGAGGCGAAAGGTGAGGCGAGAGGTGAGGCGAGAGGTGAGGCGAGAGGTGAGGCGAGATGTGAGGCGAGGGTGAGGCGAGAGGTGAGGCGAGGGGTGAGGCGAGAGGTGAGGCGAGAGATGAGGCGAGAGGTGAGACGAGAGGTGAGGCGAAAGGTGAGGCGAGAGGTGAGGCGAGAGGTGAGGTGAGGCATGGGGCTGAATTTGACTTGGTTAGAATGGTTCCGCTCACATTGTTGTTTTCCATAAGCAGCCAGAGGTGGACCCGTTTCACTCTTGGCATGTGGTGCGTTGCCTTGCCTTCACCCTGCAGTCTTGCTTCCACAATTCCCATCTTCCGGCCATGCCACATCGATGCGCCCCTCCCTGCCATGCCATGTAGTTGCCGGTGGTTTTTTATGAATCTAGAAAGCCACCTGCATGCCATCATGCATGCATGCCATGTCCTGTTGATGGGCTTCGTCTCCCTACCGTGCCATGCCATCATGCCACAAACATTTTTGAGGCGCCTAAAAAATAGACTCCCTACCGTGCCATGCCATCATGCCACAACCATGCATGCACGCATGCAGGTGCACAAGATCCTCGTTGACATCGTTGCAGCTGCGGCATCGCAAGCTCCTTCGCTCGTTCGCTTCCCACCGATGAAGAGAGAGGTACACTCCCCGTCGACCCCCCTACCTGCCCATTTCTCAGGTTTTTATCAATGAGCACGACCACTTGAGAGAGAGAGAAAATATTGATTTGCTTTCATGCCACTTCCCACCATTGAAGAGAGAGGTACACTGCCCCTTGAGCGCCCCCCCCCCCCCTCCCCTCTCTCCCGCCCTCTCCTTTTCCCATCACCCCCTCGCCTCCCCTTCTCTGTCCCCCTCCCCCTCTCTCCCCATGCCCCCTGGCCTCCTTTGGTCCCTTTTTTTCCTCGCTCGCCCCCTCCCTTTCCCCATTCTCCTTTCATCATGTCTATCGTAGTGAAAGGGCCCTGCCCTGGCCCTGCCCTGGCCCACTATGTCTTTTCTCTTTTCCCCACTATGTCCCCTGGCCGGTCATTGTCGACATGGAGACGGGCTCAGGGGCCCTGGATCCTCTCCACTCCCTTCCCCTCCTGCCTCCCCTTCCCACCCCTCTCCCCTTCCCACCCCTCTCCCCTTCCCACCCCTCTCCCCCCCCCCCCCTTAACCATTCAACACCCGTTCCTCTCACATAATCAGCTGGTGGCCATAGCATCAGCTGCCCTAGACGAGTACCGAGCTGAGGCCAAGCGCATGGTGACGGCCATAGTGGACATGGAGAAGGGCTTCGTGCCGCCTGCTCATTTCATAGAGGCCGAATACAAGCGGTGAGCTGGTCAAAGGTGACTTCAGCCGGTGAGCTGATCAAAGCAAGGTTTCATGGCCCGTTGAGTGTGGACGGGACGGCCATGGTGGACATGGAGAAGGGCGTCGTGTCCCCCTCTCACCTCATAGAGGCCGAGTACAAGAGGTGTGCTGGGGGTGTGGGGGGGGGGAGAAGAAAGGGGGGGGGGGGGATGTGAGGGGAACGCAAAAGGTGAGCTGGGGGGATGTGCAGGGGGATTTAGGAGGAATACGATTGGTGAGGTACCGCCCTGGCACTTCGTAGGGGTGGAATACAAGAGGTGAGCTGCTGCAAGTGGGAGTATACACAATTTCAGTTCAGGCAAGCGTATAGCGTTTATACACGATAAGCCAAACGCCCGGAATATGCTATATGCTCCGCAGATTTTCCCAGGCTGCCCCGGAAACCAAAAAAAAAAAAAGGCCAGAGTGCGATTTGGGAAATTCAGCCGTATTACCGCGAATGTCAAAATCTGCTCCCGGATTCAACTTCCAACCACCAAACCCCCGCCCCCCCCCCCCCCCAACCGCACTGAACCTGATCGCATCTAGGAAACCCAATTTCCCCCTCTAATGTGCTCTACGTGAGAGAAGGATCGCGATCATCACGCCATCCGTCTCACATCAAATCCGCATTCCTCATTTCACGCGAGTGACTTGGACTAGCCTCCGTTTCTACTCCTTAACTTATGTGTAATGAGTCGATTTTTGAGTCGACTCAAAAATCTCGCCAAGCTAAGCACCGATAAATCTAGTGCTGCTACCTTTCACTGCTCCCCCCCTCCCTTTCCGCTGCCCTCTCTCCTCCCTCTCTCCTCTCTCTCCCGCCTCTTCTGCCCTTCAGGCAGGAGAAGCTGTGGAGGGATTTGGAAGTGGCTCGCAAGGGCTTGCAGGATCGAGGCGTACTCTCCCGCTCAGTGAGTGCTCTTCTCCGTCTCTCTTTCCTTCTGTGAGTGGTTTCCGACTCTCACTCGGTGAATGCTCTCCTTTCTCGCAATGTTTTCCCTTCCGATCACTGCATGCTCTCCCCCGTTTCTTCACTGATTACTGCCCACGCTCGTTCTCCGTCTACAACTTACAGACAGTGGTGGTGGTGCCCGTTTAAGAGGCGCCACAAAAATGGATTGCTGCCTACTCTCGCTCTCCCTCTTCAACCTACAAACGGTGGTGGTGGTGCCCGTTTTACCTCAGCCATGTCATCATTCACCCGCTAGAAAGAGCCTCCTCCCCCTCTCCCAATCTCTTTCCATCTCTTTTTCTCACGCTCCCCCCACTCCTTCTCACACTCCCCCCTCTCCTTCTCACACTCCCCCCTCTCCTTCTCACAATCCCCCTCTCAAGCGGTCCGTGTATTAATGGGCAAGCAAAGTACATCCGGGCAGTGGTGGAGACAGTGGTGGTGGCTGCTTTGCCTCGGCCATGTCATCATTCTCCCGCTAGAGAGAGCCTTTCCCCCTCTCCCACTCCCTTTCCCTCTCTCTCTTTCTCACCCTCCCTTGTTCTTTCCCCCCCGTCCTCCCACACCTCCCTCCCCTCCCCAGTTGACTGGAGACAGTGGCGGTGGCCGCTTTACCTCGGCCATGTCGTCATTCTCCCGCAAGAAGGAGCCTCCTCCCCCTCCACCTTCTGTTGACGCCTCGCAGCCCCTGGGTCCAGTCAAGGAGCTTGCAGGTGCTGTGGTCGGCTGCCGTGTGGTGGGATGGGATGGGATGGGATGGGATGGGGTGGGATGGGATGGGATGGGATGGGATGGGATGGGATGGGATGGGATGGGATGGGGTGGGATGGGATGGGATGGGATGTAATGTGTTCTGTCCCATGCCATGCCATGCTGTGTCATGCCATGCTGTGCCATGCCATGCCATGCCATGCTGTGCCATGCTGTGCCATGCCAGGCCATGTCATTCCATGCCATGTTATGGTTTCAGAAACCTCAGTGCGGGTGCTTGAGCTATGTCATTTACTCGAATCATTCTCCAAAAGAAAAAGTATGCGTGCTTTCTTCTACGATGCCAGCTTGACTTCGGCAAATCTTGCCCTCTCCACCCAGTTTGGATGAGGGCTCTTTGCTTGCTAATTTCTCCCTTTCGGACCCCGTTTTGACTGCATCTAACATAGAGCCCTTCCTGGTTCGGGCGTTATTGTTGGCTGTCATCATGTAATCATGTCATCTCATCACGTCATCATGTCATCATGTCATCATGTAATCATGTCATCATGTCATGTCATCATGTCATGTCATCATGTCATCATGTCATGTCATCATGTCATCATGTCATGTCATCATGTCATGTCATCATGTCATCATGTCATCATGTCATCATGTCATCATGTCATCATGTCATCATGTCATCATGTCATGTCATGTCAGGGTTCCTCTGGAAAGTGATTTCCAAGGGAGGGTGCTTTTGAGCCGACCGCCCACCTGACGCCTCGTCATGTGTTCCTCACGTGTTCTGAGGTGTCTTTTGAGTCGACTCAAAAGCCACCTGACGCCTCGTCATGTGTTCCTTACGTGTTCTGTCATCATGTCATGTCAGGGTTCCTTTGGAAAGTGAGCTCCAAGGGAGGGTGGAGCAAGCGGTGGTTCGCACTCAGCGACAAGACAGCCCGGGTACGGAGAGTGCAAAGCGTGCTGTGCAATTTGCACAGTGCATTCTGTACAGTGCACTATGTACAGTGCACTCTGTACAGTGCACACTGTACAGTGCATCTGTACAGTGCAATCTTTACGGTGCAATCTGTACGGTGCAATCTTGCAGTGCAATCTGTCCAGGGCATTGCGCATAGTGCAATATGTGTGTCGCACAGTGGACAGAAGGTAGTGAACAAATGAGCCAATTGCGTGCTTGTCTGTTTTACTGCCATCGCTGCTCTTTCCCCCTCTTGCCCCTTGTTCCCCCCCTCACCCCCGCTTTCTCCCACGCTTTCCCTAACTTCTCGTATCCTCACCCCTCAAGCACCCTCACCCCTCAGGCACCCCACCCCTCAAGCACCCTCACCCCTCAGGCACCCCACCCCTCAGGCACCCCACCCCTCAGGCACCCCACCCCTCGTACCCTCACCCCTCGTACCCTCACCCCTCGTACCCTCACCCCTCGTACCCTCACCCCTCGTACCCTCACCCCTCGTACCCTCACCCCTCGTACCCTCACCCCTCGTACCCTCACCCCTCGTACCCTCACCCCTCGTACCCTCACCCCTCGTACCCTCACCCCTCGTACCCTCACCCCTCGTACCCTCACCCCTCGTACCCTCACCCCTCGTACCCTCACCCCTCGTACCCTCACCCCTCGTACCCTCACCCCTCCCTCAGCTTTACTATGTGAAGATGTCTGGTTGCAAATATCCCTCACTTGCCTATCCTCCCTCCTTTCTCCTCCACGCACCACCCTCTCTCCCTCCGTTTTCTCTCCACTGACCGCCCTTTCTCCCTCCTTTTCCACTTTGCCCCTCCCCTCAGCTCTACTATGTGAAGAAGCCCGATGAGAAGACCCCCAGGGGCGTCATTCCTCTTGAGGTAAAGCAGCAATGGTGGTTGGGACGGGGTGGGCGAGGTGGTGGTTGTCTTGTGTTGTCTAATTGTCTGTTTTTTCTTCTTCTCTTTCTTTCTTCCGTTTGGGAGGGGGAGGGAGGGAGGGAGGGGGGGAGGTGTGGAAATGGAGGGAATAGAGCCCTTCCCCTCGCATAGTAACCCCCTCAACCCTTACAACAGCCTTACGACCCTTACTCATTACAGGAATTAATAATGGATGAGATAGTGCTCCCACAGACATTACCAGCAGAATGATGGAATATGCTCTCCTGCAAACAAACCCCCCCCCTCCCCCCCTCCCCACCTTTTCTTTCTGTTTTGTCATTGTTTGTACAATTCTCGTTTCAGGACTGCATAGTGGACGAGATAGTGCCCCCGGAGGACGTGCCGTCAGCTGGAGCTCGGGACTCACACAACTGCTCCTCACACACACCCCCTTTCCCTTCCATCCTCCTTGGAACAAAACTCCTTACAGGACTGCATAGTGGACGAGATAGTGTCTCCGGAGGGAGGAGGTACCAGCAAGATGATGCTTGACTTCACTTCAATGCCAGAACGGACCCCGTTTGTCCCCTTGTATGTGAAATCCATGACATGGCAGGACTGCATAGTGGACGAGATAGTGCCCCTGGAGGAGGTGCCGTGAGCTGGAACTCGGGAGTCACACAACTTCGCCTCACACCCCCTTTCCCTTCCATCCTCCTTCGAACGAAACTCGTTACAGGACTGCATAGTGGACGAGATAGTGCCCCCGGAGGAGGTGCCGTCAGCCTCAGACATGAAGGCCGGATCCAACCCCTCGGCGCAGGCGCTGTCCTTCAAGATCGGCAACAAAGTGCCGTACAAGACCGTGGTCAAAGGTGGGTCAACGCTGGTCAAAGGGAAGACGAAGTTATTTGTCATGTCAAGCGAGGAGCGTTTTGTCCTTCAAGAATGGTAAAAAAGTGCCGTACAAGACCGTGGTCAAAGGTGGGCCAACGCTGGTCAAAGGTGGGTCAAGGTGGTTCGGCGCTGGTCAAAGGTGAGAAGACTGTGGTCAAAGTGCAGTTTGAGGACTGCAGGCCTTTGGTTAAGGCTGTATGTATCTGTGCCCACTCCACAATCACCAACGCACGGGTGAGTTGGTTTTTGAGAATTCTCAAGAACCAATTGTGTCCACAAGCATGGGTGAAGCAACACACCTCGGTGTTCAAGGGTAGACCCCCCCCTTCCTGCTGCCTCCTCCTCTCACTCCCTCTCCTCACCCCCCCTCCTCTTCCCTTTGATGCCAGTCCGTTAGTCCTTCATCCTCCATGCCGACAGCAGGGCAGAGAAGCAGCAGTGTGAGGCAAGGCTCTTTTGAGATTACTCTGAAGTTACCCCCCTTCTCCCGGAGAAGCAGCAGAGCAGTGGGTCACACACTCGCCTCACACCCTCTCCCATCTCCCCCTCTTCCCCCTGCACACCACCCCCAGTCCATCACTCAGTCATCCTCGTGCTGACAACATGGCGGAGAAGCAGCAGTGGGTCACGAGGCACTCTCTCCCTCCCGTCTCATACCCCTGCACGTCCCCCCTCTCTCTCTCCCTCTCCCCTCTCAACCGCCCCCCCCCCCCCCCCAGTTCATCAGTCCCTCATCCTGCGCGCCGACAACATGGCGGAGAAGCAGCAGTGGGTGGCGCGCCTGCGCAGCCACACCAAGGCGTTCAAGGATGCCCCTCCTCCCCCCCCCGCCTCTGGGGACGCGGAGAACAGGGCGGAGGACGGGGGCGGCAGGGAGGGCGACTCCACAGCCACCAGCAGCAGCGGCAGTGGCAGCAGTGGTGGCAGCAATGTGCCGGGGGCGATAGGCCAGGGCGGAGTAGGGGTAGGGGGGCAGCAGCGGGTGGCGAATCCGGAGGAGGAGCTGAAGTACCAGGTGACTGAAGTGCGGCGCTACGTGCAGGCCGTGCTGGTTCATCTGGCAGACAACATCCCGAAGGTGCGTGTGAGGGATTGAGTGTGGGAGTGAGTGAGTGAGAGATGAGGGAGGAGTGGTACTCTTAAACACCTCCTGTCACCAGGTGACTGAAGTGTGGCGCTACGTGCAGGCCGTGCTTGTGTACCTGGCAGATAACATCCCCAAGGTATGGCCACACCCTACATGTAACCAAGGTACAAGGGATGAGTGGAGAATGGGATGAGCGTAACTATGCCTCTTTGCTGCTTCACCAGGTGGCTCGAGTGCAGGCTGTGCTGGTGCACCTGGCTGGTCTTGGCTTCTCAATTCTCCTTCCTCTTCCCCTCCACCACGCCTCTCAGTGTCGGCTCAAGTGGAGTGCGCGCGTGACTCCATGCTAACAAAGCTGTACCAGACAGAGCGCCATATCGGACGACAACCCGCAGGCGCTGCTGGATGCTGCTAAGCTGAAATGTTTTTTCCGCACCTCTCCTCCCCCGTTCCACCTCAGGCCATAGTGCTGGCTCAAGTGGAGCGCGCACGTGACTCGATGCTCACGAAGCTGTACCAGACAGTGAGCGCCATTTCAGACGTGAACCTGCAGGCGCTGCTGCAGGAGGACGCGGAGAGCCAGGGCAAGCGCGACAAGTTCAAGCGCATGAGGGACGCCATGCTGCAGCTGAAGAGAGCGCTCAGTCTGCATGAGGCGCGCGCATCGGCTGAAGAGGAAGGGCAAGGTGGGTAGTGTTTCGGGTTCAGGAATTGGAGTGAGGACGCGGAGAGCCAGAGGAAGAGGGGCAAGCTCAAGCGCATGCGCGACGCCATGCTGCAGCTGAAGCGGGCGCTGAGTTTGCACAAGGCAGGGGCTTCTGCTGAGGAAGAGGGACAAGGTATGTGCTTGAGCGAGATAAGAGTGAGGGTGCTGCAGGAGGACGGGGAGAGGCAGAGCAAGAGGGGCAAGTTCAACCGCATGTGCAATGCCACGCCGCAGCTGAAGCGGGCGCTCAGCTTGTATGAAGCATGGGTGTTGGCAGAGGAAGAGGGACAAGGTATAATCGTGAGGGGGATAAGTGTGTGGAGTTGCCTCTTCATGTAGAGGAGGGGAGGCGTACCAGCAGAGGAAGAGGGGGCTGCAGGAGGACGGGGAGGGCCAGAGCAAGTGCGGCAAGTTCAAACGCATGTGGGATGCGATGCTGCAGCTCACGCGGGCGCTCAGTTTGCACGAGGCACGAGCGTTGGCTGAAGAGGAAGGCCAAGATGAGTGTGAGGTTTGGAGGGGTGGGGAGGGAGACAGAGGGGTAGCTTTCAGTGCAAGCGCGACAAGTTCAAGCACTTGCGGGACGTCGTGCTGCAGCTGAATCAGGCACTCGGTTTGCATGAGGCGCGGGCATCTGCTGACGAAGAAGGACAAGGTGGGTAGTGTTTAGGGTGCAGGAATTAGAGTGAGGACGCGGAGAGCCAGAGCCAGCGTGACAAGTTCAAGCGCATGTAGGATGCCAGCTGAAGCAGGCACTGAGCCTACATGAGGCGCGGGCGTCAGCTGAAGAGGAAGGGCAAGGCGTGTGTTAGGGAAAAGGGGGAGGGAAAAAGGGGGAGGGAAAGCTAAGCTAAGCTAAGCTAAGCTATGGCGGGAGCTAAGCTTTTGAGGGTGTGCGGGGGCCAACATAAAAACCAGCATCTTCTGTTGAGGGGGAGTTAAGCTTTTGAGGGTGTTCACTCCTTTCCCAATGTCATGTCGCTGCTCCATACCATGTCATCCTATCCCATGCCATGCCATGCCATGTCAAACTCATGCTGTGTCTCCCTGCCCATGCCATTTGCTTCCCTCTCTATGCCATGCCATGCCATGCCTTGCCTGCCTGCTTGCCACCAGGCACCAAGGAGACGGTGGATGCGTGGAGAGCAGCGTTCAACAAGGCCTCCCATGCCACAGCTTCTATCCCCGAAGACCATCCCTCCTCAGACTCAGGCACCCTGCCCTCCCCTTCCACTCGGAAATCCCCACCACCACCACCCTCCTCCTCCTCCTCTTCCTCCTCTTCCAAACCCTCCAAATCCTCAGCCTCAGCAGCAGTGGCAGCCGCTGCAGCTGCTGCGTCTCCCACCCCTCCTGCTTCATCATCAGCAGCAGCAGCAGCTCCCACTTATGCTCCCTCTCAGTCCTCATCATACCAGCCCTCTCGCTCATCCTCCACCAGTCAACAGCCGCCAGCTGTCACCCGTGGCATGAGCATGAGCTCCGTGCCCAACCCTCTAGGCCCGGGAGTTGGCGGAGCTGTGGTTCCAGGTCCGGTAATGGCTCGGGGGCCGCCAATGATGCCCTCTGGCAGTGCTGCTCGGAGTGCTAGCCCGTTACGGCAGACCCTAGCGGGGGGTATGGATGGAGCAGGAGGGATGGGGGGGATGGGTAACTCCTTGCGCGCGACATCAAGGAGGGTGCCCCCCCCTCCACCCACTGGGTTCAGCTACAAGTGAGGGAGTCTAGTCTTAGAGGCACCTCAAAACTCCCCTCCACCCACTGGGTTCAGCTACAAGTGAGGGAGGTTCTTCTTGAGACGCCTTGAAATGCAACACCGCCATAAGCACTACTTCATGGAAAGTTCTTCCCCTCGACCAATGGTTCCTGCTTCATGAAGGCTATTGGGGAACATGCTATGTTGAAGGCAGGTGCATGTTTTGCCGGTTTCTAGGTGAATCCGTTTGCTGGCTCTGAGTCTGAGGGATCAGTCAGGTCCTCCATGTGATGTTGTGAGCCTTGATATTTTTGAGAGGTAAATTCAGTCTTGGATTTACAGTAGTACACTAGGGTGTGTCGTGTATGTAAGATGAGTTGCGCAAGTCTCCTCTAGTTATTATAGGTTCCCTGCGCAAGGCTTCTGGCAGATTCTTACAAGACTCTTCTTGCTTCACACCAGTATGAGACATACTTCATACCAAAATATGCTTTTGAGGCACCTTATGTATCAGCTCAGGACTTGCTGAGGGCCTTATATAGAGGTCTTCTGGAGTTACTATATAAATTAAGGGGCCCGGATATAGAGGTGGTGGAACTGTTGAGTACGAGGGTGCTCCTACAACCTCTTCCCAGGCCAGCCTCTTCCCATCCCAGACTGGATCTCGGCAATGCCAAGCCCAGTTTCGTGTCACACCATGCGGAACCGCTCTGAACCAGTTTGTGCCAAAATTACACTGGAATGTAGCGCACGAGTCTGGGAAGAGGCTAGCCTGAGAAGAGGTCGTAGGAACGCGCTCTAAGTCAGCAGAAGCAAGCAGGCAATAAGGCCAGCAGGCTGCTCGCTGTCTTGCAAAGCAAGCAGCGCAGCAGGCACCCCTTCCGCCATCTCTAACACCATTCGTCCAGATTTTACCACCGTCGTATAATGTTATTATGGATGCCTAGCAACCCTCAGCCCGTCTTCCGTAGCCTTGTCAGTGCTTTCCGTAGCCTTCCCCACCCCCCCTTCTTCTGCTGCTGCTGCTGCTGCTGCTGCACTTTCCCAAGGATGTTCACTCCATCGTCCACGCCGCCCGTTCTTTCTGCTTCGCCTGACGCAGACTGCCTGCTGCCTTCCTGTCCGCTGCTTGCAAGCTGCTCCGTGTCCCCACCATTGAGGCCAGCTGATCCTGATGCGGTACTGCTTCTCTCTCCTGCCACTTCCGCTACCCCTGGTGCTGCAGCGGCTGCTCCTCTTGCCGGGTTCTGTGCGCCAGCTGCAGCAGCAGGGACGGCTGCTGCCTCTAGTACTGCTGTAGCTGTTGCAGGATGGAGCAAACGGAGGGCTGCGATTGCACGGTCCAAAGTATCAACGGCTCGGAACAGGCGGTGATCGCTAGCACTCGCGGTGTACCCGTTGCGCGTCCCGTAGTCCCTTGAAGCTCTGAGCCCGTATCGGCCATTCTGTGCATGGTTCTGCTCTAAAGTCTGCACTGTAGCACCTCTCGCTACAGTAACCTTCTGTACAGTGCCATCTTGTAGCGGTGAATCAGGAACGAGCACTTCATGTGGCAAAGCCGTTACAGCAGTGCTGGTCACACCAGCTCCTACTTCTGCGCCCTCCCTTGCTCCCACGGCCCCCCCTGCTCCTGCCCCCGCTCCTGCTCCTCTTGCTCCTGTTTCCAGTGCTCTTCCCAGAGCCGAGTGAGACCCTTCCGGTTCCTCAGGCTTCCTCATCTCCCCATCCCCCACACCCCTTGCCGCTATTCTTGTTGCCACACTCTCCCACTCTCCACTCTCTACTATTTCCACCGCATCCCCATCGATGCTGCTGCCATGGCTGCTCCCCCTCCTAGATACAGAAGCTACTAGGCCCTCCATCCTGGCCTCTACTTCTGCTCCTAGCTCTCTAAAGGTCCTCTCCTCATCGTCATTCCTCTTGCTGCCTAGAAGGTTTCGTTCCCCACCTGCCTGCCCGTTTTGCTGACCGCCTGCCGATTCCTGCTGCTTCCTCTGGTGCTCGGCCTCTAGTTGCTGCATTTCAGCTGCCTGGGCAGCCCGATAATTCTCCATGGCTGTCCGGACATGATTGTAAAGGGGCTCGTCGTGGAGAGCCTGTCGAAACGCCTTTCCTTTAATGCCTGAGGGGTCGTCATATATCCTGGCGAGCTCCTGAAGGGAAAGGAGAGAGACAGAGAGGGGGGGGGGAGGAGGGGGGGAGAGAGACGAGAGGGGGCCGGAGGAAGCGATATATATTGAGTAGCACTGTCTTCCTTTAATGCCCGAGGGGTCGTCATATATCCTGGCGAGCTCCTGAAGGGAATGTGAGAGAGAGAGTGACAGGGGAGGGAGGGCAGGGGGAGGGATATGTTGCATTTCAAAACACTGCTTTCATTTGATTTTTGAGGCGCCTCAAAATATGTTGCATTTCAAAACACTGCTCTCATTTGAGCCGCTTCTCACTCCAGTAAACCCTCTTCACGCACTCACTTATAGCGAAACTGACAAAGCACACCTCTGTGAACCACGCTGAATAGCCTCTCACCTCTGTGAACCACGCTGAATCGCCTCTCACCTCTGTGAACCACTGGTAGACGATCCCTCCGCATTGCTGGATGATGAAGTTGACGAGCTTGGGAGGGAACTTGAGGTCCAACGTGAATATGCACCTGCAGTGGTTTGGACAGGAGTGACAAGGGCATTCAGATATGGTCAGGTGGATTTGTGGCTCTGAAAACGAGTGGGAACTTGAGGTCCAGCGTGAATACGCACCTGCGGTGGGGACAGCAGGGACAAAAGGTCTAGCAATAAATGTGAGGAAGATATAGCATTAATAGGCACGCCCCTTTGTCTCCTGACAGCAGAAAACCCAATGCCACGCATGCTTCGAGGCGTCTCTAGATATGGACACACATGCATAAATCTCATGTAAATTGAAATATCTAAGCATTTATATAATGTATGTATGTATGTATGTACGTACGTACATAGGTATGTATGTATGTATGTGTGTGTGTATGTATGTATGTACGTACGTACGTACGTACGTGTGTGTGTGTGTGTGTGTGTGTGTGTGTGTGTGTGTGTTTGTGTGTGTGTGTGTGTGTGTGTGTGTGTGTATGTATGTATGTATGTATGCATGCATGCATGCATTTATGTATGTATGTATGTATGTATGTATGTATGTATGCATGCATGTATGCATATTAGTATTTTATGTTTCTTCGCCATTCCCTTCCCAATAACCTTCACTGCAGAATTCCCTCAAGTGTGTTCCACATGAGGAAACTTGAAATAAGGTGACTTGAGCCAACTGCAAGCTCACCTCATGTGCGCCCTCCCCTCCCCCATGTCCTTCACAGCATAGCCCCCGCCGATCCCCATGCGCATGTGGCCAGGAAGGGGGGGAGGGGCGTCCTCCTGCGAGTAGCCGAGGTTGGTGAAGTCAGCTGAGGCAGGGTCCTCGGGTAGCTGGCAGGTGGAAGACCGGAGAGAGCAAGCAGGAGAGGAAAAGGGGTGTTAATACAAGAGCTCATGCCAAACGGGCAGGGCGTCCTCCTGTGAATAGCTGCCGAGGTTGGTGAAAACAGCCGAGGCAGGGTCTTCGGGTAGCTGAAGGGTGGAAAGTGAGGCAGGTGTGGCGAAGCTAAGATCACACAGGCAAGACAGACCACAGCTGAGCAATGGGCGCAGGGGCGTCCGCCCGTGAGTACCCGAGGCTGGTGACGTCAGCAGAGGCAGGGTCTTCCGGTAGATTGCATGGCGGGTGGAAAGCAGAAGACGCCAAGGGGTGTGAGGCAGGGGAGCAATCGAGGGCACAGGGGGTTGGGGGACGTCAGCAGAGGCAGGGTCTTTCAGTATGCCAGACAGAGGCAGTATCATCGTAGACTGCTGAGCCGAGCCAAGCAATAAGCCACCGAGACTCACTGGTGCCGTGTGTAGCTCACTGGTCTGGACCCCTGTGTTACTCACGCCACGCCTCGTGTGTTAAAAACTGCGTGATAGGAGTCTAGTTTTGAGGCGCCTCAAAACTAGGCTCACTGGTCTGGACCCCTGTGTTACTCACGCCACACCTCGTGGGTTACCCACTCACACTCCGTGTGCCGTGCTCACCGTGCGCAGCACCGTGACAGTCACGCCAGAGGCCGCATCGTAGGCTGCTATCTCAACAAATGTAGTCACCCGCAGTGCAACTCACTGTTTCTGCACGCACGCTACTCACTCCTTGTGTGCGTTACTCACGCCTCTCTATGCCACTCACCGTGCGCAGCACCGTGACTGTCATGCCAGAGGCCGCATCGTAGACGGTCACAAAGATCAGAGCGAACTCCTGAGGGGGTAGCGGCCATGGCACCTTGAAACTGGGAAGGTAGGAAGGGGTGTGAGGGGGTGCAAATGGGTGCAAATGGGTGCAAGGGGGTTGACAAGGAGTGGAAATGGAACGAGACTAAGGAAAGTGAGCTCGGACGCAATGTGGCAGGACGTATCATTGGTTGACATCAAGTGGCGTGGCGTGGCATCATGTGGCATGGCAAGACGTCATGTGGCATGGCATGACGTCATGTGGGGTGACATGACATGGGCATGGCATGGGAATGGGAATGGGCATGGGCGTGGCACGGTATGGGCATGGGCGTGGCATGGTATAGGCATGGGCATGGGCATGGGCATGGGCATGGGCATGGGCATGGGCATGGGCATGGGCGTGGGCGTGGGCGTGGCACGGCACATACTGCATGAAGGAGAGGTGGAAGTTCTCCCCCAGTCGTTTGATGTACTTGGACTCGTCGCAGCGGTATGAGGGCATGGTGATGTTGGGCCACCTGAGAGACGGCGGGAGGGGGGAGGGCAAGGGGGCGGGGGGCGGGGGGCGGGGGGTTGTTTCATGGTTCCTTCCTCTATTCACATCGCCCCCCGTCGTTTGATGTACTTGGACTCGTCGCAGCGGTATGAGGGCATGGTGATGTTGGGCCACCTGAGAGACGGCGGGAGGGGGGAGGGGAAGGGGGCGGGGGGAAGGGGGCGGGGGCGGGGGCGGGGGGTTGTTTCATGGTTCCTCTATTCACATCGCCCCCCGTCGTTTGATGTACTTGGACTCGTCGCAGCGGTATGAGGGCATGGTGATGTTGGGCCACCTGAGAGACGGCGGGAGGGGGGAGGGGAAGGGGGCGGGGGGAAGGGGGCGGGGGGCGGGGGCGGGGGGTTGTTTCATGGTTCCTCTATTCCCATCGCCCCCCGTCGTTTGATGTACTTGGACTCGTCGCAGCGGTATGAGGGCCCGGCTATGTTGGGCCACCTGAGAGAGAGGGGGAAGGGGGAGGGGAAGGGGGCGGGGGGCGAGGGCGGGAGGGGTAGGACTGGGAGCCGGGGGGAGTGGGCGTTGGGGGGAGGCGAATTTCGGTGTGCCCCAAACGCTTAACCACTCGTCGATGCATCAATCTGCTTCAACCTGCTCACGTGCAAGGAGTGGCGAGCTCTGCTCACGTGCAAGGAGCGGCGAGCTCTGCTCACGTGCAAGGAGTGGCGAGCTCTGCTCACGTGCAACAAGTGGCGAGCTCTGCTCACGTGCAAGGAGTGGTGAGCTCTGTTTGCGTGCAAGGAGTGGCGAGCTCTGCTCAAGTGCAAGGAGTGGCGAGCTCTGCTCACGTGCAAGGAGTGGCGAGCTTTGGTCACGTGCAACAAGTGGCGAGCTCTGCTCACGTGCAAGGAGTGGCGAGCTCTGTTTGCGTGCAAGGAGTGGCGAGCTCTGTTTGCGTGCAAGGAGTGGCGAGCTCTGTTTGCGTGCAAGGAGTGGCGAGCTCTGTTTGCGTGCAAGGAGTGGTGAGCTCTGTTTGCATGCAAGGAGTGGCGAGCTCTGTTTGCGTGCGCACTCAAAGCACAACCCACCACTTGTTAACATAAGGGTCTGGCAGGCGCAGTGCTTTTGAGTCGACTCAAGAGCAGTGCCCTCGCTGGCTATGCATCTGATCCCTCGCTCATTAGAATCACATCTCGTTGGAGGCACAAAGCGCATAACTCTGCCATTCTTTAAACAAGGGCGCATCACATGACATGGCAAGGCCAGCGTCAGCAGGGGCGTGCACGATGCCCACGATGTGCGTGGTTTGAATGGCCGTGCCGTGAAGCACGATCCGTACAGAGCACCAAGTCGTTTGAAACCCAACTCGTTGAAAGCACAACTCGTTTAAAGCCCAACTCGTTGAAAGCACGACTCGTTTAAAGCACAGCTCGTTTACTAGAACTCACCACTCACGTGTCTCATATTTCCTACTAACCAAAGGTATTACCTTTGGTGGGAGGGTCTAGTTTTGAGGCGCCTCAAAACTAGTCTCATATTTCCTACTGACCAAAGGTATTACCTTTGGTGGTTGGAGGGTCTGATTGGGGGGCGAGGGGCGAAATTTTGAAAGAGAGTGGGCGAGGGTTGCGACAACTGTGAAAATCGTGGAAGGTCCAACTTTGACGAGGCTTGAGTCTCGTATTTCTGCGGACCCGTATAACGGTTGGTTTGAGCCCACGAAATGTTGAGGGTGTGGATGGTGGGGGTTGGGTTCTCAAAGTTTCGCAAGAAGTTGCGATTCTAGTGTTCGATTTTGGGCCGAATTTTTGTTGCGTGAGACACTTTCTGTAAGGAATTACGATTCCTTACTGCGCTAAATTACAGCGCGTACACCCGAAGACCTCGACCTCGCAAGTTCGGCCTATATTGTCGGCCCAAACCTTCCCGGGTCGCGTTCCGACACCCTCGCCACCCAAACCTTCCCGAGTCGCGTTCCGACACCCTCGCCACCCTTCCGAGCCACCTCACATCCCGAGGTCCTCGCCCTAGCACGTACGAACCCTATTTTAGCCAGTTCGCTCGTCACTTGCTCATTAATTATTACTCCTAGGTTATATTTCCATTATCCAGTTGATTGTTCCATTCCACTCATAACACTTGGTATTCAAAGCCACTGTCTCCACGCAGTAGCTTCCGCCTACCTGAGAATTTTCTTGGGGGGGGGGAAGGAGGGATGGATGGTGGGCTGCGGGGCTGCACAGCGGTTGGTTCAGAGCTAATTGAGTAGCTCGTCCGAGTAAGGCGTGTGCGCTCCCTTTGTCACCAGACCCCTGCCTTCGGACGGCCTGGATTGGTCGGGTCCTCCCTCCCCCAAGAAACGAACAGCTGTGGCTGTCATGGCATTTATTCACTACGTGAGTTGGTGAATAGTGCATTTTACTTCGGTGGTTTTTGTGTCACAAACACGCGTCGTCGGCAGCACCTGACAAGATTCTAAAGCGAGTTTGTCGGGCGGTTGCGACAACGGTTGAAGAAAAAAACAAGAAAAACGAGCCTTCCTATAGCGCGGTAACCTCAAGGAAACGCCAGGGAATTGTGGCCGCCAGAAGTACGTGGGATGAAGCGCGAAGGGCGCAGGTGACGTCCTGTTCGTTGCTTCGGTATTTCCGGTAGGAGATTTGTGGGAAGAAGACGGCGCGCGAGCCAACTTCCGTAAAAATCGGATCTTGCAACCCTCGGCTTAATGACTGGATTTCAGCGGCTGTGGAGATCGTCACCGACAAAATCGTCATCAATTGGCAGCCGAACTTAATGGAGGGCCGCCGATTCTGTTCTCCCAAGCCGAGCAGAATTTTCACCTAACCGGAAGGGAAACTCATGTTCGAGGAAATGGCCATTGCCCCTGAAGGAAACAGGGAGTACGGACGCAACAACAGAATTCCTACAGATTATGGAGCAGCATCAACGCGCCCCCCTAAGTCACCGAGTGGAAGCGATTTTCGAAACTTAGCGGAAGATGGACGGCGGCGGCCGAGGACCCAGTAGAAGCGGCTTTGCTGTGAGTCAATAGCGTAATCGGCCACCTTCTGATAGGGTTCTTTGCCAACCGTCCGAAGTCCCCCATCTGGTTGCGACAACTACAAGGTCAGAGGCTCCAGGCTGAAAGAGGGGGGACCTGTGCTGGCGGAAGGTGCGACAGTGGAGTGCTACAAAAAAGAGAGGAGTAATTTGTGGTGTCAGAGGGGATTTGCACGCTGCGCAGTGGTTGGCTGGGAGTTAATATTTTAGCTCCACCGACTAAAGGCGTGCGCGCTTGCTTTTGCTCCGTCCTGCCCCGGATTACGGTTTTACAGCTGTTTACTTACCGACAGAAGCGGGAAGTTTGGCGAACGACGACCTGCCGAAAATGTTGGGGAAGCCGTGAAGAAACATTCGAAGTCCACACTATTGCAGCTGGAGCTCGACACTGTATCCAAAGTTTTCGGAGTGCGGCTAAGCAGAGGGAGTTGTCACAGATTTACACGGACTACTACGACGCGCGATCATGCCTAGGCCTTGTTTCGTGTCATGGCGAGCGCAAAGATGGGTGAACGTCGGCGCGCTGCAAAAACGCCCGATACCAGATGGGGACTACTTCGAAGACCAGCGGCGCAGCTGTTAAGCACCTGAAGTTTGGGGGTACCTGAATAGCAGTGAAGCGGTTTGGGGTAATCTGCAGCAGCCGCGAGATGGGTGAACGTTTGCAAGGCCAGCTGGTCAGGAGTACCAGGGTATTTTAAGAGTTTGGGTTACAGCTGTTAGGACATCGACGACGTATGATGCTCGCCAACCATGATCGACGGCCGAAGACCCATGCCCGGGCGGTGAACGACGAGTACCCTCGATTAAAGGGCTCAGTTCATGCGTACAGCTGGTGACGAACCGAAGGGGGTGCAGCTAAAGGGCGGCGCGTCTGTGTTTACGGTAGCTGCGAAGCACGCGCAACTGTGAAGCGAAGTTGCGGTATTTGTTAAATTACGGGAGAAATTCCGACATTTTCGCTAGAAGAAACAGTGAAGCAGTTCAAGGTTTTGCAGCTGGCGTGGTGCCCGCTATATCCAGGGGTACGAGCGACATCGTCCGATTTTTGCGGAGTAGTTTGGCTTCATGGAAAGCGAAGGAGCAGTAGGTGTTTCAGATCTTTCCGAAAATTTCAGCATGTACGGACAAAACGGAGCTGCAGTCGTGTGACCCTGGGTTCGGCTCGAGAGTGTTTACTGGATCGGGTCAGGACAGGTCATTTTCCATCGCCATCGTCATCAACCTCTCGCCAACACCCGATACCGCCTCCATCGTCAATTCGCCTACCTTCGTTCGCTATGCAGAACACGACCCCGCCATCCGCCTGGAGTAGTATCGAATCGACAAGATTTGGCAGCAGAACTGTTAGAGCTGTGTTGGGGCCAGCTCGCAAGCAGTGGATTGACTCGTGCACTGTTGCTGATTTTCAAGACTTCAACAACAGTTTGCCCTGCAGAAGAATTCAACTTTGGAGCAGATTTGAGAGTTCTACCCATTGGAGTTTCACCGACCTCTTCGACGCTGAGTTTTACCGGCGTTTTACGTAGAAGTTGGGGTGTTTTACGAGTACCCTGAAGTAGTGGGTTCCCTAGGATTTTTACCTGATCTCCTTGGAGCCGTTTTCTTCTTGGGAGGGGGGGGGGGGAGGGGGGGGAGAGGTGCAGCTGCGCTGCATCCGTCCTCTGCAATTTCGTCATCACCAACTGACAGCCTACAGCGTCATTATTCATTCGCCCGCAAGAGTTTTCACCATTGCCCAATTTGGCCAGCTGAATAATCGACCATCCTTCAACGGTCACAATCTACTACGATCGTTTCGACAACTTCCGATCATTACTCAAGATTTACGGCCACGATTACTTTCGACATTTCAAGATAAGCGTCATGATGACAAGCCTGCGGGAATGCCACGTTCTACAGCCTCTGCCATCCGGCAATATCCTACCAAATTAAAGTCATCGTCAGCCGTTCGTCTGGAGATATCCATCAGATCAACCTCGACAGTTTCGCCACCGACAATGCTGGCTCGTGATAATCGCCCAACGGTCAAGATAGATCTCGACCAATTTCAGCCGTCGGATTGGGCTCGCCCAAGACTCTTCTAGGACGGCGTAATCATTACGCCCATCAGAAGATTTCAAGACCTAGAGTCACACTCGCGATTGGATTATTAATCCGTCGGAGTATCGCCTCTAGTGTAGGGAGGGCTTATTTAGAAGGTGGGAGAGTGTAAGGAATTACGATTCCTTACTGCGCAAAATATAGCGCGTGCACCCGAAGACCTCGACCTCGCAGTTTCGGCCTATATTGTCGGCCCAAACCTTCCCGAGTCGCGTTCCGACACCCTCGCCACCCTTCCGAGCCACCTCACATCCCGAGGTCCTCGCCCTAGCACAAACGAGCCCTATTTTAGCCAGTTCGCTCGTCACTTGCTCATTAATTATTGCTCCTAGGTTATATTTCCATTACTCAATCGATTGTTCCATTCCCACTCATAACACTTTCAGGCCCTGATTCCGTGTAACTAGCCCGGGTTCCGAAGCCTCGATTATTGAGAACGCTTCCTCAGGTTCGTTTTGCTGAGGTTGGATATCTTCGCTCGCACTCAGTAGTAGCGAGCAAGCGCACGAAGAGAGCCTACGAGTACCAAGCATATTACCTTTAGGAAATATGACAAGCGGGCTTTAAAGGAAGGTGCTTCACAGGACACGGCAAGGGCGGCGTCAGCAGGGGCGTGCACAGCGCTTCCCATGCATGATGCCATGCCACGCTCATTACAATCACAACCCACCATTCCTTAAGAAAGGGCGCGTCGCAGGACATGGCCAGAGCGGCGTGATCAGGCGCGTGCACGACGACTTCGATGGACGCTCTCCCAGACCTACTAGAGGCACAGCCCGACATAAGCACAACCCACCATTCCTTGAAGAAGGGCGCGTCGCAGGACATGGCCAGAGCGGCGTGATCAGGCGCGTGCACAACGACTTCGATGGACGCTCTCCCAGACCTACTAGAGGCACGGCCCGACAGAAGCACAACCCACCATTCCTTGAAGAAGGGCGCGTCGCAGGACATGGCCAGAGCGGCGTCAGCAGGCGCGTGCACGACGCCCTCGATGCACGTGGTGTGGATGGCCGTGCCATTGGGTCCGGGGCGGTGCAGCGTGCGGTACTCGACTGCTTGCTCGCATGGCTGAGAGGAGGGGGAGAAACGGGAGGATAGACGGGTCGACAGGGGAGGGAAGAGGGATGTGGAGTGAGTGGCCGTGCCATAAGGCCCCGAGCGGTGCAGCGTGTATTCCACTGCTTGCTCGCATGGCTGATAGTAGGAGGGCGTTGGGGTTGTTGGGGGTGTTGGGGGTGTTGGGAGGTGTTGGGAGGTGTTGGGAGGTGTTGGGGGGTGTTGGGGGTGTTGGGGGTGTTGGGGGGTGTTGGGGGGTGTTGGGGGGTGGGTGGGGAGGGCAGGTTGATGGAGAAGCAGAGGGAACGGATAGGGAGGGCATGAGACTGCCTTCGTGATTTTTTTAGAATTCTCAAAAATCAATGGTGCATTTACCATTCTGCTTCTTGCTTGTGATAGGGAGGGAGGCGGAGATGAGAGAAAGGGGCGGATAGATGGGGCGACGGGAATGGACGTAGAGATGTGGTGTGGATGGCCAGGGCGAACGCGAGGCGAGGGGATGAGATGGAGCGATAGGGACGGTTTGTGCCTCAGCAAGTCCGTAGGGCTAGCCCACACTCCCTGCCCATTCCCACTACGGAATGTCCACCCGTTCCCCTCCGCCCGTTCCCCTCCTTTCTGCATTCCGCTCCCCTTCTCCTACCATTCCCCCCACATCATCTTCTCTTCTCGCCATTCAGCCAATCAGATTCCAGCATTCGGCCGGTTACCTTCCATCGCATGTCCTTGTCTTTAGCGCCGCCCGTTTTGTCCGCAGTGCCGCCCAGCCGCACGGAGCGCAGGTCATCCAGCAGCCCCATCATCTGCCCGCTCCAATACTCCACCACCGCATCCGCGTCGCCCACCATGCCACTATATTTAACGCCGTTCTTATCTTTAAGACCGTCCTTATCTTTAAGAATGTCTTTATTTTTAAGACTGTCAGTGCTACCGCTATCTTTGTCACCCTCATTTCCACTACGTTCCGGACTTTGTTTCCCCTCGATCGCGCCGGACGTTTCTATGCCGTTCGTGGCGCTGCTGCCGCTAATCGCCTCCCGTTTCGCAGTACTGCTGCTGCTGCTGCCATAAATACGATCGCTGCTAACACCAACACCGTTACTAGCACTTTCGCCGCTACCATTACCACCGCCGACCCCGTCCGCCGCTATTGGCCCTTCTGCTGCTTGCCCAACCCCGCCCGCGTTCCTTCCGCCTTCTCCCGCATCCGGGGATTGTCCGCTCAGCTGCGCGCGGAAAAGGTCGGTGACTGCTTCCCGGCTGGTCCACGGGAGCGACGCGACGGACCTGTCGAAGGCGATCACGCCCTCTAGCAGCGCCATTCGCGGACGACCGTGACTAATTTAGACGAATCTTTTAGAGCACGTTAATTGAGGTGGTCCCTCTTAGAGATGTCTCAAAGCACGCTAAAAAGGGGTGCTGCTGTGTGGAATAACGTAGGTCGACAGGCCGTTGCTCGCGGCTTGGGGAAACTGACGAAAATTGCGGCGAAAGAACTGAAAGGGGGGGTGGGAAGTGGCGATGGCGAGCAAGCACCTACGCTTGGCTGGCTTGGACGACTACTGTTTTGTGAGGGGCATGTGCCCTTGGAGGGGGAATTACTGCTGCGGACTGCCCACAAATCTTTTCATAATTTCGTGGACAGCCCCTACTTTCACGGACGCCACATCAACCTTTCGCTTCTCCCGTGGACTCCGTCCCTACTTTCATGGACATCCGCCTTACTTTCATGGACAAGGTCGAAGTCGCAGGAAATAGGCGAAAACTCAACTGTACCAAAAATGACGGGCGCTAAAAAAAATAAAGCAGCGGCTCAGCGTGCGTCGCAAAGAGTCGCACGCTACAGTTCCCCAAACCAAAATCCGAAACAGAATCTACCAGAAATTGGGAACATGACTTACACGCCAGGTTTTCGTTTGGTGCGTTTGGCACAGAAAGTCCTGTGACGTGTGATTCGGCAGGCAGTACCCACACGTTTCTACGCGTTCTGAAGTACAGTAACGTAGAAATGCGTGGGTACTGCCTGCCGAATCACACGTCACAGGACTTTCTGTGCCAAACGCACCAAACGAAAACCTGGCGTGTAAGTCATGTTCCCAATTTCTGGTAGATTCTGTTTCGGATTTTGGTTTGGGGAACTGTAGCGTGCGACTCTTTGCGACGCACGCTGAGCCGTTTTTTTTTTTTTTTTTTTTTCAGCGCCTGTCATTTTTGGTACAGTTTGAGTTTTCGCCTATTTCCTGCGATTTCGACCTTGTCCATGGAAGTAAGGCGGATGTCCATGAAAGTAGGGACGGAGTCCACGGGAGAAGCGAAAGGTTGATGTGGTGTCCGTGAAAGTAGGGGCTGTCCACGAAAGTATGAAAAGATTTGTGGGCAGTCCGCGGCAGTAATTTTCCCGCCCTTGGAGTTTGTTTCCTCGTTTTACGGTTTCCTTTCGTAGCTCACGCTCGAAATGGAGCACAGCACGCACTGGGTTTGGGGGAACTGGGGGTGTACGTTTGAGTGCGGTTGGGTGAGATGCTCTTTGATTCAGAAAATTCTAATAATGATCTAAAACGGTTGGGTAGGATCTTGAGCACGTACCCGCACTATGGCTCCCGCATTTCTGCAGACCATGGCTGGCGCGAAATGAGCAGTGTTGGCACTGGGGGAAAAGCCCAGAACCGAACGGAAGTTGTAGCTGGCGCCGACATCTGCGGCGGTAGCGATTGTATGGCGGAGCCCGACCTGGGATCTCCGAGGCTTTCGGTTTGGTCGGTGCTGAGGGCTCCTGCCTATTGGTTCCTATCTGATTGCAGATGCTATTTGTGCGTCAGAATTGGAGGACTCTGCTTCACTGCAGGTCCCATCCCAACTGAGACGAGACCGCCCAAAAACAACTTCGTAACAAATAATAAACCATCCATCTCATTACATCTCCCATAAGTGTGTACAGCTCAAAACATTCCAAAAGTGGGTAACATTCTAGTGAATACATGGCGTACAGCATCCAAAGCATGCTCATAACCCCAGTGGGTTTTGGCTGATGCAATTTGGGCTGAAAATGTCTTCAACCTGAAGTCCTGCAACTCGCAATAACGGCCCTTCCAATCAGCAGGCTCGATCGCTTCAACACCCAAGTCAGGAACCCGGTCCTTGGACTGCATTCTGTCCATCTGCGTCCAGTCAGCCACAAAAGTGGAAGCTCTCCTCCTGAACTTCGTCTTGAACTCGGACCATGCTTGGTACTTGTAGTGGAAAATAGCTCCAAGCATTTGCCCCAAATTCAGTGTGCAGAATCGATGTTCCAAGCTTGTGAAGTGGTGTATCACATTGTGCAATGGAGGAGCAATAGCTTCCGTCAGGATAATCGACTTGTGGCGATCAGGAAGCTCCAGCCTGCAGGTGTACCCAGCGATTACCCCCTCTTCTGGGTGCCTCCGGTGACCTGATGGACCAAAAGAAAGGCAGGGTAGAGCAATCTGCCCAACCTTCTGGCAAGACGCGTTTCTACCCGTTGCCATCCCTGCTCCAGCATGCTCCTTTGCCAGACCTTTCACAAATTTGTGGAGAAGGGATGCATACTGGTTTCCAGCTGCAACGAGCCTCTGTGTCTTCATTCTCTTCGTCACCATCCGTGCCGGGAAGACAAACTCATCCACGTCTATGAACATGACCCACGTGCAGAGCTTTCTGGCCTGTAGAGCACAATGAGAAAAACCGCCTTCCTGTGACTTGAGCCAGGGCCAGCTGCGAATTGCAACTGAAAACTCAAAGCCTCTTGCACGAGCAGCCTCCTGAGCTCCTTCAATGGACCCCTGAAGTCCATCTTCACTGCCGTTGTCATACACAAAGAAATGCTCCACACCCAGAAACCCGTGGTAAAGCAGCCACTCCTGCATGAACTTCGCGCTGTCCAGGACCATAGTGCATGCACACAGGTAATACTGCTTCACAAGGGGGTTGTCGCTGGATGTGCTGATATGAGAATTCCCTCTCTGGAGAACAAGGTGTCCGCTTCGGCGGGGTTGACTGTGGTTGGTTCCATGGGGTGCCTCACCAGAAGCCAAGCTCGTCGAATTGAGCGTGTAATTGAGCGTACAGACGGAAGCTACGGAAGGTAAAGGTGCACCTTGTAGTGATAGCGTGACGGGAATGTCGAGACAGCCACATGCAGAATATGTGACGTTTGCTTGAGAAAACGGGCAGAGTGCGATCTCCTGGGACAGTATCAAGGGAGATGACGCAACTCCGTCCACCAGGCACTTGACTTGACCGTCAAGACTTCCGTTGTGAATGTGAGCAATCCCCTTCGCCCAGACGTACAGACCCTCGGGTTCAGCTGCTGAAGCGTACGCTAATCCATCCCAGGACGCCTGATGTATCTTGCGCACGAGCAGATCCATAATCCCATTGTCATAATAGATCCGCAGCAGACTGGGTTCGACGGAACCATCCGTTCCATGATCTCGCGAGCAGACTGCATGGATGGCTCGGTCGGCGAAGTACACGAATGTCGCGTTGGTCCACGTCGTTTCTCCCAAGGTAATGAATCCGCATTTCGCGAGAAGAATCCGGCGTTCGGAGAAGTACACATCGATGCATTCGTTGCTGTTAAATCGAAATATTGCCAGGAACCTTCCTTCTGGTAGCGCGATTGCTGTCAGCTCCCCCTGACGAGTCTCATGCGTCGGCAGTTCTTGCAAATGATTGACGCCATAAGAGATTTCTGTCTTGCACAGGCTCCATATGATAACTGCAAGAAGAGAAATCTTCAGAGAGATCTCTAGCGAACGTCAGACAGCGCGACATTACTCACGCATTAACAAACACACAGCCACGCTCAGGCAGAACGGGACTGCACGGCGTCCAAGCTCTCCAGCAACCGAATGTGAAAACGCAGTTGCAGGAAGCGCTGATGTGCTAGGGACACCGGTGCTCGCTCGTGTCTCATTGCCTGTCCCCTCAGTCGACCGTCGGATGCGGATCAGCGGGTGATCCATTATGGAGGATCATGGATTGACTGGCACTCGGGACAGACCCAAGAGATCAAAATTCAAAACAGATGAATTTTCTGAATCCCCAAGCATGCACACACAACAGGCTCCATGACTCCTTGGTCCTCCCCAATACCAAGGTGACGGTGTCGGTTCCCTTCCCCCAAACGCAGTTGAGTAGCAGGCGAAAGCTGAATTTCGCCATACGAAGGAGTTGACCCCAACATCGAGGCAGATTTCCTTCGCGACAGTTTGTTTCGCGAAGAGCTGGCGATTTGCTTGGGTCAAATTCTATAGCGAAGAGGTGCAGTAAATGTGGTAGCCCACTCCTGTCACTAACAGCAGGAAGTGTACACCACCAACCAAAACAATTTTCAGATTATTTGTGAACTTAGCTTGCTGAATCCACCGCCATGGCTGCATCGTCCGCCCAGCCGGCCATCAAATGGTCGAGCAGGCTGGTCGTAACGCTAAAGCGTGGGTTAGCCGGTAAGAGGTCCGATCAGCGTGCTACCGTCGTTGCGCTAGGCCTACGAAAGCGGGAGTCAATGGTTGAGCTGCCGAACAACCCGTCAGTCAGAGGGATGATTGAAAAGGTGGGCCTGCTGACGGAGCCATAACGTTCTACATGCTTTCGGTTCTCGCCGCAAGCGCGGATTGCGGGATTATATACATACTTGTGTATATCCGGTGATCCGCCGTTAGAAGTCAAAGCGCGTGAGGGTTAGGCTCAAGAAGGCGAAACTCGGTGTTAGGGTTTGATCTGCTCTGAGAGTTCCTGCGTAGGGCTGTTTCATGGGGAACATTGGTACGGTACTTCAGCGGTCGGAGGACGCACTGACCGCTCTCTTCGTGCGTCCATGGCTGTGCTTGCAGATCAAGCGACTTGTTCAGGTGGAAACCAAGGAGATGCATGACGAGAGACTAGCAGCGGAGCAGCTAAAGAAGGCATGGAGGCCACCACTCGTTGTCAGACACTCTCCAGTTCAATCTGCTCAACAAATAGCTTCTTAAATTTGGCCTTGGTAGTCAGTAAGCTCTGTTGAGAGCTCTGTAGCGGGTTGGATGGTTTCAGGCCATCATGATAAGGTGGTGCTCATTGAAAGCTGTTTTCAGCCATCTGTACAAAGCACATCATGTGTGACATGAAACAAAGCAAAACAATCCTGCAGAGGTAGCAATAATGAATCCCTACCTACTCTACCTGTCGTACTGGGTACCTACACAACACTCGTACTGGTGTGGTCATTCACTGTGGGGCTCTGGAAAGCTTCAGACCCAAGAGCCGCTTTCGCCAACCCTTCTTCCCATCCTGCTTCTTGCTACCCTCGCTGCCAGCATCCCCCCCTCCCTCCGTTGCCCTCCTTGCTTCATCCCTCCCGTCCTTCCATCCAATCGGGGCCGTCGATGGCCGTTCAGCACCTTCCCTCACCTCTGCAGCACCAGTGGCTGGCGCAGGCACATCATTGCTTTCCCCTGCACCCTCCGGCTTTTCCACTGTTCCCAGTACCTCTCCAGCTGAGTGAGGGGGTGTTGCAGCTCCTGCTGGTAACACTGCCACATCTTCTTCTTGTGCTGCCACGGCTGCATCAGGCTGCGCTGCTATCCCCCCCGATGCTGCTGTACCATCCTTTGATGTAGCTGCCACTGCTGCTGCCGCTGCCACTGTCGATGCTGATACTGTTACTGACTGTCCGGCCGATCTTGCTGTTTCGATCCCAATCCTTTCACTACTCCCATGACCTGCAGGGCCCGCTGATATTGTCCTAGTCAGCATCCACACCCTCTCTTCCGTCTCTCCCTCCCCACTCCCACCAATCCCCCCAGCATCCCCACCTCCTCCGCTTTCACCCTGCCTAGGTGCCGGCCGAAGCTCGCCACTGTAGCTCCAAACCTCCTGCTTCGGCGGCATCAGGCCTGGGAACCCAGCAGCACCCGTGCCTGCTCCACCACCACCAGCAGCAGCTGCTGCCTGCCTCTGTGCTGCTGCTCTGGCTCTCATAAAGGAAATGGCTCTATCGAGGGTGGTAACCGCATGGAAGATCGCTGGATCTCTCTGCTGTAACTGCCCGTACTGGACAGCTGGCGAGCCTGCTGCTGCACCCACAGCTGCTGCACCCAGCGGTGGTGCAGTAACTGCTGCAGCAAGTCTTGCGGGAGAAGGAGGGCGAGGTGGCTTGGCTACTGCCATGGCAGAAGCCGGCTTAGAAGGTCCTGGTGTGGCAGCCACAGGCACAGCAGGCACAGGCGCAGCAGCAGCTTCTACTAACGCCTGTGCTGCATTCATGACTGCTTCACCTCCAGCAGCACCGTCACCCTCGCTCTCACTCCCAGCCACAGGCGCAGCAGTCGCTCCGGCCAGTGCCTCCGCTGCATTCATGACTGCTTCATCTCCAGCAGCAGCACCACCACCCTCACTCTCACTCCCAGCCGCCCTCCCTGTCCCTGCTGGCATCCCAGCAACCAGCCTCTCCACCTCCGCCTCCACCCTCTCCCCAATCTGCCTGAAAGTCTCCGCCTCACCCTGCTGCTGCAGCTGCTCCCTCTCCTGCTTTGCCCGTTCTCCCTCCGCTGCTGCCGCTGCCTCGCGCTCCCGCGTGGCGCGCCCCACAGCGAGGTAGAACGGGTCCGAGGCAAGAAGCTTGCGGAATTTCTCCGCTTCCTTGTTGCTGCCTTCAGCCACACTCTCTATCTCCTGGGTGTTGGAAGGGAAGGAGGGTGGGTGGGGAAAGCAGAGAGAACAAGGGGGAGCGAGACAGGGAGGGAGATTGAGGCCAGCGTTCCCTGCGCTGCTGCTGCTGCTGCCGCCTAGTGGCCCCGCATGACCCGACCCACAGAGAGGTCGAAAGGGTCCGAAGAGAGCAGTCTGTGACACTTGTCAGCCTTCTGGATGCTACCGCCGGCCACACTCTCTATCTCCTCGGTGTTGGGGAGACGAAAAGGGGGGATAGAGCACGGAGGAAGGGGGGAGGGGGTGAGAGATAGGAAGCGAGAGTTGAGGGGAACTTTTTTGAGTCGACTCAAAAATCACCAGGGGGGAGGGAGGGGGTGAGAGATAGGAAGCGAGAGTTGAGGGGAACGTACGAGTTTTGGCAGCACAACGAAGCAACACGCTGGTAATGAATCGCACGACCATGAGGATAAGCAGAAGCAGAAACCAGCACCGACACAAAAATGGTGACAGGAGCAGCGACAGGGACAGCAGCATGTTGCATCTGCTAATAACAACTGTATTATAGCAGAGGTACAGCAACAGCAGCAGCAGCAGAGTGTAATGAGTCGATTTTTTAGTCGACTAAAAAATGGACTCATTGCACACAGGAGCAGCGACAGGGACAGCAGTATGTTGCTTCTTCTAATAACAGCAATACTAAAACAGAGTTACACCAGCAGCAGTGTAGATGCACGCACGTTGTGGATCAGCTGGTAACCAGACCCTGCCAGCTGTCGCGAAGCGAAGTTGATGAGCCACGAGGGAACGAGGTCCAGCTTCACATCGACAGTTGCAACGCCGCTGGAAGGAGCAGGGGCAGCAGAAGGAGCAGAGCGGGATAGGAGTGAGTAAAAGAGAGAGGAATGAGGCCCAGCTTCACATTCAATTTTGCGGCGCCACCAGAGAGAGTACGGGGAGCGGGGGAGAGGGGCCTATTTTTTAGGCGCCTCAAAAGTATGGAGAGTGGGGGAGGGGGTCAGAGGTGCGTGTATGAGTCTAGTTTTGAGGCGCCTCAAAACAAAGGTTTGGAGAGTGGGGGAGGGGGACAGAGGTGCGTGTATGAGGTTGGTTGAGAAAGAAAGAAACGTGGACAGCAGTAGGCAGAGGGGTTTGGATTGGTTGGATGAGGTTCACATCGATAATTGCACCTCCGCTGGGAAGAATAGGGGAGCAGCAGACAGAGGTACAGTAGAATAGGAGAGCAGCAGACAGCGGTACAGTAGAATAGGGGAGCAGCAGACAGCGGTACAGTAGAATAGGGGAGCAGCAGACAGGGTTACCATTGAATACGGGTACAGCAGATGAGCCTGCCAGCATGCATGCATGCTGGTGAGTGAGGGGATACAAAGAAGGTATGAGGCACTGCGCCCACATCAGTCGTTGTTGGTGGGAAAATCCTCAACACTCGGAAACAGAGGAAGGTGGGGCGAGGATCGCCCTAAATCAGGGTCACCGTCATCACGCATGTTCACCAAGTGGTTTTGGGAGCGCTTTGAGTCAACTGACTGACGAAGTAGCAGCAGCAGCCGTTCTTAGCAGCAGCCGTTCTTAGCAGCAGCCGCTCTTAAAGGCCTTCGCTACGAAGCCCGCCCTCACACTGATCAGAGGCGCCAAGGCCACTGCTTGCCAGAGAGCTTCAGGCCGCCTTGAAACATGAATACTCAGCTAACCAGGAGTAGCAGCAGCGGGTGCCCATTGGCCATGGCCCATGGGAAGGGCTGCAAGCAAAGCCACCCTTCTTATTGTTCTGACTCCTGAGGCGTGTGCAATGAGTCTGTTGTTGAGTCGACTCAGAAACAGACTCATTACACACAGCAGCCGGTGCTCATGGGCCATGTCCTTGGCTGCAAAGCAAAGCCACCCTCCACATTGTTCTGAGGCACCTCAAAATATGACTGCACTCTACTCTCATGGGATTCAAAAATTTACGTGCCTAATAAATACACACCACAAAACACGACTACACTCTACTCTCATGGGATTCTTAGACGTTTCAAAGCGCTTCTACACCGGAAGTAGCATCAGCCGTTGCCCCGTTCCTTGGCTACAAAATGTGGCCCCCTTCCACACAATTCTAAGGCACGTCCAAAAAACACTTCTCAGAGAAATTCTGAGTCGCCTTGCAATTTCTCACCGGAAGTAGCAGCAGCCATTGCCCAGGTCCTTGGCGGCAAATCCGCCCTTCACCCCCACGCGGACCTCCCCTGAGCGGACAGGTGGCACGCTGTCACTGGTGAAACCGTATGCGTCAGGGTCAAAAGCAGCTGGGTCTTCTGGGAACTGCAGGAGGGAAGCAGGTGAGGAGAGAGGGATGCGTGTGATGAGAGTGCGATGTATCTTTTTTGAGTCGACTCAAAAAGTCACCTCCAAAAGTCACTTTGAGTCAACTCAAAAGTCACCTTCAAAAATCGACCCTCCCCCCCCCATGTGGCTCTTTTTCTCTCACTCACAGGGGATTCAGTAGATTTCCAAGCATGGGACTTACAGAGAGCAATGACGTGGCGATGAAGCCCCCGTGGCAGTATCGTGCACGGAGAAGAGCACATAGAGGGGGTGGCGAGGGGCGTCAGCGCACACATGCAACGATGGGAGCTTGCAGATGGGGGCTTGCAGATGGGGGCTTACAGATGGGGCTTACAGATGGGGCTTACAGATGGGGCTTACAGATGGGGCTTACAGATGGGGGCTTGCAGATGGGGCTTACAGATGGGGCTTACAGATGGGGCTTACAGATGGGGCTTACAGATGGGGCTTACAGATGGGGGCTTGCAGATGGGGCTTACAGATGGGGGCTTACAGATGGGGCTTACAGATGGGGGCTTACAGAGAGCAACGATGTGGCAATGAAGCCGGTGGCAGCATCGTGCACGGAGAAGAGAACATAGAGGATGTCACGAGTGGCCAACGGCCACGGCACCTTGAAGCTGCACAGCCGGCAGGAGAATTGATCACAAGGAGGAGGTGGGACATGAGCATTTCGAAGACAGGGAAAGTGAACAAGTCAAAGCGAATGCACATGGAGGTTGCTCATGAAAATTCTCACAGCGGCAACAGCCATGGCACCTTGAAACTGCACGAACGGCAGGCAAGGCGGACAACAAGGAACCAGGGAGCAAAGTTTGGAGAGAGAAAAAAATATATATACAGCAAGGCGTTAGGGAAGAGGGAAGCTGAGAGCGTCAGGGAAGGGGGGAGATGAGAGCGTCAGGGAAGGGGGGAGCTGAGAGCGTCAGGGAAGGGGGAAGCTGAGAGCTGCAAAGGCGGACAACAGGGCAGCAGGGAGAAAAACAGGAAGGCTAAGCCACAGGGAAGGGCAATAGGGGGGAGAAGTGAGGATTGGTGCTGGACAGCGCAGCATTAAAGCCTTCGGATATCAACAGCGGAGAGAGAAAGAGGGATTCTGAGAGCTGCGAAGGGGTGCTCAAGCGATGACCAAGTGTGTGTGCAGTGAGGCGAGGTGACCAAGGTGTCTGCGTTGAGGCGCCTCAAAACTGAGACTGCTTTTGAGGCGCCTCAAAAGCGATGACCACCAAGTCTGGGAAGTGAGGCGAGGTGACCAAGGTGTCTGCGTCCTGTCCTATGCATGCAGCTACTGCTTTCCTGGGTACCAGCTACAATTTTCCTATCCTAGTCTGTGCACCACAAGCAACAACCAAGGTGACCAAGCCTGAGAGGTGGCGTGATCAGTAAGGTAACGTGAATCGTGACCAAGGTGCTTGCGTTCTTTCGCTATGGATGCAGCTACTGCTTTCCTGGATACCGGCCTTTTCTGCCATTGTGTCAGTCAGTCAACACACAAGGCAATGAGCACCAGCTCCCACCCCATGAAACTACTGAGATCCTTCCTGCAATTGTGTAAGCACTCACCGCCGCAGGTATACAAGCTCGTATCCCGGCGCTATCCTCTTGGCTATTGACTTGACTCACAAGTCACCTGCACTCACCCAACATACCCCAGCTCGCGTCCCTAGCAGCTACTGTGTTGCCACTAGGTACGGCCCCTTTCCGCCCTTGTGTAAGCACTCACCGCAGGTATACGAGCTCGTATCCCGGAACTATTCTCTTGGCGAACTTGGACTCGAGCATGTGGAATGGCGGCACGGAGAAGCGCGGCCACCTGGAGGGAAGGGATGCGAGGCGAAACAGCGGTGTGAAGGAATCACAGAGGGAAGGAGCGGGAAGGGGGGGTGGGGAGGGTGAAGCTATCCTCTTGACGAACTGGGACTCGAGCATGTGGAATGGCGGCACGGAGAAGCGCGGCCACCTGGAGGGAAGGAGGGGTGAGGGGACGAGTTGATACAGAGGGGCAGAGACGAGGAAGGAGGGATGGGCGGAGGTAAAGAACAAGGGGAAGACGCGAGGACAAGGAAGGCAGCGAGGGATTGTACGGGAGGAAGCTTTTGAGTCGACTCAAAAGTCACCTTAGAACAAGGGGAAGAAGCGCGGAAAAGGAAGGCAGCGAGGGATTGTACGGGAGGAAACGAGAATTGAGAGGGGCACGGTGCGAAGAAAAACAACAAAACTTTTCCTTTTCTCGGCTTTTAGAATGTGATTTTTTAGTCGACTCAGCAAAGTATTTCCTTCTCTCGGCTTTTAGAATGTGGCAGCTGCCACGATGATGCGGCGCCGCCACGACAGATTAGAATGGCGGATTGGAAAGATGGAAGGCGGGAGGGAGGGAGGGTGTGTGTGGCACATGACATGGGGACACGTGGACCCATGGAGACACGAGGAGCCATGCGGACACGAGGAGGCACGAGGACACGTGCACCCATGAAGACACGTGTACCCATGAGGACACGTGCACCCATGAAGACACGTGTACCCATGAGGACACGTGTACCCATGAGGACACGTGTACCCATGAAGACACATGTACCCATGAGGACACGTGTACCCATGAGGACACGTGTACCCATGAAGACACGTGTACCCATGAGGACACGTGCACCCATGAAGACACGTGTACCCATGAGGACACGTGCACCCATGAAGACACGTGTACCCATGAGGACACGTGTACCCATGAGGACACGTGTACCCATGAAGACACGTGTACCCATGAGGACACGTGTACCCATGAAGACACGTGTACCCATGAAGACACGTGTACCCATGAGGACACGTGTACCCATGAGGACACGTGTACCCATGAAGACACGTGTACCCATGAGGACACGTGGAGCACACGTACCAGTCAATGAAGAATGGAGCCTCCCACGCCACCGCAAGCACTGCAGTGCGCAGGAGAAAGGGTGAAGGGGGTGGATGTGAGAACAACGCGGGAGAGATGGAAAACGATGGAGGGAAAGAGGGAGGACAGTTTTCACAACGACAACATACAAAAAACACCATGAAAACTGATTAAGGTAAAACAAAAAAAGCACACAAAAAAACAACAACAAAAAAACCCACTGGTGTCCATGGAGCCTTTGAGCACGCCCTCCAAGCAGAGTTCGTGGAAGGCTACTCCCTCTGATCCTGGCCGGTACATCACTCTGTGGCTCTTGCTCTGCTCCTTCAGCTGCAGGCAGAGCGTGTGCGGGGAGGGGGGGGGGGGGGGGGGGGGGGTCAAAGGAAGGGGGAAGTGGGAGGTTGGGAGTTAGCTCCCTCTGACCCTGGCCGGTACATCACCCGGTGGCTCTTGCTCTGCTCCTTCAGCTGCAGGCAGGGGGGATGAATCAGAGATGGATAGATAGACCACGCAAGGGGGAGAGTCCACGGGGAGAGTGGGAAACGCCTTCTAGCCCCTGCATCTCCCTCACGCTCTTGCTCTGCTCCTTCAGCTCAGGGAGAAAAAGAAAGGGAAGAGGTGCACGGGAAAGCATACGGGGGGTTGGGAATAAAATGGGGAACTCCTCTGTGGCGGTGCATGAATCTGTGGCTCATATATTGCTACCTGCCGTGAAGACGGGGGGACGGGAAGGATGAAAGGAAGAGAGCGGAAGGTATCTTCTCTTGATTTCTCATTCGTTATATTTCCAAACGCCTCAGGGTGCGCCCTAGACTCCTCTCCGTGCATGGCTATTTCCTCACAGCTGCTCCCTGCCGCACCCTTTGTTTGTTAAGGCACGTACTTACCTGCCTGCCAGCCTGTGTTGCCTCCCTTACCCGCCAGTCTCTATTTCCAAACGCCTCAGGGTGTGCCCAGGACTCCTCTCGGGGCATGGTTATGACCTCAAGACTTGCTCGCCATTCATACTTCCCTGCCTTACCCGCCAGTCCCTGTGCCCAAACGCCTCAGGGTGCGCCCGGGACTCCTCTCTGTGCATGGCCATGTCCTCAAAGCTGCTGCCCGCTGCACTGCGCAGCCCCTCCAGCATGCCCATCGTGTCCTGTAACCGTGCAGTTACCACCTTCTCCAACACCGTGCCTTCCGCCAGGCCCGAGTACTGTTCATGCATCAGCTGGGGGCCAACTCCGTCCGGTGCTGCTGCTGCTGCTGCTGTTGCTGCTGCTGCGGATGCTGTTACTGCTGCTGCGGATGCTATTACTGCTGCTGGAGCTGCTATATCCGCAGCTCCTTCCGGTGCTGTTGCCGATGGGGGAAGGGGGTCAGTTGGTGGAGGGTCGGCTGCAGCTGCTGTGGCGGAGCCGCTGCCATTCGCACCGCCATCTGGTGGATGGGATTGATAGGATGCATGCACATGCACATGAACATGCACATGAACATTCACATGAACATTCATATGAACATTCACACGCGCATGCACAAGCACGTACATGCACATGCACATGCACAAGCACACGCACATTCGCTTTCACATGCACATGCACGCGTCGCGAATTGCGTGGCATTGGACCGAAGTGAGGCATCATGTGGGTCTATTTTTTAGGCGCCTCAAAAATCATCATGTGGGTCTTGAAAATGCGTCATGGGAGTAGTGGTCAAGGGAAAGTCATGGGCCTTGTAAACGGGTCTGATACGGGATGTCATTTCCTGACGCCTGAGCATAGTAACGCACAATGATTAAAAAAGGGAAATTACAAATATAGTCATGTGCTACACTGCTAGTAGACGACATCCACAGCATTCAAAGAACCAACTTCGGACGGAAACGTCACTTCTGTAGGTACAGGTCACAACCGTCTTTGGACAAGGCAGCGCACAGACAGCATTCCCACAACCACATTCTGTGCCTGCTTCTAACGCAAAGCGGCCTTGTAACGCAAAACGGCTTGTAACGCAAAACGGCCTTGTAACGCAAAACGGCCTTGTAACGCAAAACGGCTTGTAACGCAAAACGGCCTTGTAACGCAAAACGGCTTGTAATGCAAAACGGCCTTGTAACGCACCAGCCAATCAGGTCTTGGAGGGGAGAAACGATTGCATGCAAGAATGCTAGCTCATTCTGAACAGAAAAAACATCATAACAGACGAACCTGGAGAGTTATGATAAGCCGTCTGAACCGTCTGGCTTTTGAGGTGACTCAACATTACCTGCACGCACGAATAAGGTGGTTCGTTCTGCTATCGCACCTGGAGAGTTATGATAAGCCGTCTGAACCGTCTGGCTGCGAAGCGGCCATCCAACGACCTCCACATCTTCAGCACCTGCTCCCCCTCCATCGGATATGTCCCCGTTAGTAGCGTCTCCGTTTCCTATCCCTTCAGCTACTTGCTCTAGCATTTCTGCTGCATTTTCTATATGTCCTCGCGTCCCATTTCCCACTGCTGACGCCGTAGCTCCCTCCCTTCCTGCTGACGTGGCAGCAGCTGCATCTACAGTATCCGACAGACCTAACTGCCTTCTAACGGCACTTGCGACTATAGCGGGGTCCGTCCACGTGTCCGACGCCAGCGCACGATCGAACGAACGGCGAGCCTCTAAGAAAGCCATCGCCGCCTATAGTACTGGCGGTACCTAAGGCCCGGAATCCACGGTAACTGTGACTAATAATTTTCTTCTACCACAATTTCACAGTAAGTAATTCTCGGCTCAGCCTGCAGTGATGCCAACCACAATCTCCGTATTTTGTTTCTCAACATGTAACGTTTGGAGAAACTTATAGCAAAACCAGGGGGAAGCGCATTCCATTTATGACTCATGCGAGGTGAGGAGTGCGTAATAAACGGCTGTGCTTTCTGTCATGTCCGTCTCATTCCATCATTCCATCCACATCACTTCAGTTCTGTCAGTACAGAGCACCAGCCTTGATAATACCGTACCGTATCTCTCCACTTCGCCGAGCATCAAGACCAGTGATTCCTCAGGCGGTCAAAACAAATCCCAGTGGAATCTGGCGCGAACAGTTGGATAAACCATGGTACACACAGTTGGATAAACGGTCACTACAATTTCATCAGCTTCCTAAATTTTTATTTCACTAGAGAATTTCATATTCTGTGTTGATTTCCATCCTATTTGTATAAAACATCCCCTCATTGGCTCCCTTTTCATTAGGAAAAGCGCATTTTATTAATACAGGCTCATGTACAAGCTGCTAAGGCAGTGAAGAAGGGCAGCACAACCCGACAAAGCTGCTCTTCCTCTATTGGTTTGGTCATGTAGCCATCCATACCATTTTTCAAGCACTTCTCCCTAGTGCCAGCACCCACATCAGCCGTTAGTGCTATTACCAACAGCCTGTCTGTTCCCCGTCCATCTTGTTGGTTGCTTCCACCATTCAAACTAGCTTCATGCTTGCGGATGAGCCCCGTGGCTTCTAGCCCATCCATTTCAGGCATCTGCATAAATGATCAGATACATTCAAAACAACAAAGAGCCTGGATGATTGCATTCTGCCACGACCTTGAAAAACACACGTTAGATATACAAGATAAAAACGCAAAACCTGAAGCGATAACAAAATATCCTCTCCACTCCTCAACCCCACTCTACTGAACGAACTGTACCTGCACGTCCATGAAGACGCAGTCGAATCTGGGCGCTGCGTGCTGCACGGCCTTGACAGCCTTGGCCCCGCCATCCACCGCCTCCACCTCCACCCCGTAGCGCTGCAGGATGCGCGTCATCACCTTGCGGTTCACCATGTTGTCGTCCACCTGGAGGGGAGAAGGCAGCGAGGGGGAGAGGGAGGGGAGAAAGAGTGAGCTTGGGGGCACATCCAAGGCGCCTCAAGAGTCCTCCACCTTGTGCCGCTGCAGGATGCGCGTCATCACCTTGCGGTTCACCATGTTGTCGTCCACCTGGCAGCTCGAGAGAGCCTTCATTCCGAGTGGCCATGGAGCAGCGAGAGGGCACACAAGGAACACTCAACACGAAAATGCGTTTCAAGACAAGTCAGAGTCAAGCACTCCTCACCACTAGAATCTTCTTTCCCTTGAGTGCCAGGCACAGCAGCCTGGCTCCATCGCTCTCCTTCCGCCTCGACGACGCTCCTGCGGGCAGCATGGGCGGCAGAGCCCGAGTGCTCTCAGCAGACGCCGGGGGGGCAGTGCGGGTCTTGAGGCACGACGACATGGCTGGGCTGTCCCCCTCCTGCATTGAACCGGTGGACTTGCGGGCTCTAGACCCCGTTGACCCCGTTGGCCCCATTGACCGTGTTGACCTCAATGACCCTGTTGACCCTGCTGACCCAGTTGACCCTGTGGACCTTGCGTCTGAGGGCTGTGTTGACCCCATTGACCCTGTTGACCTGTTAGTAGTCCCATCGAAGCTCATTCTCACCCGCCTCGTTCGTCCACCTGAGCCCTGCGGAGTGGTGGGTTTGGCCATGGCAAGCCCGTCGCCATTCTCTCGAGCAATACCAGCAGGGGCCGGAGCGTCGGCAGCAGCAGAGGCTTCGCCCGTCTTCCCATCAGTGGTGCTAGACTTGAGGATGCCCGCTCTTTGGGGACTCTTGCCGCTGCTGCTGCTGCTGCTGGCAGTGCTGGTGGCGCCCGTGGTGGTTCCAGGCCAGTAAAGGGCCTTATCTCCGCGGCAACGAGCAGCCAAGGGGCCGCTATAGCTAGCTCTATCCGAACCACCATCACAATCGTCATCGTCAGGCAGCAGCCAGCGCACCACAGGTCCAGGCAAGCTTTGCTCCAACGAGCTTTGCTTGACTGGCCGTTGCTGCTGCTGCTGCTGCTGCTGCTGGCACTCACCTCCTGTCCCCGCCCCTTCTGTGCCCCTTCCTACCCTCCTCCATTCCTCCTCTTTCCCTGCCTTACTCTCCTCTTCCTCCCCTTCCTCCCCATCCTCCTCATCATACTCCCTTTCGTCATCACCATCATCATCCTCCTCCTCCCTCGCCGCCACCCTTCCTCGCACCTCCTCCTCCTCCTCTGCCGCCTCTGCCGCATCCCCCTCCCCCAGTCCCCCATTCGCCCCCAAAATCAGCTGTGAGAGGTTTGTGGAGAGGGCTGACTGCCTCACAGGCTTCGATAGAATCACGTCAAAAGCCTTACTGGCTGCTTCTGCTGCTGATGCTGCTGCTGCTGCTGCTGCTGCTGCTGTGGTGGCTGCAGCTCCCTCTCCTTTGCCCCCCCCCTGCTGCTGCTGCTGCTGCTGCTGGTGCTGGTGCTGGTGCTGATGCCCTGATGCCAGCAGCACTGCAGCAAACCAAGGCCATTCCCCCATGCCATCAGTGCCAGGCGTCGGTTCATACCGTCTGCTCCCACAGCAGCAGAAGCCACACACCCCCCCGTTGCTGCTGCTGCTGAAACTGCTGCGAGTGGTGGCCTCTGTGCCTGCTCCTATGCTGGCAATGCTGCTGCTGCTGCCGCTGCTGCTGCTGCTGCCGCTGCTGCCAATGCTGCAGGTACTCCCTCTGATCAGCTGAGGAAGCCCGCACGTGTGGCATTTTGATTCGGCCCTGCTGTTGTCACTTCCTTTACTGTCACCACTCGCACTGCTGGCTTGGCTGTTCTCGGGACTGCTGCCACTGCTGCTGCCATTGGCCTGGTTATCACATCCCTGGTTACCACAGCCCTGGTTACCACAGCCTAGGTTACCACACTGGGTACCAGGTGCTTCTGCCGAGCCAGTCTGGTGAAGCGAGTTCGGCCGAACCTCGTATCCTGCTTCAGCCATGGCATTCAGTGCAAGCCATTGCCATGTGCAGCTGCTACTGCTGATGCACCTCTTGCCCTCATTCCGCTTCCCCTCCTCCTCCTGCTGCCCCAACTGCCCTTGCTGCTGCTGGAGCTGGTTCTCTCGTCTCTGCCGCTGCATTGCCTTGTTGTGCCTTCCCAGCCACTCCGCATCCACCACCACAATCACAGGCCGCTTAGCAACCCCTGACTGTGCTGCACCCGATCCACCCACCGCTCCTGACTGAACGTCAACTGCTGCTGCTGCGGCTGCAGCAACCAGGGAGCCAGAGACATCGTTGCTGGGCTTTAAGGTTGCCTCCAAAGGCAGGGGTGGACTAGTGAGGAGTGGTATGTGCACCGCATGTGCGGTAACAGCTTCGGGGGTGTTCAGCACCGGGATGCCGAGCCTGTTGAGCAGGCTCTCCATCACGCCAAACCGCACGGCTCGGTCGTCTAGGAGAATGGCAGAGAACCGGGATAAGCTCGCTTCGGTCTGCTGGAGAAGGTGTAGGGGCGAGGCTGGCAACACGTGCAGCGGAGATGCTCTTAACGGGGATGACAATAATGGGGATGATGCTCGAAGTGCCGGTGATGGAGGTTTTGCTACTGGCGATGCAGTTGCTGGTGCTGCTGAAGCTTGCACACCCCATGGCAGGTTCGGTGACTCCAGACCTGATGTTGGTTCGGCGAGGAGCGGGAAGCTGCACCCATTGTCTTCACTCAAAGCCACACCATCTCTTGAATCACCGATCTCGATAATGACAGAGTCTGTCCCTGTTGACCCTGCAGCCTTCGACAGAGGACATGCTGCCAATGGTGCTGCTGCGCCTGCTGCTGCTTTTTCAGCCGCCCTTGAACCAGCAGTAACAGCGGCAGCGGCAGCGGCAGCAGCATGATCAGAACGAGCAGCGGCAGCGACGGCATCGGCAACAACAGCAGCCGCCACCGGCTCGCCCTGGCGGCCGTTACATGGCATGACAACGTCGAAGAAGAATGTAGTCCCAACCCCCGGGCGCGAGGTGAAGGACAGTTTGCCACCCATGAGATCCACGAGGTGGCGCGAGATGGAGAGCCCGATGCCCGTGCCGCCGTGAGTACGTGTTGTGCTCGCATCCGCCTGCATGAAGGGCTTCAGGATGGTGCGCTGAGCGGGGTAGGGGATGCCCTCGCCTGTGTCCTGTGAGTGGCAGACCAGTAAGAAGGAAACAAGGGAGAAGGGGAAAAACGGGATTCAGGAAACGATGGCCTACAGAGAAAAAGGGATTTTTAAGGTAGAACAAGAGGATGGGGCGCTGGACAGGCCAGGGTAGAGTATTCGCTCCCCTTGCCGCGGGGGACCTGTGGGGTTGAGTACCCAGCTTTGGGCCAGTGGAGAGCATGCGAGGCAGAGACGACGTGAATAAGAACAATTACCGAAAAAAAAAAAAAAAAAAAAAAAAAAAAAAAAAAAAAAAAACAAACAAACAAACAAACAAACAAACAAAACAAAACGCTTGTGGGGGCTGGGGCGGTTGGGGCGGGGGCCGGGGGCGCTGGCTTCATTCAAACCTCCACAGAGATGACCAATCGCATACAACCGATCGCGTACCTCCACAGAAATGACCAATCGCATACAACCGATCGCGTACCTCCACAGAGACGACCAATCGCATACAGCCGATCGCGTACCTCCACAGAGATGACTAATCAAATATGCCAATCGCATACAACCGATTGCATACCTCCACAGAGATGACCAATCGCACCGTCGGGCCGTTCAGCAAAGGGCTTCCTCCTCCTGCTGCCCCCCCCACCACACCTTCTACACCCTCCGACCCACCCTCCCCTTCCTCTCCGTCCATCCCGCCATCCCTCTCCCCTCCCTCCTCCCCACCCTTCTCCCCCCTCCCCTTCCCCCTGCTCATCCCCTCCTCCCACCACTTCTCCCTCCGCCCTGCGAGCACCTTCCAGCTATTGCAGCTGTCAACCGCCTCCCTCCCGCTTAGAGTCAGGCTCTCAGGTGCCCTGCTCCCGTTACCAAGGCTGCCGCTGCCGCCGCCGCCGCCGCCGCTGCTGCTGCTGCTGCTGCTGTTTCGCCTGCCTGTTAAGCTCGTTCGACCGGTTAAGCTGACTCGTTCGGTGGGTGGGGCAACACCAGGTGACGGTAGAGAAGAGGGGCTGTTCTTGTCTGGCGCTGTGGGGTTTGTGGCGGCAATGGTGGTCGCACCAGCAGCACTAGGAGGGGCACCAGAAGCACCAGCAGCAGCAGCACCAGCAGCACAAGCAGCAGCATCACCAGAAGCCACGCCACCAGCCCCAGCATCAGCAGCGAGCATGAGGGCACTCAAGCGAGCCGACTGCCGCTCGGGTCGAAAGGCAACCTCCTTCGATGCACCCTCCACCGTGCCCTCGCTTGTTTCATCCTCCTTGCCCCGATCACAACCACTGCCACCACCTCCCCCAGCAGCAGCAGCAGCAGCAGCAGCAGCGTTACCAGCACCGCCTACGCTGGCCTTTGTTTCTACTGCTACCACGGACAGCTTATCAGCTATCTTGGCTGTGTTCGAAGGCTTATCAGCTATCATGGCAGGGGCGTGCAAGCGGGTGGAACGGTGGTGGGGGTGCTTGCGAGCCGCCTTGCGCAGATCTTCATCGGGGTCTGCCGTGCGGATGGCAATGAAGATGTGACCACGTTCGGTGAACTTGCACGCATTGGACAGCAGGTTGATCAGCACCTGGTGAGTGCACAGGAATGCACAAGTGAGTCGAGCGCCCAAGGACCCACTTCTAAGAGCAGCTTGGTTTCTGAGGCGCTTCAAAAATCGACTCATCACACATGGAATGCAGTAAGTGTGTCGAGCGCACAACGAACCACCACTTCTAAGAGCAGCTTGATTTGAGGCGCCTAAAAAATCGACTCATCACACACGGAATGTACAAGTGTGTCGAGCACAGGAGCACAAGGAAGGAACCACTTCGATTCTAAGAGCAGCTTGAAGCGGGAAGCCACTACTGGTAGCAATGTAAGCCCCTAAACCACGCAAGACAAGGGAAGCAGACCACGCAAGACAAGGGAAGCAGACCACGCAAGACAAGGGAAGCAGACCACGCAAGACAAGTGAGAACACGCCATAAGCCCACGACTGACCTGCCGTAAACGCAGCGAGTCCCCGAGCACAGCAGCGGGCACAAGGGGGTCAACGTAGGCAGCGACCTCGAGGGCGGGCTTGTCTCGGAAGCGCTCCACAAACATGGTCAAGACAGTGTCCACCTCGCAGCGCACGTCCATGGGCACGTGCTCCAGCTGCATCTTCTGTGCCTGGTGTGTGGGGGGGGGGGGGGTAGGAGGGGGGGGAGGGGGAAGGGGGGGAGGGGGATTGGGAAAGGAAAGGATGGGAGGGGAAACGTGGTGAGCACAGTGTCGACCTCACAGCACACGTATGTGGGCACATGCTCCAGCTGCATCTTCTGCGCCTAGGGGGGTATGTTTGTGAGTGGGGGAAAGGGGGGTTGTGGGGGGAGGGGGGCCTGGGGTATGTTGGGAGGGAAAGCATGGTGAGCATTGTATTGAACTCGCAGCACACGCCCATGGGCACATGCTGCAGCTGGATCTTCCGGGCCTGCATCTTCCGGGCCTGCATCTCCCGGGCCTGCATCTTCCGGGCCTGCATCTTCCAAGCCTGCATCTTCCGGGCCTGCATCTCCCAGGCCTGCATCTCCCAGGCCTGTATCTTCCGGGCCTGCATCTCCCGGGCCTGCATCTTCCGGGCCTGCATCTTCCAGCGCTGCGTCAAAATTTGAGCGGGAAAATGGCGTTGATGTGACATAACTGTGCGCACCTTGATGTGGAGGATGTCGTTGATCAGCTTCAGCAGCGTCCCCAGCTGGTCCTCGCAGACCCCATCGTGTCCCCGTCGCACATTGGCGTCCACTCTCCTCTCCTGTCTCACCGCTCTCCACAACACAACATTGGTTGGCATCGCACCTCTATCTTGGAGAGGTCGAGGATGTCGTTGATCAGCTCCAGCAGCGCCCGCCCACTGGTCCGGGCTGTTTCCACGTAGTCCAGCTGGGTGATGGTGAGCGACGTCTCCAGCAGCAGATTCAGCATCCCTGAGGGATGTAAGGGGGTTGGGGACGGTTGTGTGAAGTGAAAGATTGCGCATCAGTGTGGTCCTGGCTGGCTGTTTCCACGTAGTCCAGCTGGGTGATGGTGAGCGACGTCTCCAGCAGCAGATTAAGCATGCCTGGGGGCGTATGGGGGGGGTGGGGAGAAAGGCCGGAGGGGGGAGGGGGGGAGGGGAAGGGGGACAGGCATAAAGGAATTGCCATGAATGAAGTGTACAGGCGGCTGTCTCCGCTGTAAGTTCTTGAGGCGCCTAAAAATTGCCTCAAAAATCGCCTAAAAAATCCCGAATAATCGCCTCAAAAAACGTTTTGCACAGGCTGTCTCAGAAGTAAGTTCAGCATGCCCGGAGCATGGCGAGAATAGGGCCGGCAATGGCCGGATGGACCTTGAGGCACAGCATTGACACCCACCCGAATCGAGACAGTCATTCATGGATGGGCGTCCAATCCGAACCCATGATGGCCCGACCACCAGGCCAATGCACCGCCAATGCACCGCCAATGCACCGCCAATGCACCGCCAATGCACCGCCAATGCACCGCCAATGCACCGCCAATGCACCGCCAATGCACCGCCAATTCACCGCCAATGCACCGCCAATTCACCGCCAATGCACCGCCAATGCACCGCCAATGCACCGCCAATGCACCGCCAATGCACCGCCAATTCACCGCCAATTCACCGCCAATGCACCGCCAATGCACCGCCAATGCACCGCCAATGCACCGCCAATGCACCGCCAATTCACCGCCAATGCACCGCCAATGCACCGCCAATGCACCGCCAATGCACCGCCAATGCACCGCCAATGCACCGCCAATTCACCGCCAATGCACCGCCAATGCACCGCCAATGCACCGCCAATGCACCGCCAATGCACCGCCAATGCACCGCCAATGCACCGCCAATGCACCGCCAATGCACCGCCAATTCACCGCCAATGCACCGCCAATGCACCGCCAATGCACCGCCAATGCACCGCCAATGCACCGCCAATGCACCGCCAATGCACCGCCAATGCACCGCCAATGCACCGCCAATGCACCGCCAATGCACCGCCAATGCACCGCCAATGCACCGCCAATGCACCGCCAATGCACCGCCAATGCACCGCCAATGCACCGCCAATGCACCGCCAATTCACCGCCAATTCACCGCCAATGCACCGCCAATGCACCGCCAATGCACCGCCAATGCACCGCCAATTCACCGCCAATTCACCGCCAATGCACCGCCAATGCACCGCCAATGCACCGCCAATGCACCGCCAATGCACCGCCAATGCACCGCCAATGCACCGCCAATGCACCGCCAATGCACCGCCAATTCACCGCCAATGCACCGCCAATGCACCGCCAATGCACCGCCAATGCACCGCCAATGCACCGCCAATGCACCGCCAATGCACCGCCAATGCACCGCCAATGCACCGCCAATGCACCGCCAATGCACCGCCAATGCACCGCCAATGCACCGCCAATGCACCGCCAATGCACCGCCAATGCACCGCCAATGCACCGCCAATGCACCGCCAATGCACCGCCAATGCACCGCCAATTCACCGCCAATTCACCGCCAATGCACCGCCAATGCACCGCCAATGCACCACCAACCAATACACCTTCAACCACGCACCTATCACTCCGTTCATGGGCGTGCGCAGCTCGTACAACATGGTGGTCAGGAAAGAACGTCCCTTTGGCCGTGCTGGCCCTCACCACCACACTAGCTACACTAAATCCCTCAGGGACTCACCTATCACCCCGTTTATCACTGAATCCCGCCAGGCAGGCACGCACCTATCACTCCGTTCATGGGCGTGCGCAGCTCGTGCGACATGGTGGCCAGAAACGTCCCCTTGGCCTTGCTGGCGCGCTCCGCCACGTTCCGGGCGGCCTTCATTTTGTCCTTTAGCAGCTCCATGCGGTGGAAGTCGTGCTCCAGCTGGTGCACGTGCGAGCTCGCCACCCACCACACGTACCCCAGAAGGGACATGACCGTGATTATAACGAGCGCCCAGCCGAGGCAGGAATAGGGGAAGACGTAGTAGTCAATATACCTGGTGGGGAAGAGGAAAAGGGAGGGGGGAAGGGAGAGGGTGGGAAGAGGGTGGGAGGAGGAAGAGAGGGGGGGGGGGGGGAGGGTGGGGGGAGAGGAGGGGAAGAGGAGAGGGTAGTTGGGGGTGTGCTTTGCCTTTAGCAGCTCCATGCGGCGGAAGTCGTGCTCCAGCCAGCTGGTGCAGGTGCGAGGTGGGGAAGAGGCTGAGACATGGGGGTAGGAGAGGAGGCCGTGGTTGGGGGGTGCGCCTTGTCTTGCGTGGGACCCATGCCTCCGAGGCTCCGAGGCTCCGAGGCTCCGAGGCTTCGAGGCTCCGAGGCTCCCCATGCGGTGGAAGTCGTGCTCCAGCCAGCTGGTGCACGTGCGAGGTGGCCACCCACTGCACGTACCCCAGCAGCGACACGACATCACTGTGACTATAACGAGCGCCAGGCCCAAGCAACCCCCTTCCCCAGGAGTTCGTACCCCCCCCAGGAGCTCTCACCTGCACCGGATCTCGTACTGCCGGTAAGGGTCCCCCAGGTCCAGCGTGGTGACGTAGTTGTACGAGTCCTTCTCCCCCTTCGCCAGCCTGTGGCCCACCGGTTCATACATCAGCCGCTCCATGCTGCCCCGCCCCAACACCTCCCCTGGCGCTGCCATCGTATCTCCAAACCCAATCGTTGCTTCACCACCCCCGAAGCCTGCCTGGCTCGAATCCCCGTTGCTGCTGCTGCTGCCAGTGCCGGTGTTTTTTCGAACACCGGTGCTGTAACCACTGGCTGGCATCATACTGCTGGTGGTGCCGCTGGTGCTGCTGCTACCATTGCCGCCACTGCCCCCGCTGCTGGCATTCCCCCTGGCAGCGGTGTTGGCCCCGTTATAGTACCCCGTCTGCGCCTCGCTGCTCCCATTTGTCACATCGTACACTCTCACAAACATCGGCATGTGCTCGCGATGCAGCGACTTGATCAACGGCTCAAAATCCAGCAGAGCCGACATGAACCCTCGGCACTTGGATCGGAACTCGCCCACGCTCGATCCTGCGTCAGGTGGGGTCCGTTCCTTGTACACTGGGTACACACGTAACATGAGCGTGTTGAGGTCGCGGTTACCACTCGCCTCGGTCGCTACAGTGTTGCCAGACGCGCCGGTGCTGCTGCTGCTGCCGACGTTGATGCCGCCCATTGAATCGACCCCCATTTGCAGGGGAGGGGTGAGTGCTCCCATGATGCCCTGGTCCCTGGCTCGAATCACCGCCTCCCTGTTGGCTGGAAAGGCATCTGGAGGGGGAAGAGGGGGAGAAACGGGACGGAGAGGGAGGGTGGATGAGGGGGAGACGTTGATGCCGCCCACTGAGTCGACCGCCATTTGTTTTGGAGGCGGGGTTAGCGCCCCCATGATGCCCTGGTCGCTCAAATCACCGCCTCCCTGTTGGCTGGAAAGGCGTCTGGGGAAGAAACAGGGGGAGGAGAGGATAGACATGCAGAGAAGGGGTTGAGAATGGTTGCCAGAATATCTTGCATCCATGCATGTGCGTGTGAATGTGAATATTCACGTGCACGTGCCGCTGGAAGTGCATGCGAATGAATGTGCGTGCGTGCACGTCACAGGCTCACCCCAGAAGCCCAGGCTCTCCCCACATCATGGCTTGTCCGATGGACACTTGAGCCATCGCGGTGTCTACAATGGGTATATACTGCTCTCCGCCCCGACCATGCGCACGTGGATGCGCTTGTGCGTGTGCGTGTGCGTGTGCATGTGCATGTGCATGTGCACGTGCACGCCTATCAGACTCACCCCACATCATGTCTTGTCCGATGGGCACATGAGTGGACGTTGTGTATAGAATGGGTGCATACTCGGACTGCTCTTCCGCACATGCCATGTCATGCCTGGCGCAAGGGGGGAGGAGGGCGGAGCGGGATGGGGGGAGGGGGGGAGGTGGAGGGGAGGTGGGTGGATGAAAAGGTTAAGAAGCTGGTGGCAACGGCATGGCGAGAAGCCATGAAGCGACAGCCCTATATTCTCCCTCCTCGCAGCCCCCACATGCACGCATGCACTCATGCAGGCATGCACACACACTCTCTCACGCACACAGAGTCACGCATACACACACAGGCACACGCTCACACACACAGAGTCACAGATACATACACAAACACACGTACGCGCCCGGGCTCGCGCGCGCGCGCACGCACGCACGCATGCACACACACACACACACACACACACACACACACACACACACACACACACACACACACACACACACACACACACAGCAGCAGCAGCAACAGCAGCAGCAGCAGCAGACGCACGCCAGAACTCACTTGATGCAGAAGCCGCTCCCCTGCGCGCGCTCAAACGGGCGCCGATCTGCCTGCGGTACTCTAACGGCAAACGAGATGTCTGTCAAACGAGGACGCGCGTACTCCGTGTCGTTGAGGAACCCCATGAACGTGGACTGCGGGGGAAGGAAGTGGGGGGGGAGGGAGGGGGGAAGCAGGGAAGAGGGGGGAAAGGGGGGGGGAGGGGGGGGAGGAGAAGGGGCGGGGAGAGGGGGAAGTGGGCGGGGAGGGGGGAGGGCGTACTGTGTCGTTGAGAAACCCCATTAACGTGGACTGCAGGGGAGGGAGGGAGGGGGGAGGGGGGAAGGGGGGGAGAGGGGGGGGAAGTGAGAGAAGAGGGAAGAGGGGCGCGGGCAATCGGGAGAGAGCTGCCGCGTTTGGTGGCGCCCCGAAGCATGAGTGTGGGTAGCCTTAGGCCGCCCATGAAAGCTGAAAGCTGGCTGCGGCGAGGAGGTGGGTGAGTGGCGGGGCAGCAAAGAGCGAAACGGAAAGAATCTGCTCTTGAGTCGACTCAAAAGCAGAGGCGGGTGGGCAGCGGCAGCAAAGAGGTGGAACAGGATAGGAGAAAGCATCGACTCTACGCACGCGGGGTTAAAGGACTGACAATTGAGTCGGCTCAAAAGTCACGGGGGGGGTTAAGGAGTCCTGGGGCCGACTGAATCGACGCAACTCACTTGAGCGTTTCAACTCCCCTCAGCGACGCTGCTCACCTTAGAGACGCTACACCCCTCAGCAACGCTTCTCACCTCAGCGACGCTACTCACCTCAGCGACGCTTCTCACCTCAGCGACGCTACTCGCCTCAGCGACGCTACTCGCCTCAGCGACGCTACTCGCCTCAGCGACGCTACTCACCTCAGCGACGCTACTCGCCTCAGCGACGCTACTCGCCTCAGCGACGCTACTCGCCTCAGCGACGCTACTCACCTCAGCGACGCTACTCGCCTCAGCGACGCTACTCTGCTCACCTCTTAGTTTCAACCTACCCTGTCGAGAGTCCCCTGGGGCTTGTTGTAGTGAAACGTGGTCACCAGGTTGGCCAGCAGGCGGATCTACATGCGAACAACACAGCGCGAGAAACGGCGCAGGCAGGAGTACGTGTCAAGGAAGAGAAATACTTTTTTAGGCGCCATAAGAAGGGCGAAGGAGTATAAAGGAAGGAAGAGGAAGGAGGCGTCGCGGAGAGTGAAAATGAGAGAAGGGGAGACGAGATGAGAGGTGGGAGATTGAGGGAGAGAGATTAGGAAGGACAGCAATGAGTGGAGCAGAACGAATTGATCAACGGAATCATGGTGGTATGATAGGTCCGGGAAAACTACTACAAGGAACTTCGTCTGTGCCTACCAGGTTCGTGATGCCAAAAAAACGGTCCTGCGGCGCCAGCTTAGTACGACTCTGAGAGACCACAAAGCGGAAGCAGCTGCTACTACTAGTAGAGGCTCATGCATGGGTCCGTGGGCTTGTGCATGGGTCCGTGGGCTCGTGCATGGGTCCGTGGGCTCGTGCATGGGTCCGTGGGCTCGTGCATGGGCCCGGGGGCTCGTGCATGGGCAAGGGGGGCAGCTCACATGGGTGGTCCTACCTGGTTTGTGGTGTCGATGAAGTGGTCCTGCAGCAACTTCTTGTACGCCTCGCACTCTACCTCCAAAGCTACCTGCTCGGGGGGGAGAGGGGGGAAGGGGGTGTGGGGGGGGGGGCGAAGAGTGTTGGGGGCGTCATGGGTGCTTAATAAGACGACAGTCGACAGACGAGGGGATGGGTAAAGAATCAGACGACATTCGATGCGCGCATATACAAGGCACCACCAGCTCCAAGCCCCGCCTTCTCGCCCCATAGTACCTGCCTCCTGCCCCACCCGCCTCCATTTAGTCCACGCACCGCTGCGCGCCTGCCGCTCATTTTGGAAGTTCTTATACGTCGCAGAGAACGCAATTGTTAGGCGCCTTGAAAGCGAATGCATGCGCCGCCGTACCTGCCGCTCATTTTGGAAGTTCTTATACGTCGCAGTGAACACAGCCACAGCGGCCGCTACCGTCACCAGCACCCACATCGCGATGCACACGTGGCGCCACATCATGCTCATCTGCAAATACCGCTGCACGCTGAACACGTCGCCCACGTACTGCCACGTGGACCCATCCGGGCCCTCCCCGCGCCGGTGGCGGATGTAGCGGTTGTTCCGCCGGTACCGCCTCCGCCAGGGAATCAGCGGCTCTTTTTCCGCTCCGCTTCCCCCCCCGGCGGGCGCAAGCAGGCTCCTTCTTCCGCTTCCGACCGACCTGGGGCTGTGTTCACCGCCGTCGGCGGAAGGGGAAGGGATGTCTACTACCGCCACGCTTCCGTTTTTATCAGCCAATTCTCCCTCTCGGCCGGCTTCTCCGCATTTTCCGGCGGCCTTTCCCCCTTTTCCTCTCCATCGGCTTCGCAAGGATGCCATAAAGGGGCTCCTCCAATCGAAATCCGACACGTTCCAGATTCCGCGGTTCCCGCCGAAGCAGAGGAAAGACGGAGGACCGCCATCGGCTTCGTCCGAGGAGTCATCCAGACCGTCCGTTCCATCCGTGCCGTCCGTCCCGCATCCATCGCTGCTGGCACTGGTGGTGCCGTTAGTGCCGGTTCCGCTACCCCACGCGCTTGACCGGCTCTGACTCGCTTGACTGCCGTTGTAAGGCGACGCAGGAGGTACTACTAGGAGGGGAGAAAGCGGTGCTGCTGGGTTAGTAGGGGTTCCAGCAGTTTCTGTTGCGGATTGTGCTCCCTCTGTCAATGCTGCTGTGGTAGTGCTTCGCCCGAACAACCTCATCGTAATTTCCCGAAATTCGCTTGATAATCGCCACTCCAGGGAAACAATGGCACGTGTATAAAGAATTTTCTTTTGCAACACTAGCGACTGCTTTCTGCTGCTCTTTTCTTGCTCGTCCGATGCCGAAAGAGGGAAACGCTACACCAACGACACCGCCGCTAATTTCGTCCAGTGCCTTGTCGAATTCTCCTTGCAAAACGATGACAAGGTTCCATCCAAGTGGAGAGCCCGCCGCTGACGCCGCAAGAAACTGGACTGGAGATAAGAATTAAGTGGAGGTGAAGTCAAACCCTTGATCAAAACGTGCTTTCTGAAAAAGAACCAACCAACCCGATCTAACTCAAAGCCTGTTGCTTTTGCCTTCGCCAGGCTGTTAATCTTTCGTTGATCAATCTCCCACCCTGCCTAGGGAACTCCAGTCCATTGGGTGTGGCTGAAAGACTGCCTGGCTCCCTGCCGTTTGCTCAAATCGTCCTGTACAGCTGACTGACAATGCTAGGGAATTCTGAGAGAAGCAGGAAGGGGGAGGTTGTGTTCTTTATTGTGCAACCGCCCGTCCACCTCAGCATCACGTGCCTTCTTGAGCCCGCGATTTTGGTTGTTTTTGGCTCCTGATACCCCCCACCCATCCTCCAACCCATGCCGCTCGACTTCGCAATACACGCCGATCAAGGAATCCACTGTCTCTCATTGGGTTCCTTCACATCGTGTCAGCAAAATATATGTGGATGCAACAAATGTAATCATTTGAACCGCAGAGTACCGTCTTATAACTTACTGGATGACGGGATGCTGTTCGATGTCGTCGGTATCCGTTGACATCAAGGAGCCTACAGCATCTGTCCAAAGCAAACCACGCCTGCACGCCCCCAACCCCCAATCTCTCCACTCCACCCTACCTCTCCTCAGCGTGGCAGTCCAGTCCAGACCTGAGTGTGTACCGTACAGTTCCGCTGCATACTGTCCACCCTATACTGTAAATATCCCTTCACTCATCAAAAAGCATCCGCACCCAGTGGGTGGGAGGAGGAGGGGGGGGGGGGGGGGAACTCACCAAAAGCCCAGCCAAGCACACCGGTCACAGCTACTGCACCTAAATATCTGGGGTATCAATCGTGCATAACCTCAACCAAGCCTTGTTGGGCCCTGCCTCTGCGAGCTGTCCTTTTTCCCGAGTCCGAACTGAACAACTATCAGCCACAAAGTTCCAGTACCCTCACAGCTTTGTGGCTGCAGATGCCAGATCACCAACTCGCGGTGACCAGTTTGTGGATAAGGCTTGGCCAATCATGTTAACGAGGGAGCATTGTGTCAAGTGGCTGATTTTGTGGCCAGGGACCGCGGTGGTGGCACAACAGGTGACGGATATCATCCCGAGCTTCAACTGCTCAAGATTTTGCGCGTGAATTCTGTGGACGATGTCCTTCGACCAATTGCGGCGCCATAGACGCTGACCTAATGCCCGTGGAATCTATCATCTAGCCCTCACAAATCGCCACAGTAGCTATGGGTGAATCGTGCATGCTGTCAAATCCATCGATCCCTTTCCCCGGATTCCCCTGGAACGGAGGGGTGGGGTTCATTTGACACCATTAGAGGCTGGATCGTTTGATGCGGTGGTACCACAAATTGTTTTGGGCTTTAAGGAGAAGTGGTACCACAAAGAGAACTCAAATTAGTCTTAAATATATCATTTCCTCACTCATCTGTTGCTGTAATATGTTTGCTCACTTTAACCCACGGATACCAGAGCCTCGACTAGCCTGATAATTCAGATTCTATATCTTAGGTGCCCTAATATACTTCATTAGCTCGTGCGAGGCCAACAATATATGCTAGTGACATGCATTGTGCCTGCCTTGCTTGATGGTTCTCCCTGTAATGGTCAAAATGCTCAAATAGAGCTCAACGCATTAGAAGCATCTAGGCTTGAGTTGAATACTAGAACCCAACACGAATTCAATGTGCACGTGGTCAAGGCAGATGTTCTCAGTGTAGCGTAGCCGCAAGTACAATATGTCAACAAACATATGGTTTTGTTCACACGTATCTAGTTAGTTTGGATATGTTTGTTATAGCCTAGCTAGGCCCGTTCTTAGAGGGGACAATATTCTTGTACTTGTATCTCCATTCCCCTCTTCCTAGTCACACATTTTCTCGCTACTCTAACATCGTATCGAGCTAGGTTATATTTTTTTCCGCCGTTCCTCACGCTTTCGCCGTTACTGTAGCTTCTTTTTTTGTGCATGTGCAACTCTCTCAATTTCGCGCACCTCCCGCCCACCAATTTCACACTTCGTAGTCTCGATTCCCCACCCCCTAGCGTTCGTTCTGTTTCGTACAGAAGCTAGCAGGCCGGCACGCCAGCCAGCGCACTTGCCAGCACGCCAGCCAACGCGCTAGCCAACTAGCCAGCATGTTAGCCCGCTAGCTCGCCAGCCACGTTAGCCAGCTTGCCGCCCGCAGTGCTAGCCAGCTCGGCGCCAGCAGCGCCGCCGGCGGCCAGCTAGCCGCCAGCAGCGTCCGCCAGCTCGCCACAACCAGCTACTCACCAGCAGCACCGGCCAGCTAGCCGCCAGCAGCGTCCGCCAGCTCGCCGGCCAGCTAGCCACCAGCAGCGTCCGCCAGCTTGCCGCTAGCAGCTGCTGCCAGCTACTCGCCAGCAGCGCCAGCCAGGTTGTCACTGGCCAGCTCACCGCTAAGCCAGCCACTGCTGTCAGCTAGTCGCCAGACAGCCGCCGCCCTCACAACCGCCACTGCTGCCGCTACCACTGCTGCAGCTGCTGCCGCCACTGCCGCTGCTGCCGCTGCCGCTGCTGCTGCTTGCGCTGCCGCCGCTGCCACTGCCGCAGCTGCTGCCGCCACTGCCGCAGCTGCAGCCGCCGCTACCTCCGCTTGTGCTGCCGCCGCTGCCACTGACGCAGCTACTGCAGCCACTGCCGCTGCCGCCACTGCTGCTGCTGCCTCTGCCGCTGCTGCCGCCAGCTGCAGCCGCCACTGCCGCCGCTGACCGTGCAGCTGCCGCTGCCACCGCTGCCGATGCTGCCCTTCCAGCCTCCACTGCCGCCGCTGCCCTTGCAGCTGCCATTGTCGCCATTGCTGCTGCTGCCCTTGTAGCTGCCGCTGCTGCCGCTGCCCTTACAGCTGCCCCTGCCACCGCTGCCATTGCAGCTGCTGCTCCAGCCATGGCCGCCGCTGCTGCCACTGTCGCCACTACTGTTGCCAACCGTCAGCTTTAGCCTCCACCAGCCTGGCCACCAGCAGCTAGCACCAGTCGCCAGCCGCCAGCAGCCGACCGCCGGCAACCAGCCGCCGACCCCCAGCCGTCAGCCGCTAGCTGCCATCACTCGCGGCCAGCCGCCGACCACCAGCCGCCAGCGGCAGTTGGCCGCCAGCTCCCAGTTGCCAGTCGGCCGCCAGCCGCCAGTCGCGAGCCGGCCGCTAGCCTCGTGAGTCCCCTGTGCCCCGTTTACTGTCATTCGCCATGTGCCGCCAGTCCTAGTGATTCCTAGCTAGCTCCTTGGCGTGCTGCTCCTAGTAGCTCCTCTCTCGCGTACTTCCTCCTCGTTTGCTCCCTACTCCTAGCAGCTCCTAGCCTCCCGCTAGCCGCTCACAAGCAGCTGTCCACCCGATCCCAGCCTGCCACCTCTTGCTACCAGCCCACCGCCAGCTAGCCACCACTGCCATCTTACTGTCACTCGCTCCTGCTATTGTCAGCCTACCGCTAGCCGCTGCTACTACTAGCCTCCTGCTCGCTGCCACTGCTCCGGCCACAGCCGCCACTGCAACTACCTCCGTTAGTGCTCCTGTAGCGACTAGTGCCTCCCACTATTCTCCTCCTCGTTTCTGGAGTTCCTCGACACCTCTCCTCTAGGTATGATGGCCTCGTTAAGGTCTGTTCCTCCGCCAGACCGCCGGGCACACCCTCCGCTCTTCGATTTCTCACTCACCGTTTACAACTAGTGACCCCTCACCTAGATTGCACGCTCCTAGAGGATCACATCAGCTCCCTCCTTGGCTTCTGGCTCCACAACCTCGACAATTGCTTCCGTGCTCTCTGGCCAGTGCCGCAGCCGCAGCCGCAGCCACAGCCATAGCAGCAACAGCAACAGCCGCAGCAGCCGCAGTGGGGTCTTGAGGGTGTTGGGTGCGGTGGGGGCTCTGGAGGTGCGGCCCCGGGGCGGTCACTGCCCTAGGGCCAGTGTAGTTTCTCTAGAGGACCGGGGGCCTTGGGGCCTAGGGGTCTAGGTCCCACCAATGTGTCTAGTCTAAGAGCCTCTACTACGTGTCCCCTAGGCTCCTCCCCTGCCCCTCCTGCAGCAGCCCTCTCCTTTATTCTTGACTTGGGCGTGCCTTATTGCTTCTTTAGAGACAGCACTGCTCTCACCCTGCTTCCTGCGCCTGTCCCCGTCGCACTAGCAGACTCCTCCGCTACAGCTGTTGCACGTAGCACCACGACTATCCCCTATCCAATAGTCCCCTTCGGGTCCCTCATCAGTCTGCACATCTCCTCGTTTGCTAGGAACCTAATGGGTGTCAGTCACCTTCAGGTTTGAGGCATCACCACTACATTCCCTAGCCGCGAGAGACACGCCGCCTGCACAGACGCAACCACGGTCGACACTTAGCCACGTTTGAGCGTGACCCATGATCAGGTCTTGTTACACTACACACTGAGTCATTGCCGACTGCTGCGTCTGCCGCGGTTGCCGCGTCTTGCTCGTGTCGCTCGATTGCCCACCCGACCCTTCTATGGCACCACCGCTTAGGTCATCTTGCACTCCTGCGTCTTAGGCACATCTCCCAACAGGGTCTAGTAACTGGTCTCCATGCGTCACTCCCCGCCTTGCCTACGTCAGTAGCGCCACTGTGCACGTCCTGCATCGAGGGGCGGCAGCATGCCGCACCTCACTCCTCGATTCCTCCTACCATAGCGCCGCTATAGACTCTGCACATGGACATCTGGCGCCTTGCCTTGGTCCATGGTCTTAGTCGAGAGCGCTACCTTCTAGTCATCGTTGATGACTTCTTGCACTTCACCACAGTGTTTCCGCTGGAGCGGAAGGCTGACGTGCCTACCGTTCTCCTCCCGTAGCTTCTCACTGTTTGCACCCACCACCGCCTGCCTGTAGGTCGCTTACACTCTGACCGAGGTGGTGAGTTCGCCTCTGGCACTCTAGGACAGTTCTGTCGTGCGGAGGGCATCCGCCAGACGTACACACAGCCGGACTCCCCACAGCAGAATGGGGTCGTTGAGCGACGCATCGGCTTGATCATGGAGGTAACTTGCACCTCCATGGTCCACACCGGTGCACCCCATTTTCTGTGGCCATTTATTGTACGCTACGTTGCTCACCAGCTTAACCTGTGGCCGTGCTCCCAGCGGCCACAGGTTTCACCGACCCTCCTCTGCACAGGGTCTCCTTGTGACGCGTCTGCATTCCACGTATGGGGCAGCCTTGCTCACATCCGCAACACTCGCACGGACAAGCTCTCAGCCCGCACCCTTCCTTGTGTCTTCCTCGGGTTTGCGCTTGATGCCTTTGACCGGCTAATCTGCCACCGATCACACCACCGTTTTACCACTCTCGTGACATTACCTTCGACGAGACGCTCCCCTACTACCGACGCTTCCCGCACCGCAGCACCCCTAAGCCTCCTTCTCCTCTCTTCCTCATCCCTGCCCCGCCTGCTGCACCCCTCTTGCCCCGCTCGGGCCAGTCTAATGTCTCCCACGCCATTCAGTTCCCCTCTGTTGCGCCTGTGGGGGAGTCGGCTGCCTTTGGCGGCCCAGCTGTTGGGGGCGCGCCTGCTGTCCCTGTGGTGCCTCCCCCAGCCTTGGTACCCCAGTCCCCTCAGCCACCTCCCCCCTTGCCTTAGCAGCAGCAGCAGCCGCCACAACAGACTTAGCGGCCGCAACAACAGCAGCAGGGAGCAGTAGGCTCTGGGGGTGCTGGTGTTGGAGGTGTAGGTGTTGGGGGTGTTGGTTCTGGGGGTGCGAGTTTTAGGGGGTGCTGACTCTGAGGGTGCTGGTTCTGAGGGTGCTGATGCAGGGGGTGCTGGTTCTGATGGTGGTGCGTCCGAGGGTGCTAGTCCTGGGGGTGGTGTTTCGGGGAGTGCCGGTGGTAGCCGAGGTGCCGCTGGAGGTCCTGGAGAGGATAGGGAGCAGCCCCAGTAGCAGCAACAGCCGTAGCAGCAGCAGCAGTAGCAGCAGGAGCAGTAGCCAATGGCATGTGGATTTACAGGATGAAGCGCGCACCCGGAGAGCCACTGAAGTTCAAGGCGCGTTACGTGTCTAGAGGCTTCAATCAGCGTGAGGGTGTAAATTTTTTCCAGACCTTCTCCCCGACCCCGAAGATGACTACTCTTCAGGTGCTTCTCCACATAGCCGCGCAACATGACTACAAGCTTCACTCTCTCGACTTCTCCACAGTGTTCTTACAGGGTAGTCTGCACAAGCAGATTTATCTCCGGCGCCCTCTAGGCTTCTCTGGGTCCTTCCCACCTGGAACCGAGTGCAGCATGCCCCGTCCTGTCTACGGCCTTCGTCAGGCACCCCATGAGTGGCACGACACACTTTACACCACAATTGCAGAGCTGTAGTTATTTCCATCCTCTGCTGACCCCTCTTTTTTTATTAGCACGGGTCAGACACCGTTCTATATCTTAGTATACATAGACAATCTTATCTTTGCTACTTTTGACAGAGTCGTACTAGCCTCAGTGAAGGTCGAGTTACTTAGGAGACACACCTGTACAGACTTGGGGGAGATGGGGCGTTATCTGGGCTTGGAGATCTCTTGTGACCGTGCCGCTTGCACGATCACACTCTCCCAGTTCCATATGGTACAGCAGATCCTCCAGAGATTCAGTCTCTAGTTCTCCTCAGCACAGCCCATACCTCTGCCTGTGGATCACAAGTTCTCTGTTCCTATTCCGGCTGAGCCAGTCGAGGCTAGTGGCCCATACCCAGAGCTGGTGGGGTGCCTCATGTACCTGATGACATGCACTTGACCAGATCAAGTGTACCCTCTCAGTCTCCTGGCTCGCTTTGTTGTGACAGGCAGGCACCGACCAGTCCACTGGCCAGCTGCCAAGAGGGTATCGCGGTATCTAGCGAGTACATCAAGACTGGGGCTTGCGCTAGGAGGACGGGAGCCAGTGGTGCTCACTAGACACACAGACGCATCATGGGCTGACGACGTGGAGATGCTCCGGTCGTCTAAGGGCTACTGTTTTAGTCTTGGTGCTGGTGCAGACTTGTCGAGGTCCACCAGGTTGTCGTCTGTAGCTCAGTCTACTTGTGAGGCAGAGATCTACGCTGGAACCATGGCCTCTCAAGAGCTCTGGTGGCTGATGTTCTTGCTCACAGACTTAGATGAGCAGCCTAGGTCTGCCCCGGTTCTGTTTGCTGACAATAGGGTCATGATCCTTCTGTGTCAGGAGGCTCGACTTGAGGGCAGAGCAAAGCACATCCAGCTGCGGTACTTCTTGTTGCGTGAGTTGCAGCAGCGCGGCCAGGCTCGAGTAGTACACGTGGCCACAGAGGCCAATACCGCTGATATCTTCACCAAGGCACTTGCGACTCGTGACCATGTGCGATTCTGTACTCAGCTTGGTCTCGTCTCACTAGCAGCGTCACTCCTTGTATCCTAATATCTACTATGCTCGTACTTGCTATTTCTATACCTACATGTCTTGCTACACCTGCTGACTGGCCGGCCCCTTGTCTCAGTGGTCAGACTAGTAGTGCTGCCCTGAGTTGTCTTGCTACCTTTACCAAAGGCCAGACTAGTAGTGCTGCCCTATTTTGTTCAACTATGCCTCTACCTAGGCTAGGGGGTGTGCCAACGAACATATGGTTTTTATATGTTTGCCATAGCCTAGCTAGTCCCGTTCTTAGAGGGGACAATATTATTGTACTTGTATCTCCATTCCCCTCTTCCTAGTCACACCTTTCCCGCTACTCTAACACAATATTATGTCTGAAAATTGTATTAACTTATCATGACATGTATATAAATATAAATTGTTAGTTCCGATCCAAGATCGCAACCCACGACAAAGCTACCGAATTTATTCAAAAAGCTAATACCGTCTCCTGGCGCTACGCCAATGTATACTGACAGGGCTTTTGTTATCATACCAAATCGGTCTGATGGACTGTAACTCCGACCGGTTTTTTATGTTTCATATGATTTTTGTACGAGCCAAATATATTCGTCTAATAATTAAGACAAGTTATAAGGATTTTTCCGAAACATCAGACTACTTGTATGCATTCATCTTTTCTTCTTCTTCTTCTTCTTCTTCTTCTTCTTCTTCTTCTTCTTCTTCTTCTTCTTCTTCTTCTTCTTCTTCTTCTTCTTCTTCTTCTTCTTCTTCTTCTTCTTCTTCTTCTTCTTCTTCTTCTTCTTCTTCTTCTTCTTCTTCTTCTTCTTCTTCTTCTTCTTCTTCTTCTTCTTCTTCTTCTTCTTCTTCTTCTTCTTCTTCTTCTTCTTCTTCTTCTTCTTCTTCTTCTCGTCTGATCTTGACAAAATCGCCCTCTAAGCAGCACGGCCACTAGTCCACATGCCCAATGGGCCACTACCCGCCACCCAGTCCCATGTGCACCGCAACACGCGCATTCAATTCTATACGGAGCCCGGTAGCAAAATGGTCCAGTGCACATAAATTTACAGCTTGCTGACGCCAGCTGTTGCCTCACCACTGTCTCGTTGCAGGCACTGTCGCTACTAGCCAGCTTCCAGGCACGTTGCGCTTGTCACAAGATCGAAATGGTCGAGAGGGAAATTGCATTATCGATCGATACAAGGCGCTTTTATACTTCCAAGGTACATAAGGTAACCAGGTTAATCTTATCAAAAGAGAATAGACCCTTGTAGAAATAGAATCAACCCGTTTATAGCCATGCGAGGTTATTGGCTTAAAGAGATTAGGATAGGATTATGCTAGATAAAGTGCGCCAGTACATCCCGAGCTTAGTCGGTAATGTAATTATAATAACATGATAAACCAAAGGATGATGGAAAATGAGGAATAGGAACACGAATGAGATGAGATAAAGACCAAACGAATCATGATAAGAAGAGGAAGGAAAAAGAAAGGAAATATGGAAGGGGGAAAATAGTGTAAGGGGGTCGTACTCTCACACATCCCCCCCTCAAAACTGGATGGTAGAAGTAACACCCTGCTTAACAAGGTAGTCGCGAAGAGGAAGACAGGCGTTACCCATATCAGAGTCAGAAACCCAGCTATCCTCAGAAGGATCATAACCCTTCCAACGGATGAGAAGTTCCAAGGTGCCATTCCGACGACGGCGGTGTGCAAGCAGAGACTCGACCTCGTACTCGTGTTCATCATGGACAAGGACGGACGGCGGCGGTGACGGTTGGCGTCCAGTGAAGATCGTGTTGGGATCGCAAGAGGGCTTCAGAAGTTGGACATGGAAGGCGTTATGAACCTTCCATATAGCTGGCACGCGAAAGCGGAAGGTAACGGGGGTGACATGTGCTTCAACGAGAAAAGGCCAGTAGAAGTGATGTCGTAGTTTAGATGGTAGATGGCTGATGATGAGATTGCGGGTGTCGAGTAGAACACGGGCTTCCACGGTGATGGTGTGGCCATTGCGGTGGCGATTGGCCTGGCATTTTTGTTGCTGCTGAATATTGATTAGGCGCTTGTGGGTCCGATCCCAAAGTTTATGCATGGTGGTTATGAAGTCGTGTGCAGGTTGGGCTGTGGCTGGTGCTATTGGTTTCTGTGGAGTGAGCGGGTTGCGTCCGTAACAGATAAAGAAGGGTGTCTGTCCGGTAGCGGCGTGAGTGGCATTATTGTAGGCAAACTCCATGACGGGTAGATGCAAGTCCCATTTAAAGATGTTGTCCTTGCATGCTGCACAGAGGAGTTGCTCTACAATTCGGTTGAGGCATTCGATTTGTCCGTCTGCATGTGGATGATAGGCGGATGACATGGAGAGTTTGGTCCCGAGCAGAGACATTAGTTCTTACAAGAACTTGCTGGTGAACTTATGGTCTCGGTCGGAAATGAGTGTGGTTGGGATGCCATGCTGTGAGATGATGTAGCGAACGAACAGTTGTACTGTCTACTCGGTGCGTGCTGTCGTGTGTGTCGGGATGAAGTGTCCCATTTTTAGAATTTGTCGATGATGATAAGGATTGCGTCATGATTGTTTGTGGTAGGTGGTAACCCCGGAATGAAGTCTAGGCTCACCACTTGCCATGGCTGTTTCGGAACAAGAAGGGGCTGTAACAGCCCAGCTTTCTTCTGCTTACTACTTTTCATCCTCTGACATGTGTTGCACGAGGTGACGAATTTTTTTATGTCGTCTGCCATGTGGGGCCAGTAGTAGTGTTTTGCAATACTGGAGAGCGTCTTGTTACTGCCAAAGTGTTTGGTGTACAGAATATCATGGTATTTTTCGAGTAGTAGCTGGTGCAAAGGCCGGTAGTTGGGTACCCGATTTTCCATTTAGCCTTTCCGATATGCGATGTCACTGTCCCACTGTAGCAGGTGGCGTTTCTCTGTCAAGGGAATTTCAGGTCGATGGTGTACCCATGTGTGAAGAGTCCCTTGAGTAGCGGATTCATTCCTTCAACCTCGATAGCAGCAACGTGTGCAGGCCGGTTGAGAGCGCCTGCTTTGTTTTTGTGGTCAGGCTTGTATACGATGTCATAGTGGAAGTGCGTCTCGAGGAAGTCAATCAACCAGACCTGGCGCGTGGAAAGGTTTGGTTGTGTCTTCAAATATTTCAAACTGCAGTGGTCGTTGTAGACGGTCGGTTTTCGTCATTCGAGATAACATCTCCACGTTTTGAATGCGATGACAATAGCAAGGGCCTCTTTGTCGTGTATCGAGTAATTTTATTATGCCCCGCGCAGTTTCTTGCTGAGGTATGCAATTGGTTGTAGTCCATTCCCCTAGTCTTGCATCAAGAATGCTCCCACTGCTTGGTCAATGACATCAGCTTCGATGATGTAGTCGCGCTCGGGGTCTTGCGAGATGAGTACGGCTGCGGATGTGAGTGGTGCGGTAATTTTGCTGCTCCATGGCTTCCTGATGTTTTGACTCCCATTGGTAGGGCGTGTTCTTCTTTAGCAGATTCCTGAGTGGTGCGGTGATTTTCCCGTACTGTGGCACGGACGTGTTCTAATAGTTGGCAAAGCCTAGGAACTGCTGCAACTCCTTCACGTTCTCAGACATCTTCCACGTGCGTACGACTTTGATCTTCTTGGGGTCGAGTTGAACTCCTCGAGCACTCACCATGTGTCCTAGAATTTGGACCTTCTTGAGGGCGAATTCACTATTCGACAATTTGACGTAGAATCGTTCTCGTCGAAGAATGTCAATGACGCGTTGCAGGTGTTCAACATGTTGCTTCATGTCGAGCGAGTAGATGAGGATGTCGTCGAGGTACACCACCATGCACTCGTCTAGTAATGGTCATAGAATATGGTTCATCTCGGCTTGGAAGGTTGCCGGTGCGTTGGTGAGTCCGAACGGCATTACCAGATAATCGTACGACTCATACCGAGTTCGGAAGAGAGTTTTGTGGATGGAATTATCTGCCATTCTTATCTACCAGTATCCGGATCGCAGATCGAGTTTGGAAAATACCATGGCTCCCCGAAGCTGGTCAAGCAGGTCACCTATTTATGGAATAAGGTATTTATTCTTGATGGTCTGCTTGTTGAGAGCTTGGTAATGGATGCACATGCGCAGACTTTCGTCCTGTTTCGGTGTAAAGAATACTGGGGCACCGTATGGTGAAGTGGATGGACGGATGAGTCCCTTTTCCATAAGATACTCTATCTGTTTCTTCATGTCGGCTCGCTCTATCGAGGTGAGCCTATATGGTGCTCCAAAGGTCGGATTCCAACTTGATGCCTCCACGATTTCGTGTTGGTGCGTTCGGTGTGGCCGTAGCTCGTTCGGGTCGTCTGGAAGAAAGTCTTGGAATTCCTTCAGTAATTCCCTGATTTTTTTGGGAGGTTCCGAGGCTTTCTCTTCATTGTCTTCCATATCCGTTGCTATTGCCAGGAACCCGGTGTCGGCTCGTCTCACGGCCTTCTCGAATCTGGCGAGTGTCTCCTCTCGGATTTCTCCTATGTCGTCCCAGTTTGGTAGTTGGACTTTCCTTCCGTTTTTGTAGATGCTTGCAGTGCGGTTGACCCAGTTGTTCTCTAGGTTGAAAATTTTTAGGAAGTCTCGCCCGAAGATCAGGTCAAGCCCTTTTATATTGGTGGGACAGGTCTCCAGCGCAGTGGTCCGATTTGTAGGTGTAACACTGCTTCACCGTAGACTGGTAACTTGCTGCCGTCCACCATCGTTGCAGAGAATACTGAAGGCTTGCACTCTTCCCCAAGTCGGTCGATTGTTGCCTTGTCGCATACGGTGTATGACGCTCCGCTTTCCGCAAGCGCTTGGAGGCGACGCCCTTTGCAGATGACCTCAAGCACGAGGGGCAGACGATGCTCGGAGTACCCAAAGATAGTTTCATAAATAGGATCATAGGGTACATCCAAATATTATGTACACACTTTGTTATTGCTTCCTACTCCTGAGCTGACAGCTGGCCGAGGCTGCTTGGAGAAAGGCTCTTCTCCATGGCCCAGAGATTCCTTGAAGACTGTGTGTGTCGTCGATGCCAAAATTGCTGAGCTGGATGCATCCAAAGGAGGATTTCGGGGCTTTTGCAGCATCTTGTACACCCCTAGCTTCCTCTTGAGCTGCTTCAACCCCACGGATGTCTTCCCTGGGGAGCAGGTAGTCAATGTGGGCTAGTGTCGGGAGGGGACGTTGACCCCATGGAAAGGTCAACTTCTTTCCACACTCCTTAAATTTTTTCCCAAAGTTCTCTAGTACGGATACGATCTCCACAATTTTCTGCTTCTTCTGGAGTCCCACCCAAAATTTCTCTAAGGCTCTAGCCCCTCAAGAATCACGAGTTTTCATTAAAGCATCTTGATAAGATAACTTTACCGAATCCTTATAATTTCTTGGGTCTTCAAGAATTTTCCCCGTCTCGGCAGAGTCTTCTTTCGCTGAGTCAGATTTTATCTCGACGATTTTCCCTGGCGAAAACTAGTCGTGGGGTGGAGATTTTCCCCCATCATTTCCTCCTGCTTGCGTCGAATCAGCGTCGTCGAAGTTGATTTTTCCGGAATCCCGCGAACGGTTACGGATCTTTTCTTTTTTGCCAGGCAGATCCGCAATCACTAGTGATCCCCTTTTTTTTTTCTTCTTCTTCTTCTTCTTCTTTTTCTGATTGGCCAAAGAATTTCCGCCACTGTTGCACGCCTGATACTCTGCATGTGCGTCTTTCATTTTGTTACAGTCGAAGATTCGATGGCCTGGCAATCTGCAAAAATCGCACGTGGAGTTGGCGTTTTTCGGACGTGGCCGCCCGTCAAACCTGTCGATTTCCATCGGGTCGGCGAACGTAGGATGTGCCTAGCGGGCGCCTTGTCACGTACTGCCGATGTACGCTCGTCGTGTTCCGACGTTGACCATGTCAAAACGCTCCATTGCCGAAACGACGTCTCTGTAGCTCACATAATTCGTAGCTGCTACTTGTCGTTTGACTTCGATCTTCAGCCCGACGAAGTACGACTACAATTTTTCCCCTTCGGTCAAGTCGGGAATGCGGTTATAAAGTTCCTCCATCTGCTGCGTGTACTGTGCTACACTCCCGAACTGTCGATGGCGATGATTTTTTTCCTGGGCAAGGAACCCCGAATTTATCAGCTCGAAACGTTTCAGCAGGTCAGTGCGGAACTGCTGCCATGTGGCTTCGCCGTGGATGAAGGTACTGTTGCTGCCGATCTACTCGAGTGCCGGCCCTCGCATCAGTGTTGTTGCGAATCGCATGCGCTGACCGTTCCAGACTGGCGAGCTCCATCCGACGGCTGCGAAGTAGATCTCCATGCTGGCGATCCACCTGTGGACGTCCGAATTTTGATCGCTCGGATCGAACGGCTCAGGTGGGCGTGGCTTTGGAGCCTCGAGAAACTGCTGCGACTGTGACGTCGTTGCCGTTGTCGTTTTATGCTACGCGCCGGTGAGTCGAGCTACTCGTTTGAGCTCGTTTCGCCAAACTTCGTGGTCAGCTCGCATCTCCTCCTGTAGGGCGGCGATGCGCGTGAAGAGCTGATGGGTAACTTCGGTGTTGTCAAAGTTTGCCATCCTGTTAAAAACATGCGCAGGAGGGGTTAATTCAAAAACACGGAGCTGGTGCTTACCAGAGTCGGCGCCGAATTAGTCGCCCCCGGCGGTTTTTTGAGGCAGGTTTTCCCACTGCTGCTGCTTAGCTGAGCGCGGCCGAGTGAGAAAAACTCTGATTACCAAGTGTGACACGATCAAAATGGTCGAGAGGAAAATTGCACTATCGATCGATACCGGGCACTTTTATACTTCCAAGGTATATCGGGTAACCAGATTTATCTTATCCAGATGGAATAGACCCTTCTAGGAATAGAATCACCCTGCGTATAGCCATGCGAGGCTAAAATAGTGACCCCCGTTTCAAGTTGGACCCAACTCGCAACAGTTCGGCTCAAGAGTGTGTTGGTAGGAAACTTGCGAGACAATTATTTTTTGGGGGGCCAGCTTGTGTTTGTACGAAAGCCGGCGACAAAAATACGAATGAACATTTTGCATGATTCTCGCAAATCACAAGCCATCCCGCTACCCTGTGAAAGACGAGTTGAGAACCTTGATTTTGAGAGCCAAGGCACGCATCTCCCCTCAGATGTCACTTTAAAGTACCTGCAAAATAAAACGTGCAGGATACCAAAAACCACGACACAGAGAGAGATGCGCGGCGACAGGTGCGGAGAGCGGGAGAGTTATGGTGAGCGGGAGAGGTGTTCAGAGCAGGAGCGCGAGAAGGAAAGCCCTTGCGAAATCGAAGGAGAGGGGCGGAGAGAGAGAGGGAGAGGCGCGGAGATAGAGTTTGAGGCGCGGAGAGAGAGCAGAGGCGCGGAAATAGACGGAGAGGTGCAGAAAAAGGAGAGGTGCGGAAATAGGAGAGGTGCGGAAATAGGAGAGGCGCAGAAATAGGAGAGGCGTGGAAATAGGAGAGGAGCGGAAATAGGAGAGGCGCGGAAATAGAAGGAGAGGTGACGGGAGAGAGGGAGAGGCGGGGAGAGAGAGGGAGAGGCGCGGATAGAGAGGGAGAGGCGCGGAGAGATTGGAAGAGGCGCGTAAACGGAGGGAAAGGTGAGGAGAGAGAGAGGGAGAGGGTGAGTGCTCATTGAAAGGAGTGGGACTATCGCCATCTCCCTGCGCCACATCCTCTTTCGCAGCGAGACTCTCATCCGCTCTCCTTCTCGCCGCGCCATGTCATTCTCGTCGCGCCGCACTACACTCTTCCGTGGCGCTACACACTCTATCCAGCCACGCTTCTCTCTCTCTCTCTCTCTCTCTCTCTCTCTCTCTCTCTGTCTCTCTCTCTCTCTCTCTCTCTCTCTCTCTCTCTCTCTCTCTCTCTCTCTCTCTCTCTCTCTCTCTCTCTATCCCATCGTGCAACTCTCTCTCTCTCTCTCTCTCTCTCTCTCTCTCTCTCTCTCTCTCTCTCTCTCTCTCTCTCCCTCACTTCCGCCGCCCTACTCTCTCTATCTCTCCCATTGCGCTACTCTCTCTCTCTCCCTCTCTCTCTCTCTCTCTCTCTCTCTCTCTCTCTCTCTCTCTCTCTCTCTCTCTCTCTCTCTCTCTCCTGCCGCACTATTCTCTCTCTCCCTTGCCGCACTATTCTCTTTCTCTCTCTCTCTCTCTCTCTCTCTCTCTCTCTCTCTCTCTCTCTCTCTCTCTCTCTCTCTCTCTCTCTCACACACACACACACACACCACTCTACTCTGTCTCTCTCTCTCTCTTTCTCTCTCTCTCTCTCTCTCTCTCTCTCTCTCTCTCTCTCTCTCTCTCTCTCTCTTACTCTCTCTCTCTCTCTCTCTCTCTCTCTCTCTCTCTCTCTCTCTCTCTCTCTCTCTCTCTCTCTCTCTCTCTCCCTCTCTCTCTCTCTCTCTCATCGCGCTACTCTCTCTCTTCCGCGCTTCTCTCTCTCTCTCTCCCGCCGCGCTACTCTCTGTCTCCCGCCGCGCAACTATCTATGTTTCCCTCTCGCCGCACCAATGTCTCCCTATCTCGCCGCGCCACGTTTTCCACACCGTTCCTAGGCACTAAGCTGGAAAAAACAGGGGGTCAATGCGCGGAACTAGGTAACTAGGCACATGTTACTAGCTTGCATCTAGCCGGAAAATGAGCTTCGCAGCGGAAATGGGGAAGTGCCCTTTGCAACAATTATGAACACAGGCCCAACTTGAAAACCGAGTTGGGCCCAACTTGATCCAAAAGCCTCAACCCGTCGCATGCACTCGCCATGCAACAGTCGTACAGGAAAACGCTAACCCTGACGAGGAAAACTTGTGAGAAATACACCGTTGGCACATCGTGGGTTTCGTTTCGCAAGGATCATGTTGGCGGGATCCAATCAGCTTTGAGTTCACACTTCATTTTTCCTACCCGCGTCACTTTGGAACAGTGATTTGTCAGCCGAGGTCTCCAAGGGGAGTCACCAGAGGGAGCCCTCTTTCAAGTTGGGCCAGCCTTCACTATTTTGCCTTCTCGCTTTTAAGGGATTACGGCAGGTTGACACTAGATATAGCGCGCTAGTACATCTTGAGCCTAGTCGGTGATATAGTTATAATAACAGGATAAACCAAAGGAAAATGGAAAATGAAGAATAGGAACCCAAATGAGATGAGATGAAAACCAAATGAATCATGATAAGAAGATAAATGAAATAGAAAAAAGAAATGGAAATGAGAAAATGATATAACGGGGTCGTACTCTCACAGCGCTGGGCAGCAATGTGTCAGCGCATTTCCCGATGAAGCGCAAGCCCCCTCGTCGTGCCATCAAGATGGGGGTTTCGTATTGAAGTTGCAACCCCAAACCGCTATTTGCTGAGTCGCCATGGTGTTTAATCAGCCCTCAGAAGCCCCCAACATCAGACCATCTCGTCTGCTCCAACCACTCCCTGCAGCCATGACCGCTCTCTGTTATTTTCTCATCCTTCCCTCGTCCTAGTGCTTCATTCATTCTCGTCCCCCATCAGCATCCTTCCGCCCCCTTCCCCGATAGGGTCTGCTCCCCTACCGGAGGCCTAATGAGCAGGAACATAGCTCTGATACCAATTGTTATGAATTATAACTGCGCAAAAAGTCATCAAGTCACCAGTCCTTACCACTGGGACAAGAAGGGATGTCATCAGGAGGGTTAGGCTCTATATATCCACCTTCCCCGGGGAAAGCCTTCCCAGTACCCTCCCTAGAGAGAGAGAGAGAGAGGATCGACAGGGTTATCCCAGTTCCATGACACACCCCCCCGCTGGGATAGCGTGTACACCAGGAATTGAACCCTGGATGGCTTTGATACCAAATCATAAAGTCACCAGTCCTGACCACTGGGACAAGAAGGCATGTCATCACGAGGGTTAGGCTCCATAAATCCACCTTCCCCGGGGAAAGCCTCCCCAGTACCCTCCCTAGAGAGAGAGAGAGAGAGAGAGAGAGAGAGAGAGAGAGAGAGAGAGAGAGAGAGAGAGAGAGAGAGAGAGAGAGAGAGAGAGAGAGAGAAAGAGAGACAGAGAGAGAGAGGATCGACAGGGTTATCCCAGTGTTGTTAAGACTAGAAAGAATGGTAGCTAGGTTTAGGAGGAGCCATGAAATGGCGTGAGGGTTTAGGCTAGGAAAGTTGAGGAGAGAAAAGAGAGTGAGATTAGAAGAAAGAGGGATACAAGGAGGGAGTTGTACCTTCTACAGTAGGTTCCAGTAAGTAGCACAACTACCAAGCCTACAATTATATATAATATGTAATTCAACACACCCCCTAGGTTTGGTAGTGGCAAGCCCATCCCACCCCAAGCACCCCATTTCCTTGCACCCCCATTCCCTGCAGCAGCAGTGGCGCCGACCAGCCGATCGACCCCTCAGCGATCGAGGTGGCGACGACGACAGCGGGCCGTAGCGGCAGCGGCGGCGTCAGCAACTGCGGCGGCGGCGGCGGCAGGGCGTGCAGCACCTGCGGCGGCGGCGGCGGCGGCGTCGAGGCACCTGGCGAAAGCGGCTACGGCACCCGAGGCAACGGCGGCGTGCTCAACCTGCGGCAGAGGTGACTGAAGGGAAGGAAGACGCTAGGCATCATTGAGCTACGGCGGGGCGGAGCCGGCTGGCGTGGCGAGCTGGGACCGACGCTGCGAGCTGGGACCGACGCGGCGAGCTGGGTCCGTTGGGACCGACGCGGCGAGCTGGTTCCGACTCGACGAGCTGGGAGGCGCGGGGAGCTGGAGAGCAGGGGCTTGCTGCCTGGTGCCTAAACCAGTGCGCGACCCACTGCCGCCGTGCGCTGACGTCGACGACGCCGTCACGGCTTGACGTCGACGCCACGATGGCCGGTGACACGACGACGCAGCACCAGCAGCACAACGCGGCCGTCATGGCAGCGCGCGCGCGCGCGAGAGAGAGAGAGAGAGAGAGAGAGAGAGAGAGAGAGAGAGAGAGAGAGAGAGAGAGAGAGAGAGAGAGAGAGAGAGAGAGAGAGAGAGAGAGAGAGAGAGAGTAGAAGAGCGCGGCGGAAGCGTGAGGAGCAGGCCCACAAGGAACGAACAGCTCTGATATCATGTTAAGACTAGAAATAATGGTAGCTAGGAGTAGGAGGAGCCATGAAATGGCATGAGAGTTTAGGCTAGGAAAGTTGAGAGAAAAGAGAGTGAGATTAGAAGAGAGAGGGATACAAGGAGGGATTTGTACCCTCTACAGTAGGTTCCAGTAAGTAGCACAACTACCAAGCCTACAATTATATAAAATATATAATTTAAGTGCCACGACACAGAACACTATAGGGGAACGTGATTACAATGTTGTCCAGAATAATGAGGCCTATGCAATATATAGGTGTGTTGACCAGGGTTGAATGTAGAGGGTTGGACCAGTCAAGGGCTCGTTAGTCCCGAGGTGACGGGGTCAAAATGGGTTCGAGGCGACTCGGGATCAGGCTGGGGCCGAAAAGGTCGACGGGGGCTGGTTTGGCGTGTGACTTGAGGGCCGAGCCTGGGGACCCGAGAGGTTCGCGCGTACTCGCTGTGGCGAGCCCCAGTAAGGAATATGAATTCCTTACATTTTGCGTGGAACTGCAACTTAACTCTTACTGTAATAAGGTGACACCCTCGGCACGATGAAGCATCAATCAGACTCACTACCCGCGCCATACGAGCTGTGTGCACCATCGGTGCGCGACACGTAGTGCGCGTCTCGCTGTCGAACAGCTCAGATGCCCGAACGCATGAGACATGCCTGTTGCTCTTCGACCTTTAGACAAGGCAGACGTACGAGTGTGCTGCATGCAGGGCTAAACACACGTACCTAGACCTCCATCCCTCCATATCTCCATTCCACCATCCCTCATCACGCGACGGACCGTGAGCCTTCCTCGTCGATGATGCCTCACCCCGCAGCGCACATGCTAACCGTCTGCCCATCGCCATCCGAAAAGCGCCATGGCCAAACCCTCGCCGCGGCTTCACGGCGCCGCCATCGCGTTGCCGTTGCTCCGAGCCTTCTTCCGGTCGAGACCAATCCCCCCCCCCCCACGCGAGTCCAATCTCCCCCCCGCAAAGCCGCACATCCCCCTCCTCCCCGCAAGTCCAATCTCCCTCGCGCGGGTCCAGTCACCCTCTGCGCAGGCATCCCAGGAGTCACTCCAACAGCGACAGCCGTAATTACTGGCACTTCTCGCAGACATCCGCTGCTTTTCGTGCTTCCGATCTGTTTCCAACTCCCACCAGCAGCAGCCTCGACTCTCCTCCATTATCGCGCTCTGGTTCTAGCGCGTGCTCTGGCGCGTTTGACCCGCGTGTGTTCCTAACGAAATTACTGTCGCTTGGGTGTGAGTAGCGCGCACTCTGACGCGCGTTTCTGGACACTTGTAGTTTCTCGAGGCTAGTGCTTCTTGTGAGAGATTTCTGGAGAATTCTCAATTCGCGACTTTAAAGTCGACTCAAAAATCACCTGAGGCTAGTGCTTCTTGTGAGAGATTTGTGGAGAATTCTGAATTCGCGCATGGAGCGCGGGAAAGGGAGGGAGGAGTTAGGCGAGCGCGGCCCCACGTCCGAAACCCGCTTCGCCACTGGACTTTCCCGCCCGGGGGAAATCGGCGAGGCACCGCCCCCCGCCCCCTTCTTCGCGGTTGCAGCAGGCGGCGGGCGCCCTCCCCCGCGGCCCCCCTCCGAGGCTCCGCGCGCAGGCGCTGGCGGCGTCCCCCAGAGGCAGCCCACCCCCCCGCTCGGCGTTCTCCCGAGGGAGAGGCCCCCATCTCCGCCCATCCCCGCCCCGCACCTGCAGCCCCCGGGGCTTGGTCAGCCCGCGCACCCCACTCCGCCTGGGGGCCTGGGGCAGCTGGCGCAACCCACTCCGCCGAAGGAGCGCCAGCCGCAGCCGCAGCAGCCTCAGCCCCAGCAGCCGCAGCAGCCGCAGCTGCAGCCGCTGCCGCCGCACCTGGCGGCGGTGCGAGCGGCGCATCCCATCCACCTGCCGATCTCCGCCGAGGAGCAGCAGAGGCAACGCGCGTGGGGGAGGGAGGCGGGAGAAGGCGCTGCTGGGGGCGCTGCTGCTGCTGGCGGGGTTGCTGTGGGTGGTGCGGGGGGCGAGGGCGCGGTGACAGTGTCGATCTCGCGGGCGGGCATGATGGTGAAGCCAGACAGCGTCTTCCGCCTGCGCCTGGGCGTGCGGCCGCTCTCCGGCGAGCTGGATCACGAGTCCCTGGGCCGCCTGCACTCCTCCAACTACTGCTATGGGCTGGGTAAGACAATAACGGGTATGACCTGGGCGCGCGGGCATGATGGTGAAGCCAGACAGCGTCTTCCGCCTGCGCCTGGGCGTGCAGCCGCTCTCCGGCGAGCTGGAACACGATTCCCTGGGCCGCCTGCACTCCTCCAACTACTGCACGCCCATAACGGCATAGCAACATTGTAACTTACCTGCTATGGGCGCCTTCACTCCTCGAGCACCCATACATGCGCAGGGATGAAGAGCACATGTATTTATACTGTATATATATGTATATACTCTTGGTCGCATCTGGTCTACACTCTACCTTGAGTAACAATAGCTTTGCATGCGTTTCCCACCTTCCCCACTTCCTCTCATGTCAGCTGTGTCGATTGCCGGTCTCGCCCCAAGGCATCCTCCTTAAGTCCTATACTTCTTCCCTCTGCCTTTGTCCCTCGGCCTTTACCCCCCTGCTTCTCCCCCGTGCCAGCTGTGCTGCTCGCAGGTCTCGCCCTCGTTGCAGTCTCTGCAGTTCCGGGTGTCCAGATTCAGCCTCTCCTCGGTGCGTTGGCTCCTTAGGTGACTTTTGAGTCGACTCAAAAGTCTGGTGTATTTTGAGTCGACTCAAAAGTCAGGTGTATTTTGAGTCGACTCAAAAGGCAGGTGTATTTTGAGTCGACTCAAGATTCAGCCTCTCCTCGGTGCGTTGGCTCCTTAGCACTGCGTTGCTGCCTGCCTTCCCTGCGTAAACGACCAGAGTACAGCTGTAGAGTTGACAATGTGAAAAGAGACTACAACTAAATAGTACATTGAATAATCCACCCTGTGGAAATGTAACCTCCGGCCCAGCTCGTCCTCCCCTCCTGTGTTTTCTAAGTTCCATTCCACCTGTTTGCCTGTCCCTTCCTCCCCCCCTCCTGCTGCTTGTTGCCCCCATACTTATTGACAGCCGGCCTCCTGATTGGCATGGGGCTGGTAACCGGGTTACACGTGCTCGTTCTCTTCACCTCACCAGGCGCCATAGCCCTGGTGCACGCAGCCTTGGGGGCGTGGCTGTACCAAGCCCCCACGGACCACTTCCTCTTCGTCCTCGCGCTCTAGCACCCTGCTCAAGTTCTAGTCTGTCTTGCTATACCCTACCACAGCCGGCCTCCTCATCGGCATGGGTCTGGTAACCGGGTTACACGCGCCCGTGCTCTTCACAGCGCCAGGCGCAATAGCCCTCGTGCTGCTGGCAGCTGTGCATGCAGCCTTGGGGCCGTGGCTGTACCAAGCCCCCTCGGACCAGTCCTCCTCGTCCTTGCACTCTGGCTCGCCCTCAGAGCACAGAGCACTCGCCGAACCAACCCTCTCTCCTCATTCCCTCACTCCCCTCTTCCCTTCCTCTCTCCCCCATCCAACTCTGCCCCCTTCTCCAGCCGGCCTCCTGATCGGCATGGGGATTGTAACCGGGTTATATGCGCTCGTCCTCTTCACAGCACCAGGCGCCATAGCCCTCATGCTGCTGGCAGCCGTACCAGCCCGCCCTTCGGGGCGTGGCTGTACCAAGCCCCCTCGGACCAATTCCTCCTCATTCTCGCGCTCTGGCTCGCCGCTCAATTTCTCCCCTGGTTTCCTCGCTCTCCCCTCCGTCTGTCTTGCTGTACCCTACCACAGCCGGCCTCCTCATCGGCATGGGTCTGGTAACCGGGTTACACGCGCTCGTACTATTCACAGCGCCAGGCGCCATAGCCCTCGTCTTACTAGCCGCCGTGCACGCAGCCTTCGGGGCGTGGCTGTACCAAGCCCCCTCGGACCAGTTCCTCCTCATTCTCGCGCTCTGGTTCGCCGCGCAAGCCCTCTCGAAGCTCTTCCTAGCCGGCCTTCTCAGCGTCATCAACTCCTATGTGGCGCTCGTGGTGATGGCGGTGGTTGGGCTTGGCCTGTCTGCCGTCTCGTTCTTCCTTTTCAACGAGAGCACGCCGACTTGGGCCAAGGGGGTGCTCGTGGGCGGGTATCTGATGCTCTATGGCGTTGCCTTCCTCCTCATTGCGTGCATGGCGTTTGCTGGTAAGTTTTGAGTTGACACAACGTCCTCGCGCTCTGGTTTGCTGCTCAAGCCGTATTGAAGCTCTTCCTAGTCGGTCTCCTCAGCGTCATCAAACCCTATGTGGCACTCCTGGTGAGGGCGGTGGCTGGGCTTGCACTCTCGGCAGTAGCCTACTTTGCGTTAGATGCCAGCACGCCGATCTGGGCCATGGGAGTGCTTGTGGGCGGGTATCTCGTGCTCAACGGGGTTTCCGACTCATACTGTGCATGGCCTTTGCGAGTCAGTAAAACGGGCGCGATATGTTGAGTGCAATGCAGAGTCCAGTGCAGTGTCAAGGGGCAGTGGCATGGGAGAGACAGAGCACCTTGACTTGGATCAACGGGGTGCTTGCAGGGTGCCATCTGGTGCTGTACGGTGTTGCGTTTCTGCTGATTGCATGCGTTTTTGCTTATTGCATGCGTTCCTGCCGATTGCATGCATGGCATTTGCTGGTAAGTAGGGTGCTCTTCACCGTTCCTTTTGGAGGTAACCTCCCGCAAACCCCACCCACCTTTTGCGGGTGGTGTCTGTTGGAAGAAGAATATACTTCAGTGTTTTTTTAGTCCTCCACTCAAAACCACCTTCCCCACTGACCCACACCGCCCCCCCTCTTGTGCAGGTCGCCGCCTGCTGGAGGAGGATACGGAGGAGCGCCAGCCGCAATTGGAAGAAGAAGACGGGTGATTTTTCAGTCAAATCAAAAGCCACCTTTCCCACCGCCCCCGACTTGTTCCCTTGTGCAGGTCGTAGCCTGTTGGAGGAGGATATTGAGTAGCGCCAGCCACCGTTCCTCGGGATGGCACTTTTGTTTTGTGACAGTTCAAATCCACCTTCCCCACGGATCCAACACCCCCCCCTCCCCTTGTGCAGGTCGCCGCCTGTTGGAGGAGGATATGGAGGAGCGCCAGCCGCTGTTCCTCGTCGTGGATCCGCACCATTGACCTTGTCACCATTGACCTCGATTTGCAGCAACTGTTGTCGTCGTGGATGCGCACCATTGACCTTGCTGCAGCCGTTGTTCCCTGTCGTACGCTGCCATAAAGTCGATAGTTTCCCCTGTATCAATGGTGTATCTTATGGTGCGCATGCTCACCTGTGATCACCATTCATCTGCTTTCACACGGAAAATTGCTGCACAGCTGGCTGTTCTTCGAGTTGAGGCAGCTTTTGGCCCAACTATGCACAGACGCTTTTCCTGCAGCTAGTGGCACATTCTCCTGTAGTCCAGGTTTATGTAGGTTCACTGCTTTTACTGTAGCTGTGCCCTTAGCTTGTTGATAGGTTCAAAATCCGAAGCATGTTGTGAACGCAAAACTGCGTGTAATGTAGGCATCGTATTGTCACACTGCTCTTCTTGCCCTTGTCTGAGTACGATGGGGTTAGTTAGAGGTCATTCTTTTCCCACCCACGTTTTTCTTTTTGATACCCATATCAGAAAGAATAATGAGTAGAGTGCAGGCCTGTCGTTATCAGGGTATTTTACCCTGATTCCCTGATTTCACAGGGTATTTTTTTGGCCAACCCTTAATTTTCAGGGTTGGGATTTTTTGAACCCTAACCTCTTCAGGGTTGTATGTCTGTGAACACTGAGAATTTCAGGGTTTGCGTTATCCCAACACTGAGTTTTCAGGGAGTAACGCGTACGAACCCTGAGTGCGACATCCATGTGGCTCACAATGCGGAAATTTAGGCGAAGTCCCCAATCTCCAGAGACATTCCCCCCCACACGCAACAACCTACAAAAATTGGTGAAGTCCTCAAACATTGCCTCACACACCAAGCAACCCACAAAAATCGGCTAAGTCATGTGTCATACAGACATCCCCCCTACACACTAACAACAACCCACAAAAATTTGCTAAGTCTATGAAAATGTAACGGTCAAGATCGATTGCGATCGTTTCGACATACTTAAACCGTTAGATGGTCACATTGATCAACGTCCAAGATCTCCCAGCCGGGGCGCTGCTAGGGCGCGAATTTTCTCCGACCGCCCTATTACCCAGCTTCCCCCCTCCAATCCACTTCGATTCCTCCCTCCCCTCCATTTTCGCTCCCCCCACTCCCCCTCCGTTTCGTTTCCCCCCTCCCCTCCATTTCGATTCCCCCATCTCCCCTCCGTTTCGCCCCTCGCATCTTCCTTTCTTCCTTGGTTTCGACTCCCCCTCCCCTCCGTTTCGATCCCCCCTTCCCCTCCGTTTCGATCCCCCCTTCCCCTCCGTTTCGATCCCCCCTTCCCCTCCGTTTCGATCCCCCCTTCCCCTCCGTTTCGATCCCCCCTTCCCCTCCGTTTCGATCCCCCCTTCCCCTCCGTTTCGATCCCCCCTTCCCCTCCATTTCGATCCCCCCTTCCCCTCCGTTTCGCTTCTCCCATACCTCGACTGTATTTCGAACTTCCCCCACCCCCCAACCCCCACTTTTTCCCTCCCCGTTTCGCTTCCTCTCTTCCCCTATGTTTCCATCCTCCCCCTTCCCCTCCGTTTCGCTCTCCCCCTCCCCTCGGTTTGATTCCCTCCCCTTTTTCCCCCCATTTTTTATTCCCCCCTCGTGTTGAAGGCAACCCTGAACGCGCTCGGTGAACCCTGGGATTTTCAGGGTTCCAGATTTCTGAACCCTTACAAATCAGGGTAGGCAATTTTTGAAACCTGAGCCCTCAGGGTAAACCTTTTTTTTTATTCGGCAGCTCAGGGGGAGTTTTTTTGAAACGTCAGGCCTGGTAGAGTGGGAAGATACAAGGCAATATAGTCTAGAGAGTTGTACCCACTAAGGCACAAACATATATTGTCTACAGTAACTGCATAAGTTATGTTTGACAACCCAACCCAACCCAATTCACCCGGCGTCTCCCACTCACCGCAAAGCTACGAATCCTTACGACGTCCTCCTAGCTTCCCTTTTGGTTGGACTCCCAAATAACGTTGCATTAGGGCATGGTCTTATCGAATGAGGAAGAATGCCAAATTTACAAACAAGAAGCTACTTTCCCAATGAGCCAATGCTAGCACTATGGTGCATGCTCACGCAACTGCTAGATCTACAGGAAGACTAGCACTAATCCTTCCCTGACATCCTGGCATGTAGATGACACTCACTCTCACTCTGTATCAAATTCCCACTCTGGTCCGAGAATAACACATTGTTCGCATGCACTATAGTGACACTTGAAACCGGGCAATTGCACAGCAAGCCAGATGAGGGCGCAATCAGCCATCCAATCGAATCCAAGCACATTGCTTCACAATGCGCACCTGCCCACCAACCAAATCATGACTGGTACAAAGGTTGTTGCGATGAAACACACGCCATAAAAATCCAGGTAGTGTGCTGGCAGAGAGCCGCCCCACCGCAGAGAGCCGCCCCTGCATTCCTACCAGGCATCTGATCTGGGAGCTCTCCCTCTTCATGCATGCTCCAGCTGTTCTTCAGAACCCTCCCTCCCTCCCTCCCTCCCACCCACCCACCCCTTCTCCCTCTCCATTCTTGCGTCAGCTCAATAATCATGCAAAGCGCTTACCCTGTCTGGCCGCCTACAAGCCATCCGGCAGCTCATGCATGCGCCAACTCATCTTCATTCTACCTCCCGTCCCTTCTCCCTGTCCGTGCACGCCGGTGAATATCCCACAGTATCCGCGTGCTTACAAGGCATCTGGCAGCTCATGCATGCTCGAACTCTTCTTCATCCTCCCTCCCACCCCTTCTCCCTCCCCTCCCCCTCCCATATCGCCACCCCTGGCCTCTAGGCTCATTCTCACACTCCCTCCCACCGTCCCTCCCCCTCTCAACGGTCCATGCAGCGGGCTGGAGGAAATCGGAGTAGCAGCCATGGAGTTAGCCAGAGACGCCCCTCTCGACCAGCTCCTCCCCTCCAGCTCCACCACATCCCGCCGTCCCCCTTTCGCCCCCCCTCCCACTCCCCCGACCCCCGTGCTCCTCCTCCCTCCATTCACCCCCCCTCCCCACCCCACACCGGACGAAACTCCCCGCCCGGGCGTACTCGCCGCACTGTAGCTGCCAGTTGGCCGTGCGATAGTGGTCGATGACTCAGCAGCGCGTGACGTGGCAGGCCCGGCGCTGCTGGGAGCGCCACGTAGGACCGGCACGCGGGCGGCAAGAGTGGAGTGGATCCGGCCGTAGCGTGCCCGCGTGGCATTTGCTGACTTGGCGACGATGACGTGGACGATGGGGGCAGGAAGCAGGGGAGAGAGGACAGTGCGGATTTTCTCGAGGGAAAGACCGGAAAGAGCGGAAGGATCTGGGAGGACTGAGAGTGTGTCGGGTTCAAGGGACCCTGATGATGTCGTCGCTGCAAACGCAGCAGCAGCGCCGCCAGCACCAGCAGCAGCAGCAGCAGCATCGGCAGCATCGGCAGCACCAGTGAAGAATTTAATGGCGAGTTGGAGGCGGTGTGTGGCGCCGCACTTGATGACGAGCGGCCCCTCGGCGCTGTTCAGCTGCACGGCCGTCCACTCCCTCACCCCCTCCTGCTCCGCCCTCCGCCGCACCTCCTCCTGCCGTGATGCCACACTAGGTGCCGCCGCTGCTGACCCTCCTCCTGTTCCCCCTGCAGCTGCTGCTTCTCCTCCTGCTGCTGCTGAATCCTGGAAACTAGATCGCTCGCCCCCAATGCTCTTCGTCCCATCAGCCTGCAGAGACGACTCCTCTGCAGCAGCAGCACCACCACCCCCTGCTTCTCCCCCTCCTCCCCCTCCTCTCTCACCTGCTCCATCAGGCGTCCCTCTCCCGAGTCCATCAACCAGTCCAGTCACCTGGCTCCATAGCGAGCTGCCCACCCCCGCTCCACCTGCCCTTCCTGCTGCCGCCGCCCCCTCCTGCTGCGCCTGTGGAGATGCGGGGCGCCGCGAGGGCGATGCAGTGGCACTGTGGCGCGAAGGGGACGAGGCCCGGTGAGCCGCTGCTCCAGCAGAAGCGGCGGAGTGCCGGGCAGGCGAGGAGGCAGCACCAGCGTGGGAAGGACCCATGCCGCCTGGCTGATGATCGCTGTCGTGAAAGAGGCGCTTGGAGAGACCACTGGAGCCCACAGCCTCGTGATGCTCCTGATGCTGGTGCCTGTGGTGCTCATGGTGCTCATGGTGGTGGGCATGGTGCTCATGGTGGTGGTGATGGGCGCTGGTGTGAGATGGATGCGTGTGGGGAGCTTGCTGTTGGTGGTGGTGCTGGTCGTCGCTGTGATGGTGATCTTGTGTGGAGCCTGGGGTGCCTGGGAGTGAGGCTGCAGCGTTAACAGCACTGCTCGTTTCTGACACAGGCTGAAGAGCGACAGAGACGAGAGGGAAGGTGCACAGGGGAGAAGAAGGGGGCAAAATAGGGGAAGAGAAAGAGGAGGAGAAAGGGGAAGAGAAAGAGGAGGAGAAAGGGGAAGAGAAAGAGGAGGAGAAAGGGGAAGAGAAAGAGGAGGAGAAAGGGGAAGAGAAAGAGGAGGAGAAAGGGGAAAGACAGGGGAAAAGTGAGACAGAAAAGAAGTAAGAGGAGAGAGACAAAGAGGGGTTGAGTCAAGGTAACAGGTCAAGAAAGGAAGTGGCAGCAGGAGGAGCAGAGGAAAAGTCTATGTGTTTTGGCCCTGAACCATGAATTCTAATCCCTAACCCGCCAAACCCCACGAACCAGGAACCCCAAACCCCACGAACCAGGAACCCAAACCCCGCGAACCAGGAACCCCAAACACCACGAACCAGGAACCCCAAACCCTATGACTCACCGGGAAGAACTGCAGCGCGCACGCGATGATCTGTTCGCCCACCATCTTGTCCTGCCAGCACTGGCAGCCCCTGCTGCCCTGCTAGCGTGCCCTCAGGGATTAAGACTCAAAATAATGGCAGCACTCACCGGGAAGAACTGCAGCGCGTACGCGATGATCTGCTCGCCCACCATCTTGTCTGGCCCTGCCAGCACCGGCAGCCCCTCCCTCTGCTCCCTCGCCAGCGTCTCTCGCATGCCATGGATCGCCTCGTCCGAAGGGAGCCGCGAGGCTGAGAGCGCCTCCATTGAGTCCTGGAAGGGGTGGGGGGGGAGGTGGGGAAGGGGGTTTTGGGGTGGGGGTAACGGTAGGCTTGAACGCCTCACCAGTGCCTCTCGCATGCCGTGGATCGCCTCATCCGAAGGGAACTGCGACGCCGAAAGCGCCTCCATCGCGTCCTGGTGGTGGTGGGGCAAGGGCAAGAGAGAACGGGAGGGGTAGGGGGAGTGGGTGGGGCACTCGAGTGGGTGGGGCACTCGAGTGGGTGGGGCACTCGAGTGCACTGGGAGGCTTCGCCAGCGTCTCCCCACATGCCTTGAATTGCCGCCTTTTCTGACGGCTTCCATGGCGTCTCTGGTGGTGGTGGTGTGAGGTGGGGAGAGAGAAGGGGAGGGCACGGGGAGTGGGCCACTGGAGTCCACTCGAATGCATCGCCAGTGCCTTTTTGCACGAGTGGGGCGCCATGGCCTGAAGGGGGCGCCATGGCTTGAAGGGGCGCCATGGCTTGCTGCAGGAGAGGGGACGGACTCTTGATTCATGGTTCCTGGTTGTCGTGTCAACCAATCATTGTCATTCCGCACGCCTTTCAGGCAACCAGTTGGGGACGGACTCTCCCAGCAACCAGTTGGGCAAGTTTCAGCTGCGGGTCATTACGCAAGTGTCCAAAAAGCGAAGCTTGAAAACAAATCCATTCTTAGTTGCACTCCCAAGCTAGTGAGGTACTCGTCTTTGGACACTTGCTTTATGATCCGCAGCCGGACCTTGCCAAACTGGAAGCCGGGAGTTCCAGTTTGGCAAGTGCCAGAGAAAAGCGAGAGGAATGAAAAAGATTTGATCAACACGACAATCAACTCTCTCTTCACCAACTCTAGATGGGCACTCTCCTTCAGCTCGACCCCAGAGATACATGCAAGGTGACTTTTGAGTCGACTCAAAAGTTACATCCAAGGAGAGCTTCGAGTCGATTCGAAAAGCCACCTTGTTATTGCAGCAGCCTGGTGCGCTCGTCTGTTCCGTAACTGCTTCTCTTTTCCTGGACTCGCTGGCCCACCTGGCGGGCTCACCTCGCTCACCCTACCTCTTGGCTTGGACCGCTTCAACCCACCTGGCAGGCTCGGAAGATCTTCTCCAGGGCAGCAAGGGACCCGATCCTGCTCTCCTCCTTGGCCCCCCCATCCGCCTCCCACCGCTTGTGCCCCTCCAGAATCTCCTTCCTGTTCGCCCCCAGGGATGCGTCCGCTGCCAGGTCCCTCACCAGCTTGGCGCGCTTGTGCCTCCCTGCCTTGCCTTCTTTGCTTGAATCTTTGGTCTGCTTGACCCACCTAGCCTCTTCTAACTCCTGAACCCACCTGGCAGGCTCGGAAGATCTTCTCGAGAGCACCAAGAGAGGCAATTCTCGCCTCCTCCTTGGCCCCCCCATCCGCCTCCCACCGCTTGTGCCCCTCCAAGATCTCCTCTCGGTGTGCCCCCAGGGACGCATCTGCTGCCACGTCCCTCAGCAGCTTGGCGCGCTTGTGCCTCACCGCCTCGAGCCCCAACCGCAGCTTGATCACGTGCTCCATGTCGTCCGCCTCTTCGACCAGCAAGGATGAACCCACGTCCTGATCAAAGGATGGGAGGGGAGGGGGCGGGAGGGAGGGGGTGGGGGGTTGGTAGGGGGAAAGGAGGTGAGCCTCTCTGCCTCTAGCCCCAGCCGCAGCTTGATCATGTGCTCCATGTCGTCCGCCTCTTCGACTAAAAGGGATGGCCCTAAACCCTGAGAGGCAGAAACAGTGGGGAGCGGAGGGAGAGTGAGCAGTTGGGGGGGCTGTGCATGGCTAGACGAGCCGCAGCCGCAGTTTGATCATGTGCTCGTCACATGCTCCATGATCACGTCACATGCTCCATGATCACGTCACATGCTCCATGATCACGTCACATGCTCCATGATCACGTCACATGCTCCATGATCACGTCACATGCTCCATGATCACGTCACATGCTCCATGATCACGTCACATGCTCCATGATCACGTCACATGCTCCATGATCACGTCACATGCTCCATGATCACGTCACATGCTCCATGATCACGTCACATGCTCCATGATCACGTCACATGCTCCATGATCATGTCACATGCTCCATGATCATGTCACATGCTCCATGATCACGTCACATGCTCCATGTCGTCCACCTCCTCCACTCCCAGCAACGACCCCACATCCTGACCAATCACAGCATGCCACGTCAGGAGGAGAACAAGAGGTGAGGGAAGAAAAGGGGTACGCTTGACTGCTTCTAGGCTTGGCTTGATCACATGCTCCATGCCATCTGCCTCCTCCACTAGCAGCGATGACCCCACATCCTGTGCGAGCAGGATGCTAAGTGATGAGAGAGGGAGACTGAGGAACGGGGTGACTTAAGAGTCGACTCAAAAGTCGCCTCCTCCACTAGCAGCCACGACCCCATGTCCTGCGCAAGGAGGATGTTAAGTGATGAGAGGGGGAGATAGAGGAATGGGGGAGGGTGGGGGGGAGCGATAGGCATGTGCTTGTGATCGACTGCCAGTGGGCCGAGCCAGAGTCAGCTTGATCACGAGATGACATTTGAGTTGACTCAATAGGCAGTGCTCGAGATGGACTGCCTGTGGGCCGAGTCAGACTCAGCTTGATCACGAGATGACATTTGAGTCGACTCAATAGGCAGTGCTCGAGATGGACTGCCTGTGGGCCGAGTCAGTCTCAGCTTGATCATGAGATGACATTTGAGTCGACTCAATAGGCAGTGCTCGAGATGGACTGCCTGTGGGCCGAGTCAGACTCAGCTTGATCACGAGATGACATTTGAGTCGACTCAATAGGCAGTGCTCGAGATGGACTGCCTGTGGGCCGAGTCAGACTCCGCTTGGCCACATCACATGCAAACCGTATCTGCTCATCTCACCTTGAGGTTCCCCAGCTGCGTGCGGTAGTGTCTAAAGCTCCAGTCCGCCAGCACCTGCCCCAGCGCGTCCTCACTGTATCGCATGAACGTCCCCAGCCCCTCCCTCCACCCGTCCACCACCGCCGCTGCCACCGCCACCACATCCTCCTGTGCATCCCTGGGCGGCTCGCTCGCCGCCCAGAACCCAAACTGCGACCCGATCCACTGCAGCACGCGCTGCTCCAGGCTGGTGACGTCAGCAAGGCGGGTGATGAGGTCGGCAGGGAGCGAGGAGGGGGAGGTGAAGGGGTGGGAGAGCGGAGGGGCCGTGGCGGTGCTGGTGGGTTTGGCGGTGGAGAAATGGGCGAAGACTAGGGCGAGCTCCTTGTGGCCCTTGGCGTGGTCTGCTGCCTCCTGCCGTATCTCCTTGATGCGGGCTTCTGACACCTGGTTGGGTTCGTGGAATGCAGGGTTGCAAGGGGTGTGATGCAGAGGGGTGTGATGCAGAGGGGTGTGATGCAGAGGGGTGTGATGCAGAGGGGTGTGATGCAGAGGGGTGTGATGCAGAGGGGTGTGATGCAGAGGGGTGTGAGTAAGAAAACGGGGAGCATAGTGACTAGGGCGAGCTCCTTGTGGCCCTTGGCGTGGTCTGCTGCCTCTTGCCGAATTTCCTTGATCCGTGTGTCGGATCCCGGGGTTGCAAGATGTGAGGGTAGAGGGGTGTGATTTAGAGGGGTGAACGCTAAGGCGAGTTCCCTCTGGCCCTTGGCGTGGTCTGCTGCCTCCTGCCGGATCTCCTTGATCCGAGCATCGGACACCTGGGGTTGTTACATGCAGGGGTGCAGGGCTGTGATTCAGAGGGGTGTGATTCAGAGGGGTGTGATTCAGAGGGGTGTGATTCAGAGGGGTGTGATTCAGAGGGGTGTGATTCAGAGGGGTGTGATTCAGAGGGGTGTGATTTAGAGGAGTGTGATTTAGAGGGCAGGTGGAACGAGGCGCATTGTGTTTCAAGGCACCGCAGCAAGCCACGGAAAGAGCCCTGCATGAACAACCACCCCACCTTGGCAGTGGGAGCCCCCCCGGCTCCAACCGACTTCTTCCCCGACGTTCGGAACAACAGCAGGCGGAACGGAACAAGGCGCTGCTTCCTCGTCTTGCTTTGACCTGCACAAGCCAACTGAAAACGCATGCACGAACCAGCATCACCCTACCTTGGCAGTGGGAGCCCCTCCCACTCCCACCGACTTCCTCCCCGACGCGCGGAACGATGGCAGGCGGAACGACGCGCTGCTGCGGCGGTCAGCAATGCTCGCACTCCCTCCCCCACCCCCTCCCGCTCCGCCCCCCGGCCCTCCCCCCTTGTCCCCCCCCGGCAGCTTCAGGTCGAGGCGGAGCGTGCGCAGGGCGGAGCCGGGGGCGGGCGTGGCGGTGGTGGGGAGGGAGAAGGTGGAGCTCTTCTGGAGGGCGGGCTTGACCGGCTGAGGAAGAGCCTTCTCTAGGAACCGCTCGATGGCTGGGATCTGGTGTGGAAGGGGGGAGGGGGCAGGGGAGGGATGGTGGGGAGAGAGAAAGCAGAGCTTGTCCGCAGGGAGGGCTTGGCCGACTGGGGCAGGGCTTTTTCAAGGAACCTCTCAATGGCTGAACCTGGTATGGAGACTAGGGGAATAAGGAGGGGGGAGAACGGTGGTGGGGAGAGAGAAGGCTGAGCCCTGCTGTAGGAAGCGCTTAGCTGGCTGGGGCAGGGCTTTCTCTATGGGTGGGATCTGGTGGGAGAGGGAGGCGGGAAGAGGGGTAGGGGGAAGAGGGGTAGGGGGAAGAGGGGTAGGGGAAAGAGGGGTAGGGGGAAGAGGGGTAGGGGGAAGAGGGGTAGGGGGAAGAGGGGTAGGGGAAAGAGGGGTAGGGGGAAGAGGGGTAGGGGGAAGAGGGGTAGGGGGAAGAGGGGTAGGGGAAAGAGGGGTAGGGGGTGGGGGAAGACGCGGAGACGGATTGCGACCAGGGCGGATAAAGCAGGGCGCTCCTTGGGGAACTGTTTCAGTCGGTGGGACCTGGGAAAAGGGAGGGCTGGGTGACGTTGCTCGACCGCACACTCACTTCCTCCCACCACACACCCACCTTGCTCGCCTACACACACCTTGCTCGACTGCACACACCTTGCTCGCCTACACCCACCTTGCTCGCCTGCACACACCTTGCTCGCCTGCACATCAGCAGATTTTGAGCGCAGCACGCGCAGCAGCAGCAGGCGGGCGGCCGACACGAGCGGCCAGTCGAGCGAGAGCGCCTTGGAGTGCGCCCACGCCAGCAGCGCCATCACCGCCCCCCGCACCTCCTCCACCGCCCTCCCCTCCTCCTCACTGCCAGCTGGCAGGCTCGCAACAGCTGTCACCAGCTGATTGGACCGTAAAGAAAGTGGGAAGGGATGACAGGGGTAGTTAAGGGACGAGAACGCAACCAGGGAGGGAGGTTGGGAGAAATGAGTTGCAAGTCAAGCTGACGAGGAGACGGGGGAAGGAATAGGAGGGGGGGGCGGTGGGGAGCCAGGGGGGGGGGGAGGATGTGCATTGGAAAGAGTACATAAAAAGCTTCACCCCTCTGTAAATCTCCTCACCTCTCGATTACCTCCCCACCTTTCCACGCACCTCTCTCAAGCACCCGTTGCTCTCCTCCGCCAGAGCATCCCCCGCACTCTGCCCATCCACCCTATTTCTGTGTCGCTAATCATTCTCCATACCTCTCTACCTCCCCCTCACCTCCCCACCTTTCCACGCACCTCTCTCAAGCACCCGTTGCTCTCCTCCGTCAGAGCATCCCCCCCACTCTGCCCATCCACCCTATTTCTGTGTCGCTAATCATTCTCCATACCTCTCTACCTCCCCCTCACCTCCCCACCTTTCCACGCACCTCTCTCAAGCACCCGTTGCTCTCCTCCGTCAGAGCATCCCCCCCACTCTGCCCATCCACCCTATTTCTGAGTCGCTAGTCATTCTCCATATCTCTCTACCTCCCCCTCACCTCCCCACCCTTCCACGCACCTCTCTCAAGCATCCGTTGCTCTCCTCCGCCAGAGCATCCCCCGCACTCTGCCCATCCACCATGACCCGATTCATCTTCCCCACCACCTCATCCCTCCTCCGCTCCCACTCCGCGCTACCCCCCTGCTGCTGCCTCCCTGCCCCTTTCCCTGCAGCAGCACCACCACCAGCACCAGCAGCAGCAGCAGCAGCAGGGCCCCCCTTAGCTTCATTTCCTTGCCCCTGCTGTTGCCCCCCCTGCTGCTGCTGCTGCTGCTGCTGCTGTCCGCCCTGCCCCTCGCCTGCAGCTGCTCCTCCCTCCCCATGTCCCGCCACACCATTGACTGCTGCTGCCGGACCCTGTGCCTGCTGCGCCTGCGCCTGTGTGTGTGCGTGTGCCTGTGCGTGCACCTCCACTTTCATCAGGGCGGAGTTCTCTAGCGCAGCCTGGGGAGAATATTAAGAGCAGGGAGGGTGGGAGAGAGAAGGGTCAACATCAACAGTTGCTGTCCGACTATGTGCCTGTTGCGCCTGTGCCTGTGCGTGCACCTCCACTTTCATCGGTGCAGAGTTCTCCAGGGCAGCCTGACGAAGGGGAAGGTGAGGGAAGGCAGGGAGAGTAGGAGGGTGAGCACGGACTGCTGCTGCCCCCCCCTATGCGCCTGTGCCTGCCCCTGTGCCTGCGCGTGCACCTCCACTCTCATCAGCGTTCCCGGGCGGCCGGGAGAAGAAGAGGGTAGAGGGAATGCTGAGAGAACAGGGCGGAGGGAAAGAGGAGGGTCTATCAACAGCCTGATCCTATGCTTGCTCCTGTGCCTGCCCGTGCACCTGCCCTTCCACCAGCGGAGAATTCATCATTCAGGGCGGGCTCAAGGGGAAGATGGATGAAGATGACACCAGAACCCCCAAGTCCCCTGAACAGCCTTCCAGCGACAAAGGCCCAGCAGCGCACAGTACGGAACACTCTAAAGCGTCACCCCGACATGCCAGCGTTACCTGGCCCTGTAACAGCTCCAGAGACCTGACCCCAGAAAGGCAAACCTAAAAAAAATGTAAAACTTTACCAGAGCACTGTTGGTGGCCTCCAGGCGAGACAGCAAACTGCCATTTTCTGCGTTGAGCTCCTGAGGGGGGGGGAGAGATGGGGGGTTGGGGGAAGGATGGGGAGAAGGGGGGATGGGGTATGGGATAAACGAATAAAAACAACAGGGAAGATGAGGATAGTGGGGGAGGAGGAGGAGGAGCAGGAAGGAAGGATGAAACTTAGGCTGGTAAAGGAGGTGGGCGAAGGGATAAGGGATAAGGGTAGGAGAAGCGGAGCACGGCACAGGGAACAGTCACAGCGCGACAAAAGAAGCACCTACGTGGAAAGTGTCCACCTCGCCTCACCTCCCTACCAATACACCATAGCAATTTTCTGCATGCCTGTCTCATGCTCCTGCTACATAGCATCACTGTCCTCCCCGCCCGCCCCTCCTCACATCTGTCCCACCCCACCCGAACCTCACCCTGTTGAGCGCTTCGCTCTTCTCTAGTTCGCTCTTATAGGCCGTCATCTTCTGCACGGCCATCTCATACTGCTGCCGCAGCTCCGCCACCTCAGCCGAGTCCTCCTGTGGGCGGCGAAGGGCCGCCACCGTGGCGGCCATTTCAGCTGCTTCTGCCAGGCGCCCGTGCAGCTGCTCCACTTGGATCTGGAGGAGAGGGGCGAGAGAGAGAGGAGAGGGAGGAAACGGAAGGAAGGAAAGTAGAAAGCGAAGGTTGCTCCTTGCTCTAGCAGTTTGTGCAAGTTGTACATCTCGTATGCGCCATCTCCCTCACCTTGTGCGCCTCTATCTCATCTCCCTCACCTTGTAGTACGCCTTCATCTCTGCGATGTGTTGCTCATGCCCATAGTCCTCATGCTCCTGTAGTCCTGGCTCCCTCACCTTGTGCGCCTCTATCTCATCTTCCTCACCTTGTGCGCCTCTATCTCATCTCCCTCACCTTGTGCGCCTCTATCTCATCTCCCTCACCTTGTGCGCCTCTATCTCATCTCCCTCACCTTGTGCGCCTCTATCTCATCTCCCTCACCTTGTGCGCCTCTATCTCATCTCCCTCACCTTGTGCGCCTCTATCTCATCTCCCTCACCTTGTGCGCCTCTATCTCATCTCCCTCACCTTGTACGCCTCTATCTCATCTCCCTCACCTTGTACGCCTCTATCTCATCTCCCTCACCTTGTACGCCTCTATCTCTGCGATGTGTTGCTCCTGCAGTCGCTCCATCTCCTCCTCATGCTCCCTCACCGTCTTGGCTCCCTCCACCACCGCCCGCGTCTCCCACTCCTCCTCCATGCGCCGCTGTGCCTCCACCCCCGCTGCCAGCTCCGCCTGCCATACACACACGCAACACACGCATGCAACACACGCATGCAAAACACGCATGCAACACACGCATGCAACACACGCATGCAAAACAGGCATGCAACACACGCATGCAACACACACATGCAACACACGCATGCAACACACACATGCAACACCCGCATGCAACGCAGGCATGCAACACAGGCATGCAACGCACGCATGCAACACACGCATGCAACACATGCATGCAACACACGCATGCAACACCCGCATGCAACACCCGCATGCAACGCAGGCATGCAACACACGCATGCAACACACGCATGCAACACACGCATGCAACTCACGCATGCAACACACGCATGCAACACCCGCATGCAACACCCGCATGCAACGCAGGCATGCAACACATGCATGCAACACACGCATGCAACACACGCATGCAACACACGCATGCAACACCCGCATGCAACACCCGCATGCAACGCAGGCATGCAACACACACATGCAACACACGCATGCAACACACGCATGCAACACACGCATGCAGGCAACGCACGCATCAAAGGATGGATTCTCATGAAGTGCCTCCTATTGCGCTGTGATCCACAGAAAGCACTGGATTCAGCGTTTGGTGCTTGCCTTCCTCCCCCCCCACGCCTGCCACCTTCCCACCCCTCCCACTCACCATGAGTCTTTCCACCTCAGCGTGGTGCTGAGCCTCCACCAGTCCTGCCTGCGCCTACGCCCGCTGCAGCTCTGCCAGCAGCGCAGGTCTGTGTCTCCACCAGCACATGCATTGCCCCCTCCCCCTGCCCCCCTCCCTCTCTCCCCCTCTCCACCCCCCCTCTCACCATGAGTCCTTCCACCTCAGCGTGGTGTTGTGCCTCCACCAGTCCAGCCTGGACCCACGTGCGCTGCAGCTCCGTCAGCAGCACACGCCCCGTCTGCTCGCTCGCCTTCAGACAGAGCATCCACCATCCCCCCACCCATCCACCATCCCCCCACCCATTCACCCTCCCCCCACCCATCCACCATTCCCTTACCATCAGCCTCTCCACTTCCGCGTGGTGCTGAGCCTCCACCAGTCCAGCCTGCGCCCACGCGCGCTGCAGCTCCGTCAGCAGCACACACCCCGTCTGCTCGCTCGCCCTCAGCGCATCCCGAAGCCGCAGCACCTCCTGCTGCGCCTCCGCTGTCTGCCGCTCGCTCTCAAACACCTCCCGTCTCGCGTCGTTGGCCTGGGGGGTGGAGAGGACGGGGGGGTTCAATGAGGCAACTCTTGAATGCGCTGTTGCACCTCCTGCTAAGCCTCTGCTGCCCGCCGCTCGCTCTCAAACACCTTCCGCCTCACATCATTCGCCTGAAGTTCGGGGGTGTTTGGAATGGAGAGTGGGTTCAAAGGGCCGACTCTTGATCGTGCCTCACATCTCGAAAGGAGAAAGTTGATTCCAAACAGTTTTTGAATGGATTCAATCTCACCATGGCTGGCCGCCCACTCACCATGTCCCGCCACTTCTTGATGTTATCGCAGGTGCCCAGGCTGAGCTCCGAGTTGCACAAGCAGGCAGCAAAGGCAGGCAAAAGAGCCGACTCCAAAAGGGCACGCAAAGCCCTTGAGAAACAGTTCCCGATCAGCTCAGAACCACCCTCCCTGCCTTTCTACCCAACTCACCATGTCCCGCCACTTCTTGATGGTATCCCGGGTGCCCAGGCTGAGCTCCGAGTTGCGCGAGCGGGCAGCAAAGGCCAGCGAGAGGGCCGACTCTGACACGTCCTTCACAGAGGGGCTGCACGTCACCACCAGCACTGTCTTGGCGTCGCCCCCTGGTGGATTCAGAGAGTACAGGGGAGTACAGGGGAGTACAGGGGGGTACAGGGGAGTACAGGGGAGTACAGGGGAGTACAGGGGAGTACAGGGGAGTACAGGGGAGTACAGGGGGGTAAAGGGGAGTACAGGGAGTACAGGGAGTACAGGGGAGGGAGAGAAGACGAGAGGAGGGACAGCATTTGAGGACTGGGATTGCGACTCGACTCTGACATGTCCTTCACAGGCGGGCTGCACGTCACCACCAGGACCGTCATAGCGTCTCCCCCTGGTGTAGGGGAGGGAGAGAGGGCGAAAGGACGGCATATGAGCACTAGGATTGCGACTTGGCTCGCTCGGACGCGTCCTTCACAGAGGGGCTGCACTGCACGTCACCACCAGCATCGTCTTGTCGTTCCCCCCTGGTGGCAGTAGAGAAAGGAATTTAAGTGAGGAAAATGACAAGAAAAAAGACTCAGGGGTGGTGAAGTGAGGAAAAGGACAAGAAAAAAGACTCAGGGGTGGTGAAGTGAGGAAAAGGACAAGAAAAACGACTCAGGGGTGGTGAAGTGAGGAAAAGGACAAGAACAAGGACTGTGCTTTTTATCTGAGGCGTCCTTCACAGACGGGCCGCATGCCATCACTAGCACCGTCGTGGCGTCTCCCCCCGGTGGCAGTTGGGAGGTTGGAGAGCAAACGAGAAGAAGGGAGAGGGGGGCACAAGGGTAAGACCATTGTGCCTAGGACTAATCCAAGGAGCTGTGAGGCTGGGCAAAAAGGAAGAAGTAGCTGCTGTCCGTCCCCTCACAGATGTCACTCTTGGGGCACCTCAGAGAACCAAGTCACCAATGAGCAGCTGTAGCCAACTATTGGGACGGCTCAAGGCACCAATGAGCAGCTGTAGCCAACTATTGGGATGGCTCAAGGCACCAATGAGCAGCTGTAGCCAACTATTGGGACGGCTCAACTCAAGGCACCAATGAGGAAGCTAGATGTAATGAGCCAGTCTCGAGAACAGGGTGGTTTTGAGGCAGTCTCGAGAGCGGGGTGGTTTTGAGGCGCCTCACAACGAGCCAGTCTCGAGAGCGGGGTGGCGGGCTTGGAGTTGTGATTGGGCACTGCAGGGTTTTTGAGGCGCCTCAAAAATTGGAGTTGTGATAGGGCACTGCAGGGCGCTTGCTGCAGTGCTTGCAGCTTCCATTTGACAAAAATCTGTCATCACAGGAAAAGGAAATAAAGCACATATTTCTACTGGCTGGAAGGGCGTACCGAGGGAGTCGGAGAGCAGGGTGGTGAGCTTTGAGTTGCGGTAGGGCACCGTGGGGCGCTTGCCGGTCAGAGCAGACAGGCAGTCGCCGAGCCTGCAGGCCGTGGGGGGGAGAACACACAGACGTTGAAGGTGGCGGGGAAAGCAGGCTTGAGAGACGGCGGAAATCACAAGGGGGGAGGGGAGGCGAGGGGGGGTGTGGAGTGGGGGGGTGGGGGGGGGATCCCTCCATCTCCTCCTGAAAGAGCACATGGAAACTTTTTTTGAGGCGCCTCAAAAATAGACTCCTCCTGAAAGAGCCACATGGAAACTGTAAGTGTAGGCTGCAGCATAGGAAGAAAGGAGGGGGGGCGGAGGAGGAGGAGGCGAGGATGAGACAACACAAAGGGATGAGATTAAGCAAAGAAGTTGCCCGGTGAGACTCAAAGATACAAGGTGTGAGATTGGAGACAAGACACATGGAGGAGGATAAGAGATGGGGCGAATTTTGAGGCGCCTCAAAAGGTGTGGGTTAGCATAGGAGACATTATAAGTGGAGGAGGGTAAGAGATGGGGAGGAGACACAAAGACTTTGCACGTTAAGAAAGGCTCCGTAAGGTATGATCGACTCCATACGCTGAGGGCTTGCCTCCTGAGGCAAAGAACTTCTAAACTCCTTACACCAAGGACTCAATACGCAACACTAGTGACCACTTTCACTTGCTGAGAAAGCTTTCCAGGTGCTCAAAAACACCCTGCCACAAGGGAGTCCGCTTCTGAGAATTCTCAAAAACACCGTGCTTTCACAGCAAGTGAACATCGCTGTGAACGTGCAGCGGCGCGGTGAGCTTGTCTCCGGAGGTAGAGGACTCTTGAGCATGACACACCACCAAGCAAGACCCTTATACCCAGCTTCATACGCTAAGGATGACTTCTGCTCGTGCACGGAGGTGGAGAGCTTGTCTCCCGAGACAAAAAACGAGAACAAGTGACTCGTATACACCACACACCAAGCAAGAATCTTTTACCCAAGCACCGACTTCGTACGCTGAGAACGACTTCTGCACGTGCAGCGACGCGGTGAGCTTGTCCCCCGAGGCAGAGGAGGAGGCGAGCAGGCGCTCGCTGGACGCCAGGTCCGCCAGCAGCAGCTTGCCGCTCTGCTGCTCGCCCGTTACTGGGTCCTCATGGTGCACGCGTACTATCACCACCCTGCCAGGCAGCCATGGGGTGGAAGGGAATACAGGGAGTATCACAGTATCACTCAAAGCTACTAACAGCCAGGTCTACCAGGTGCTCTGCTGCTCGCCCGTTACTGCGTCCTCGTGGTGCATACACACTTCCACCACCCTGTCGGGCAGACAGGGGATGAGCGGGGGGATGGTGGGAGAGTGGGTGGGGGAGTGCATGAGAGGGAGCGGGAGAGAGACTCTAGGGCGTAAGTGAATATTCAATGGCTGGAGTGCCAGGCCTGCCAGGAGCAATCTGCAGGTGAGAAATACATGCCCGTCACAGCGTCCTCATGAAATAGTTTTCAATTGAAAGAGCATTCCACTGAAAGAAGATACTTGGTTTTAAGGATGCGATAGTAATTTCGCTTTGAGTCGACTCAAAACGAAATTACTATCACACGCGCATTACTAGCACCCGGAATGGAAGTGAGAAAATAACTTTGCAGGAAATCAGCACTAGTAGAAGGGTGAAAAATACTTTTAGGCGCGGGCGAACGAGCACTTACAAGCAAGGGTGGAAAAGGCTTACAGGTGCGAGAGCTTGTTCCGCTCCTTGCTGTCGCCGATGAGCCCGCCTCCCCCAGATGCACCTCCCCCGGCCGCCCGGTGCTGCAGGGCCGTCTTTACCACCTTGGCGTACTCCATGGGGTTACTCACCGCCTCCTCCGTCACATTCCGCAGCTCCACCGCCCCACCCCCCCCAACCCCTCCTCCCCCCCCTCCTCCGCCTCCTCCCACCCCCGCCTCCACAATTTCAACCTTCCCCACGGACCCATGGCCGGCCAGCATGGGGTTCACCAGCAGGTCGCTCAGCTGAGAGGCAAAGGGAGAAATGGGATTTCCAAAGGCATGAACATTGAGGTTCTAGGTTAATGGCTGGCCAGCCAGCCAAGGGGTTCACCAGCAGATCGCTCAGCTGAGGAGGGCAACGAGGCATGAACATTGGGATTCTAGGTTAATGGCGTGCCAGCCAGCCATGGGGTTCACAGCAAAGCAGATCGCTCAGCTGAGGAAGGGGAGAACACAGGGTGGGGCGTGAGGGTTGGTTGGGAAGCAAAAACTTCTTTGAGTCGACTATGGAGTTGACTTTTGAGTCGACTTCAAAATTCCCAGCAGATCGCTCAGCTGAGGAAGGGGGGAACACGGGGTGGGGCGTGAGGGTAAGGAAGCAAGGACATCGCTCAGTTCAGTTTGGCGAGATGACTTCTGAGCCGATTCAATAGTCACACAGTTTACCAGGGTTGAACTAAGCTAAGCCCGTTAGTGCCACCAGCCGCTGCTCGTTTTTCAGCCCACCCTGACACAGTTCCGCCCCCCAGACACAGTTCCGCCCCCCAGGCACAGATCCGCCCCCCTGACACAGTTCCGCTCCCCTGACACAGTTCCGCTCCCCGCAAACATGATTCCGACCAGCCAACGACCCACCCACCGGCTCGTCCCCCCCCTTGCCCCCCCCCATGCACCAGTCCCTGGCCCCCCACACCCCAATGCACCAGCCCCCACCGTCACCCACCTGCTCGTCCCCACCCTTGTGTGAGAAACTGAAGTGAAGATTGTATTAAGAAAAGAGTGGGTATACATAGCTGAGGAGTAGGAAGGGGGGGTTTCGTTGGGAGGTGACCACGATTATTGGGGAACCCAATAAGTTGAGTTGGCCAACTTATTGGGGGTCCAATAATCCTAGCCAAGATTATTGGTGGGTCCAATAATCTTGGTTGGGATTATTGGGGGTTCCAATAATTGGGAGCCCAACCAATTTGGGAATCCAACAAGGTTGGGAACCCAAGCCCCAACTTGGGTGTATACACCCTAGTGGGGTGCTTATAAGTACCTAAGACAATGAAACAATGTAAGCTAATAGAATGAAGGGAGAATATTCTATCACCTTCCCCCCCCCAATGCACCAGTCCCCGGCCTCCCACACCCCAATGCACCAGCCCCCACCACCACCCACCTGCTCGTTGAACATCTCCAGCACGCTGATGTGGAAGGTGTAGCTGGCAGCGGGGGCGTATGCCGAGTTGGCGAGGTCGTAGATCTCGTCGAACGCGCGGTAGAAGATGCCCCGGTCGTGGGAGGGGCCCTCCTGCATGTGCATTGGTGGGGGGTGAAGGATGGGGTGACGGATGGGGTGAAGAAGGATGGGAGCACACAGGAAGGTGGGATGCGTTGGCGAGGTCGTAGATCTCGTCGGACGCGCGGTAGAAGATGCCCCTGTCATGGGAGGGGCCCTCCTGCATTGATGGGGGGTTGATGAGAACACAGTGGAAAGGTGGGTGGAAGGAGAGCGGGAGAGGACGAGGGAGGAGGGGGGGAAGGGGAGGGGATGGGGGGATGAGTTGGCGAGGTCGCAGGTCTCATCGAACGAATGGAAAAAGATGCTGCGGTCGTGGGAGGGGCCCTCCTGGAATGGTGGGCGAAGGAGAGAGACGAGGGAGGGAGGGAGGGGGGGGAGGGCGGGGGGTGGGAGGGAGATGGGGTTGGTGGTTACAAAGCCAGCTATCTCATCAAATGCAGCAGTAGAAGAAGCTGGCCGAAAGCGAGGCGTGCAACCACAGGTTCCATAGCGAGCGCCGTGCACTCCTCTGACCATACCCGCGTGCATCTGATCCGTAAGATTCCCACAAGCCTTTGCCATACCATTGTGTGCGATTTCCCGGAGCCGCTCTGCCCATAGGCAATGATGGAGGCGTTGAATCCGTCCATGACAGCCTGCACCATGGGCTGCACCGCGTCCAAGAATAGGTCGCCTGCACAAGAACGCCCAAGGGACGGGTGGGGAGTGGTTCAGTGTGGTGACAAGAGTTGAACCCATCCATCACAGCCTGCACCATGGGCTGCACCGCGTCCAAGAATAGGTCGCCTGCACAAGAACGCCCAAGGGATGGGTGGGGAGTGGTTCAGTGCGGTGACAAGAGTTGAACCCATCCATCACAGCCTGCACCATGGGCTGCACCGCGTCCAAGAATAGGTCACCTGCACAAGAACGCCCAAGGGATGGGTGGGGAGTGGTTCAGTGCGGTGACAAGCGTTGAACCCATCCATCACAGCCTGCACCATGGGCTGCACTGCGTCCAAGAATAGGTCGCCTGCACAAGAACGCCCAAGGGATGGGTGGGGAGTGGTTCAGTGTGGTGACAAGAGTTGAATCCGTCCATGACAGCCTGCACCATGGGCTGCACTGCACCGCGTCCAAGAATAGGTCGCCTGCACAAGAGCGCCCAAGGGATGGGTGGGGAGTGGTTCAGTGCGGTGACAAGAGTTGAACCCATCCATCACAGCCTGCACCATGGGCTGCACCGCGTCCAAGAATAGGTCGCCTGCACAAGAACGCCCAAGGGATGGGTGGGGAGTGGTTCAGTGCGGTGACAAGCGTTGAACCCGTCCATCACAGCCTGCACCATGGGCTGCGCCGCGTCCAAGAATAGGTCGCCTGCACAAGAACGCCCAAGGGATGGGTGGGGAGTGGTTCAGTGCGGTGACAAGCGTTGAACCCATCCATCACAGCCTGCACCATGGGCTGCACTGCGTCCAAGAATAGGTCGCCTGCACAAGAACGCCCAAGGGATGGGTGGGGAGTGGTTCAGTGCGGTGACAAGCGTTAAACCTGTCCATCACAGCCTGCACCATGGGCTGCACCACGTCCAAGAATAGGTCGCCTGCACACAACGGCACATGATACGGAAGGTTCAATACAGTGAGATGTGCAGAGCAGGGGAGCTATGCTGTGGGCGTTGAACCCACCCATCACAGCCTGCACCATGGGCTGCACTGCGTCCAGAAACAGGTCACCTGCACACAGTCGAAACAGGTGAGGGTGAGGTGCAGAGTGGTTTAGTGTGGTGACATGTGCTGGGGTGATCTGGCAGTTATACCCATCCATCACACCCTGCAGCACCATGGGTTGCCTGCATGAGAATGCCTATGGGAATGGATGAGGTACAGAGCGGTTCAGTGTAGCAACAAAACGGTGAACCCATCCATCTCAGCCTGCACCATGGGCTGCACTGTATCCAGAAACAGATCGCCTGCACAAAGGGGAGGTGGGTGGGTGGATGGGATTCGGAGTGGTTTAATACGGTGCAAGTGGCGGGCAGCAGCACACTGTGGCATAATGAGTGGCTGGGTGAGGTTCAGAGTGATTCAGTGTGGTGACTCACCTTGCCCGGGATGCGGCCCGTGGATGTAACACAGCTCTAGTCCCTCATAGCTCACCAAAAATCCATTCCACTATAGCCTATAGTTGCCCGCAAGCCTGATTAGCAATCACGCTCAAGTTGTAGGTAATTTTTAAGAATTCTCAAAAAGCTCACTAATATTCCATTCAGCTACAGCCTATAGATGCCCGCAAGCCTGATCGAGCTCATAGTCCCAATAGCCGACGGCGGATCAGTGGCTTACCACCAGAGACCTAAGAAGGTGCAGCCTTCCCCCCCCACCTTGGCGGGCTGGTGGCCGGTAAATGTAGTCCAACTCAAAGTCCTGGGTTGAGTGGGATTGTGAAATTGTACTAAAAAAGGCCGAAGAAACCCGCACAATGCCCAACATGCAGCCCCTAAACGGAGTCCAACTCAAGGTCCTGGGTTGAGTGGGATTGTAAAAATGCACCGAATCGGACAGAACTCGGCTGTTTGATTGGTGAGTGAACAGAAGAGCCTAAGAGGGCCAAAGAAGCCCTCACCTTGCCCGACATGCGGCCCGTAGATGTGGTCCAGCTCATAGTCCCTCTTCGCCAGCCCACTGCTCCCGCCCCCACCCATGGAGGCAGCGCCGCCCATGCTGCCAGGGGAACCCACACCGCCCGCACCAGCCGCAGCAGCAGCAGCAGAGGGGTTGATTCGAATGGTGGTTTCGTCTGGGAAGGAGAGAGCGAGGGAGTCCTCGTGCTCGAATGGCGGGCGCACTCGGCAAACCACACGGATGTTGCCTGGCAGGTGGGAGGGAGGAGAGGGATGATGTGATGAGAGCGCAAGCTTTTGAGAAAAAGTCAATGCACCCGGTAGCACACCACAGAGAAGACTCTCAGAAACTCGCCAAGAGAGCCATCCATCCATCGCAGGTGGGGAATTTGCATACAGAGTACCTCGAGATAGCCTTGAGAGACCGACCAATTATGAACTCAGGATCCCTGGTAGTACCGTGGGTGGGAGGTCACCTTTGGATTGAATGAGGCTGTTGAAGAGCCTTCTGCGTTCCTTCTTCAGAGGCGCCACCTTCGACTCCGCCTCCTGTGCGATCTGGTCTGCACACGGCGGGAGAGAAGGGGCGAGAATTTGAAACATACAGACATGAAAGCGTTTTCACAGTCGCTGCCACGTAAAATCAATGGCATCCAAGTGGTGTTCTCCCACCCACCGCCTTAGACTCCGCCTCCTGTGCGACCTGCTCTGCAGACGGCAGGATAGACAGGGCAGAAACGGCAAGATTATATACAAAATGCAGGGGGAGAGGGGCGAAAAATGGCAAGATACGAGTTGCAGAAGCACAGACGAATGCCGAAGAGGAGAAAGTGAACAAGGTGGAAAACCGGGGGTTGGAGGAACAAGAGTTGGAGGAGCCAGGAGAGAGTGAGAAGATGCCATCTGACGAACGAAGTGCGTGAGGTACCGCTGGGTGTTTTTGAGAAATCTAAAAAACACCAAACGAAGGAACGAGGTACTGCTCAAAAAGCCTCCCAACGGAGGCACGAGGAGCCTCCCAACGCTTGGGGCCTATTGCGCCCCTCAAAACGGATATGTAGCCTTAAAACCCGCATCCCAAATTTGGGGCGGCAGCCTTCAAACGCACTGCGTTTGAAAGTTGTGTTTTCGTGGGTGCAGGGGGGTGACGTGACTCTCGTCGCTCAGGGGTGCTGTTCAAGTTCAGTCAGGAGGTTATTCTGGAACACCAAGTGCTCGGCGTTTTTCGTCCGTCCATCTTTTTGGAGATTCCCATCGGACGGCGCGAAACCCAAAATTCCCCCCAGTCAAATCGAAATATAATCGCAGCCGTCAAATTGCGTTATTGCAAATCTGACGGTCCACGAACTACGTCCAATTCGCGAGCTGAAACACCCTTGCGATTTTTTGGCGTGATTCGTGCAACCTCAGCTCAAAGTTCATATGCAGTGCGTTTGAACAATTTGGGATGCGGGTTTAAAGAGTGTATAAGGTGTGTAACCCACCGAGACCCTGGGCCTTCTTGGCGAGCACTTGCAGGTAGCTCTGCGCGCGCATCAGCTTGGCGTCTCAGACAGCACGTGACCTGCAAAGCTGAGCATGTGGCTAAAGAGCCTAGCATGTGGCTGAAGAACCTAGCATGTGGCTGAAGAGCCTAGCATGTGGCTGAAGAGCCCAGCATGTGACTAAAGAGCCGATCATGTGGTAGCCACGTACCGAGACCCTGGGCCTTCTTGGCGAGCACTTGCAGGTAGCTCTGCGCGCGCATCAGCTTGGCGGAGGCATACTCCTGCAGGTCGCACGCGTCCTGCCGCAGCTCCAACACGTCCTCCCGCGCTTGCTAGTGCCGGGGAGGCGGGTGGGGGAGGAGGAAGCGTTGATAATTGGGGGATCAGGGGAAGAAAGCTTGTCGGAGGGCCGGAGGCATACTACTGCAGGTCGCACGCGTCCTGCCGCAGATCCAACACATCCTCCCGCGCTTGCTGGAACAAAGGGGGGGGGGGGGGGGGGGGAAGGGGGAAAGAGGAAATGACGAGAATTCAGGGGTTTAAGGGACGCTAGCCTGGCGGAGGCGCTCCAACACGTCCTCCCGCGCTTGCTGGAACAGGGGAGGGGGGTGGGGGAGGAGGAAATGACGATGGCTCATGGAGTCGGGAAAGAAAGCTTGGCGGAGGTGTACTCCTGCAGGTCGCACACGTCCTGGCGGAGCTCCAACACGTTCTCTCGAGCTTGCGGGTGGTAGTGCGGGGAAGGGAGGGATGGCGATTGGGCTGTTGGGGGGGAAGGGAGGGAATCAACATGGCGGAGGCACGCTCCTGCAGGGCGCACGCTACTGGCGCACCGCAGCACACCCCTGGCGCACCGCATCACACCCCCGGCGCACCGCATCACACCGTTGTTGGACGAGACGGGGGAGTAAGGGGTGAAGTAAGAGGTCGGATGCACGGGAGAGAGAGGGAGAGGGAGAGATGCAGGGAGATACTCGCGGGTGCGCTGCAGCAGTCTCCGATGGAGATCATGGGCGACTATCCTCCTGCGGCCCTCTCTCTTCGCCTTCCATTCGGATTATTAGACATCTCGTTACTCGCGGGTACGCCGCAGCACTCGCCGATGGAGGTAATGGGCGAGTATCTACCTTCGGCTCTCTCTCTCTCTCCGCCCTCCATCCGGAGATTGCTCATTCTCATGGAAACAGAATGTTGCACTGCCTGCCGAGTGAGAGAACGGGCCGCAGCACAAGTAACTAAGCGGAGCACGATGAAACGCTATACGCGCTATAAGCTCCGCAGTATAAGCTGCTCACCGGAGCCGTTCCTTCGTCACACGTCTCCAACTCACCCTTAATCGATCCTTCAGTCCGACCGCCTTTTCCGTTACCGCAGCCATCCGTTTCTTCCCTGCCGTCATGCCCCCTGTCGCTCCCTTTGACGGAGTACCGAGCGCTGAGCCGGCACTTTTGACGGTCCGGCGAGTGCCGGCAGACATTCGGCCGGTTTGCGGAGGAGGCGCGCCCGTGCTTGACGCCGCTGATGGCGGGTCTGACGACGGCTGACCGATGTCTGCCAGCGCTGCACCATTGAACCATCGATCGTCCGCCATGGCTGCTAAATAATCGCAATACTGATGTCACTAGGTCGAGCAAGTAACGCGACGCGAAATAGCCGTAATGCTGATGCTTACGTTATTGAACAGCGTGCTGGCAGCTGGTCTTTTTTTTAATTCTCAAAACACACCCTGCAAAATCAAGGACAGCGTGCTAGCAGCTAGTCTGATACGGCCGAAGCGTGGCGAGTTATCATTTTCGAGCTTCCACAATCAGCGTGAAGGAAAGCCGCTGTGAGACGGAACACGCTACACTATGGAACTAAGTGTGTGGATAGGCGGCGTGAAACGAAACGCCACTGTTCGAATCGAGAAGTGCGATAATTATAATGTTACTTCTGGTGTGTGCTTCATGGCTGCATGAAACCACGTTTCACAGGCAGCCATGATCATGGTGTTTCTAGTTTAAGAGAGTGTTACTGTACTGCAAGTTTCTGCCTGATCTGACAGCAGTCTGACACGAGTGGACAGGAGAAATCGAGGGAAAATCGTGAGAACAAAACAGGAGCGGAAGAAAGCTGACAGTTCCAGAAGGAGGGATCCGAATATGAGACGGCCAAGAAGGGCGGGGAGAGCTGCGATTGGTTTGAAGCAGACAGAGCCGACATCGAGATGACTAAGTTACCATTTGGTCGACAGAATACACTTCGCATCCTTTCAAAAGAGATTACGAACCGGAAAATATACTGTATGGGACCTCGCATTTGTGGTATCCTCCAAGATCCATAAGAGAAGCAGTCTTTAAGCAAAACTCGTTACAAGCGCACGAACGAATCACAGACAGCTTCGTGGCAGTCCGAGAAGCATCCAATGTTGTGCCACGCTGGACCAAAGCTCCGAAGGAAACATCTGCGCGCACTTCCACAACCCCCTGCTCCTAGTCACGGGCAGAATTGAACATTATCGATCTTGGGGGTGCAAGGACGACAAGACGGATTTTATTATCTGGACTGCTATTGTCCCAAGCAGTTTTGAGCAGAAGTCGACATTTTTTTGGGCGTGAGTTTCAGCCTTACTGGAGCACACCCCAGGCTGAACAACATTTTATTATCTGTGCCCCATTGTCGCAAATTCAGCCACAGACCAAGCCCAAGCAGCAACCAATCTCGAGGTCCTCCTCTTCTTCCCCTGTCTGTCAGCCCAATCCATCAGCCTTGAAATTCCCATCTGGCTACCTTTTTTTTGCTGCAGGCTGCTCACTTTACCGTTTCCTCTATTCTGTCGTTCCCACGAGCACGGCCAGTTCAGTCTCCACAGCAACCTTACCTCCTATCGCATACCCTCCTGCCATAATGGCTTCTACTGCTCTTCAAACAGCAGCCTCCGTGGCGTCTCCCTGCCTATCTTACAAGGTCCGTTTTCCGTTGCCCACTCCTATCAACGTCTCTCTGGCTCCCGTTTCCCGTTTTCCGCATGACGGTTGGATTCACCGCACGCCCATTACCAAGAAACTCTATTTCATTGGTTCTTGTGCAGGCGGGGTCCAAGTCACAAGCAGCTCGTTCATCACTACCAGGTACGAGCGTTCCCGATTCGTGGGCTGACGAAATGCAGTCTGCATGTTGTAACATCACATTTTCACATTTTGCGATCTGCTCCGTGTCCCCATTGCCTTCTCTCGCGCCACTGCCTTCCGCTCCTTTAAAATGTCGCGTCCTTCCCATCACTTTATCAAGCCCATGTTTTTACCTAGTTATCATCCATTCCCATCCATTCTCCCTTCCAGCTCCTTGTCCCAAACAATTTCTCTCCCCCCTCCTCCCCCACCACCATCAAACCACCTCCAGCTCTCCCACTCAGGAGCCTGTCCTCCCTCTCCCAGTCCTCCGCCTTCCACCAAGCCTGCGCCCGAGCCTCGGCCTCCCGAGCCAGCAGCCTCGGCGTCAGCCGCAGGGGAGGCGTGGTGGTGCGCGCCATGGCGTCTGACGGCGGGTCCGGCGGCGCCGGCGGCGGAGTGGACATCTGGATCGGGCGGTTGGCGATGATGGGCTTCGTGGGCGCGGTGGTGATGGAGGTGGTCACCGGCAAGGGATTGCTCGAGGTGAGTGGGGCGTTCATTGAGGTGGGTTATGCGAATCGAATCCCGTGGGAGGAGCCTCAGACTGTGGCGGCTGGCGAGGCGATGACGGGGTTCGTGGGGGCGGTGGTGATGGAGGTGGTCACGGGGAAGGGCCTGCTCGAGGTGAGTGAGAGGTTACTCGAGGTGCGCTGTTGGAACTGGTACTCCTGTCTCTCTGGGTAACTACGATTTCTTTGCAAGGGGCTGTTGTGGTGGGGGAAACCGGAGCCGGAGGAAGAGGCGGGTGGTTGAGTTGAGGGGGATGGCGCAACAGACTGGTGTACTGATGGGGAAAATGCGAAGAGCAAGTAACGATAAAGAGCAACGGTGGTGAACAGCGTTGGTCGGAATGTGTGCTTCTTCGTACAGTGTGAGACGATAGGAGGCAGGCATTGCTTGCAGCCCGGCCCGATTCCAAGAGCATGAGATCTCCGTGTCGGACTTAACAATCACCTATAGTGTCAATAACCCTTCACAAGTGTCCTCGCGTCAGAGTGAAAGTCCTGCCTGCCAGGATCAGGAGATGCGTCGGCTCTTCCACGCCTACACCACACCACACCTTCGCCTTCACACTAGATTTTGTGTGGGATATCTCAACTGCTATCTACACCACCTTTCGCCTTCCTCAAATGCTCACCCATCACCTCCCTCTTCTCCCCACCCCCCACCCCTCCTCCCTCCTTCCCCCCTTCCCCTTTCCCGACTCCTCTTCCTGTTGCATCTCTCTCCCTTTCATCTCTCTGCCACAGCTGATTGGGAGAGCCCAGGCCTTGGCTCTCGTTATCATGACTGCCCCACGCGCTGTCGCTGTCCGCTCCACCCAAGCCCGCTGGCCGTTGCAATACTGAAACGCACACTCAACCCCTTTCTCGTCTCCTCTTTGCCCCTTCTGTCACCCTCCCACTCCTCCTGTGTGTGCCACCAGCTGATTGGAGTGCCCACACCTCTGCCCGCCCTGGCTCTTGTTATCGTGGCTGCAACTGGTGCTTTCACTGCCTTCGGCGTCTTCCGCTCCTCCCAAGACTAAAACTCTTGCCTGACCTATGGATGGAAAAGTGATGCCTCTTGTAAATGTGGCACGGTGTGGTCTGGAATGCGTTTTTGTACAATGTGGCGTCTGATTGCCAGGGTACATACAACCTGGAAGTGCCTGTTAATTACTAGATCACTCTTTCCTGTACTGTGGGCGCCGGTGGCACTAAAACGCCAATTGGAACAAATGTTGAGTTGAATGTGAACATAGCAACACATAAGTGCAGAGCCCCACAGCTAACGAGATTATAATGAACACAACCCACCGGCCCGCAGCCTCTATACTGGCTGGTGAAACACTAAAACCACCCTTCTAAGTTGTGAAAACGTTGTGGGTGCACTTGTATACAATAACTGCTCACAATAAAATGTTATGCCACAAAGTTGTCAATCACATGCTGGATGACACTAGCTCCATGAGCCTTGAGCGATGGAATGTTCACCTGGAGGGTGCCAGCCAATGGTCAAAGGAAGGAAACAGTGCCGAAAGGTGTGCATTGCAACACAAAAAGACACAGATCCCCTTGGCATTGGGTGGACAGGCTGCAAATTCTGGTGTGCTCAATGGGTAAGAGGGAGGTTCTGAATGACCAGGATACGTGTGGAGAAGGCACTCACCCACATGAATTGTGTGCGAGGAAGGCACTCACCTGAATGAGGATGTGTGCGAGGAATGCGAGTGGCGAGGACGCAAAGTTGACATCGATGCGTGCCCATGGGACACGATTGAGATTGTCCACCATGGCGTCTGAGGGGAGGGAGAGATAGAGACGCACGGATAGCATGTGAGAAGCATGTATGAAAGCATATAAACGCATCGAGCCCATGGGACGCGATTGAGATTGTCCACCAACGCCTCTGATGGGAGGGAGAGAGAGATCCATGGATAACATATGAAGCATGTATGATAGCATATGAAGGCATCGAGCCCATGGGACGCGATTGAGATAGTCCACCATGGCGTCTGATGGGAGGAAGAGACGGTATGTGAACCCACAGATTTCGTTTGTCAGCATGAGGGCTTGGTGTGGTCAAAGGAACGCGGATGGCTACTGCAGCGAAGACGAGCAGAGCTAAATGCAGGTAGGGCTAAGCACGGCAGACAGCAGAGTTACGAGCAGCGGCAACAATGTGAGAGCTGGAGTCTAGTTTTGAGGCGCCTCAAAACTAGACTCCTATCATGCGGGCGACAACAATGTGAGAACTGGAAGTGAGAGATTTCGCAGCAGTAGAGTGAAACCCACCTTCCCACTGCATCTGAATGCTGTGCTTCTTCTGAGGTGACTTTTGAGTCGACTCAAAAGTCACCTTGAAACCCACCTTCCCACTGCATCTGAACGCTGTGCTTCTTCAATGCTATCCCCGCAGAACGGGGCACCACAGCACCAGCAGCAGCAGCACCAGCAGCACCAGCAGCAACACCAGCAGCACCATCAGCACCACCAGCACCACCAGCACCACCAGCAACACCAGCAGCACCAGCAGCAGCACCGGCACCTCCGAACGATGCTCGCCTGGCCTTGCTCTCATTCCCACAAGTTCCCTCGCCACCGGACAACTCCTTGCCACGCAAACTCTCCTTGAACCTCCCTGTCTCGCCACTGCTACTGCCATCACCCTCCCCACTGCCGTTTCCAGAGCTGTTTCTGTTGTTGCCGACGCTGTCAAAGCCTCTTGCGCTCCTCTGGGTTATGCTGTCACTCATGCTGCGCACCAGCTGCATGATGCCTTCCTCCTCACCTCCCTCGGATGATTCCTCAGGTGATTTTCGAAATCTCGCTGGGATTTCAAAATCAGCTTCCTCGCCCTGCTCACCATCCCCCTTCTCTTTCAGCTTTGGCGGCTGCTGCATGCACGGCAGAAACTGCTGCTGTGGAGAGCCGAACCCTAAGCCCAACCCAAAGCCAAGAGATCCTGCTGTTCCCCGCCCTTTCCATTTCCCCTTTAACCGTGCAAAGAAGTTAGAGTGATCCTTGGGCTCTGGGGAATCAGTCGCAAAAGCACCTGAAGAGGCACCTGAAGGACCACCTGAAGGACCATCCCTTGTTTCAGGATCAGTGTCAGCATCAGTGGGGCTCGCACCAGCAGCGACTGCGGCAGTAGCAGCTATAGCACTGGCATGTGAAGCATCAAGAGCAGCCGAGTGCAGGCTCCCTTCGTCCGCCTGTTGCCGCCTCTCCCATGTGGCTGCGCCAGGGGTTCTTGGTTGGCCTCCCATGGGCTCCACTCGCACGATGAAGCGGTAGTCCGGCAGCTCGTGAAGCTGGTCAGGCTGTTGGATGAGAGGGGTGCGCAGACATGAGGGGCGCAGGGAGGAGAAACGGGAGGAAGCTGGCCTCCTGCCACTCCCCTGAGTATCTCTGGCCAGCAGCGCACGCATGGGCTCCACTCGCACGATGAAGCCGTAGTCCGGCAGCTCGTGAAGCTGGTCAGGCTGCAGGGTGTGGGGGGTAGACAGGAGGGGAGCAGGAAGAACCCAGGGAGCAGGGTAAATCTGGCAGGCTTTCTTGGGGGCCTCAGGCTGGTATAACACGGGCTCCACTTGAACAATGAAGCAGTAGTACGGCAGCTGGTGAAGCTGGTCAGTGAGAAGAGAACAAAGGGAGCGGGATGAACCTGGCACCCCTTCTCTCTTGTCACTCCCTTGAGCATCTGTGGTTCGGCTCTACCGGCACACACGCATGGGCTCCACTCGCACGATGAAACGGTAGTCTGGCAGCTCGTGAAGCTGGTCAGGCTGCAGGGCGAAGGGGGCAGAAAATGGGAAGCGACAGCAGTTACAAACTACGGGGGAAAAGGCCAGATGCAGACAAGCGTGGAATTGCAGAGGAGGAAAGGTGAACCCACCGATGGCATTTCACACTGATGACGGATTGAGGCTGTTCGCCAGCCCACCATCTCTGCACGAAAGGGGGGAAGGAGGCAACAGCAGCAACGGCAGCAACGGCAGCAATGGCAGCAACGGGAGGACCGACGGGAAGCCTTTGAGTTGACTCAAAAGCCACCCCATTTCACACTGGTGACGGTTCGAAAGATGGGGGCAGGTGGATATATGAGGAAGTTCTAAGGGACGAAAGGTGCGAGTGGCAGGGGAAGGCAGCAACGCAGAAAAGAGGGCAGTGAAAGACAGCGGCAGCAAAGGCAAGGAAAGAGGATGGCTAACGCTCAGTTGCATTGCACGCGGCAGGGACACAGAGGAGTTGCAGCAGACGAGGGGACGAAGGAACGCAAAGGGAGAGGTTCCAAGGAAAGGGAGGAATGCTCACGATCCCCGGACACATTGGCGTACGCAGCTCTGTGCTTGAAAGCGGCGAGTGCAGACCTTGGGGGGGGGGAGGGGAAGGGTTTGGGGGGTGGGTTGGGGAGAGGAGGCGATTGAACAGGATCTGAACGGACGAATGGCAAGGGGAGAGAATATGGATTCGACCTCCGGCCACATTGGCGTACGCAGCTTTGTGCTTGAAAGCGACGAGTGCAGAACTGCAGATGGAGAAGGGGAAGGTTGGGCGATTTGGTAACCAGGAGTGAGCCCGTATTGAGCACTGAAGGTGATGAAATCCACCAGTTCACGATGGTCTATCAGGGGTCTTAGCAACAGCAGGTCCCATATTCTTGAGGCGCCTTTGAACAAGGAAATAGAGGAGAAGGAACGGGAACCGTACAGGAATGGGCCTTCCTCGTTGTCGGTAGTCATTTGAAGCAGCAACGGTACTTTTAAGGCACCTAAAAAGTAATAGGGAACCACAAACGTACAGGAATGGGCCTTCCTCATTGTCGGTAGTCATTCGAAGCAGCAGCGGTAGATGCTGCTTGACCTTTGCACTCTTGACGCCTTTCTCTGCCACCTCCTCTGCACCCGCCTCTGCTGCTGCCGCCCTGTTGACGTCAACCATACTGCTTCCCAGCCGGTGCAGTCGCACCATCCTGTGCTGCTGCTGCTGCTTCCCAGTCGTTCTCTTCCTGACGCCTTCGGTTTCTATACAGCCCAAATCGGGCCCACTCCCCACAGCAACAGCAGCAGCAGCAGCAGCAGCAGCAGCAGTTGGTTTGGCAGAAACGTCAGCAAGCAGAAGACCAGATTCAACAGAGGAGGAGGAAGGGAAAGGACCATCTATGGCAACAGGGGGTTTCACGTCAGAGGGGTCGTTTGAAGGGTCAGCACCGGTGAGACCCGTAGGAGGGTCGGTATTGGTGGTGTCTCCTGGAGTGCTGCCAGTCGTGGTGTCCAAAGTAGGGTCCGCATTGGCAGTGTCCCAATGAGCGTCACCATTGGAGGAATCCACTTGAGGGTCGACGTCTGTGAGAAAGAGGTGGCGGGCAGAGCGACCGAGGAAGAGCGGGGCGAGGGGGACGGACGCCCGCTCAAAGAGACTCACTCGCAGCAGAAACGGCAGCTGGGGTGTACGATGTGGGCGGGGGGAGCAAGGGGGGGAGGACAGAAGAAACGGGAGACAAGGGGGGGAGGACAGATGAAACGGGAGACAAGGGGGGGAGGACAGATGAAACGGGAGACAAGGGGGGGAGGACAGATGAAACGGGAGACAAGGGAGGGAGGACAGATGAAACGGGAGACAAGGGGGGGAGGACAGATGAAACGGGAGACAAGGGGGGGAGGACAGATGAAACGGGAGACAAGGGGGGGAGGACAGATGAAACGGGAGACAAGGGGGGGAGGACAGATGAAACGGGAGACAAGGGGGGGAGGACAGCTGAAACGGGAGACAAGGGCGGGAGGACAGATGAAACGGGAGACAAGGGGGGGAGGACAGATGAAACGGGAGACAAGGGGGGGAGGACAGATGAAACGGGAGACAAGGGGGGGAGGACAGATGAAACGGGAGACAAGGGGGGGAGGACAGATGAAACGGGAGACAATGGGGGGAGGACAGATGAAACGGGAGACAAGGGGGGGAGGACAGATGAAACGGGAGACAAGGGGGGGAGGACAGCTGAAACGGGAGACAAGGGCGGGAGGACAGATGAAACGGGAGACAAGGCCGACAATGGTGAAAACTAGGGGGTGGGGAGCGAGGGGGATGGGCGCCCTTTTGAATCGAATCACTATGAGCAGCAAGGGCAGGTGGGATTCATGGCGATGGGAAGAATGCGGGGAGGGAGGGGTGAAACGGAGGATGGAGAGAGAAAGGAGTGCGGGGAGAGGGCGTGTGAAAGGGAATGAGAGGCTACGTGTTTAGCCTGTAAAACGACCTCCACTGAGTGTAATGAGTCGATTTTTGAGTCGACTCAAAAATCGACTCATTACACACGGATTATACACTTTTGAGTCGACTAAAAAATCGACTAATTACACGAGGGGGTGTCAAAGGGAATGAGAGGCTACGTGTTTAGCCTGTAAAACGACCTCCACTGAACACACAGCCTGTACAATCCAGAACCCACACACAGAGCCTGATCCCACATCACCGAGAACTCCCCTCTGCCCTCAGAAGGATCCGTCAAGAGCCTACAAGAAAGAGGAAAGCTGGGTTTCCCTTACATGGCCTTTTCCACGGGAGCCTAGGTGCGGCGATGCGAGTGTGATAAAGTTCATCGGCTCTAGCCCGGCTATGCGTGGCCCTTGGTACTCCCCTCCCTCCTCTTCCTCCTCACCCTCCTCCTTCTCCTCCTCCTCCTCCTCACCCTCCTCCTCCTCGTCGTCCTCCTCCTCCATTCCGCGACCGCCATCAATGCTTCTGCTTGTTATTTCTGCCGCCGATTCGTCTTCGCCTTCTGCTGCTGCAGCTTCCCCTTCCGATTTATGTGGCTGCCCCTGTCCCTGCCCCTGCCCCTGGCCCTTCTGCTCCTCTTCCTGCTTATGGCCCTTGTGCTGCTCCTCCTCCTCCTCTTCCTCCTCATCCTCCGCATCTAGACTGAGCATTGGGGGAAAGACCGAATCCGGCAGCTGCGGCTGCTCCTCCTGCTGCCGAAGGACATCCAGAGCCGACAAGCTCGGCGATCTGGGCAGGAAATCGGCTGGCAGGAAATCGGCTGGCAGGGGCGGCTGGGAAGGTAGCGAGGAGGTGGAGGCGCATGTGGGGAAGGTGGTATCTGGCGACGCCTCCTCTGGTGGAGGTGGACATGAGGAGGTCGAGCAGCAGTCTTCGTCTGCGTGCGATTGTCGGCTTGATTGATCGCTTAACTGGTTGCTCCGGGGTGCAGGAGGTGAAGCAGACGCCAAGGAAGCAGTCGTGCTGGTGTGCTCTGTGCTCCTCGCACACCCTGTGTTATCCGTCCTATTTTTACTAACTATGGGATCTGTGGAACCTGCATGGCCTCTGGCGTGATGTGAGGGCGGCTCATGGCCCCTAGTATCGTCCGTGGGAGGTTGGCAGGCGGGGGCGTACATCTGGGCGATGGCGTAGCGCGAGAGAACGCCACCAAGCGAGTGAGCGATGAAGGAGATCCGCCGCAGCTGTGGATTCTTGCGAATCACCTGGCGCACCTGAGAGGGAAGCACACGGGAAGGACATCGGAGTACATTGCTAGACACTGCCAACGTTCTGGGCGCCTCAAGATGCGTTCAGAAAGCGATGAAGGAGATCCGCCGGAGCTGCGGGTTCTTGCGAATCACCTAGAGCACCTGAGAGGGGAGCATACGGGAAGAACATTCGAGTAACGTGAGACCCTGACAACGGTTCGGGCGCTGCAAGATGCCCTCGGTGTGCGATCAAGTAGATTCGCTAAAGCTGGGGATTCTGGCGAATCACATGTGCACCTAGGTGGGATGGGTGAACCACAGCCTGCCATGACGAGGTGCTGTCTGCGGCATGGTGCATCACACGAACCTGTACAGACAGAGGGAACCTGCTGCCGCTACATAGGTGACTGACCTCTTCTGCTAGGCGGATGCCAACGACGTGAGACGGTCTTTCACACGACCCAGATACTTACCTCGTCTGCCAGGCGGTTGCCAACGACATCCACGCCGTCCACTGTTCTCCTCAGAGACTCGCAGCCTGCCATGCCATGGCATCGTTACGCACAGGGTGCAATTGCACGGGGTGAACGCTTGCAGGAAACTTCAGTGCTCCAATTTGTAGTAGACTCTGCAGTCGGACTCAGAACATCCCATGTTTGTCAGATTCTAGTCAGTCCAGAAACAAAGTTGTTGCATACCGTCCGTCGCTAGCCAGTGAAGAATATTGAGCCCTGGCCTTTGCCGGCAGAACAGTTAGTTTCCCCAGACTATAATATTCATGCACTAGTTAATCTATCCAGTCTACTCAGAAGCCATGCCATCACGTACTGTGCACTAGTAGGTGGGGATCCCCGTGCGCCTCTAGTTGCGACTTGGTGTAGGTCCAGTTCATGGGGCTGCATGCATGCGAGGGAGAACACATGGCAAGGCAGGGATGATTATTGACTCGACTAGAAAATCTCCTCTAGTTGCGACGTGGTGTAGGGCCAATTCATGGGGCTGCATGCACGGGAGGGTACACGAAAAGGCAGGGTTGCGCGGAGCAAGACAGTGTTAGGTGAAAAAATCTGACTTTTGAATCGACTCAAAAGACAGGGATGCGCGGAGCAAGACAGTGTTAGTTGAAAACATCTGGTTCGCGACAAAATTTCTTACGGCAAGCCAGCGGCATTGCTCGTGGGATCGCCTCAGTCGTCTCAAGAGTTATGGTCCGGCCTCTCTGCTAACAAGAACGACCAGGTGGGCCTTGTCAGTGGATTCGAGCGTTACCTTCCGGCCACTCCGTTGACGAGAACGACCAGGTGGTCCTTGACCGCTGTCTTCCTATCGACTGCTTTCTGCTTTCCCCTTGTCTCCTTCGCTCCCTTCGTTCCATTCGTTCTTGGCGACGCTTTCGCCGTGCGACGGGTCCATGCGAAGGCCGTGTTGCTGCCGTTGCCTTTGACCCCGAATCCACCTTTCTTTGGCGGCGCGACGAGTTTCGCTTCACCTGATGCTCCAGGGATTGCGGCAGTCATGGTTGCGTAAAATAATAATACCAGATTTCTCTATATTCCCTACGTCACTACCCCGTTCACTAACAGTGAAAACCACCCAGCTTGTGCGGAAAATGGATCTCCTTGCTCTTCATTGCTTGTTACGGGAGCCAGACTTCAAGTTCAGATTCTCAAGCTCCCTTTCTTGGGAATCTCCTCACTCTCAGGAATGCCATGGGATGGAGGCAAGCTGGGGTGTCTCGCGCCTAGTCGGGTCGGCGGTGGAACTTCGGTGTGATTCATGATGTTGGCGCAGGAGGCATGGCGGGTGCACCGACAAGGAAATTCGCTCTAACGATTTGTGACATGAGAAGGACAATACCGTGCTAATCGGATTGCAGATAGTCTAGTAGTGTAAAAAACATAGAATATCACAACGTGACTTCATTTGATTTAATCATTAACACCTACTTTGATTTGCGCTTCTATATGCAATAGTGTTTATTTGTAAACAAATTCGGTATTGGACAGTAAAATTATAGCATAAATAAGCCAAGAGAGAACAGTGGCGAATTCACGTACCTGAAAACTTCCCATGTGTTGCAGCACAAATTTACAAGCAGTTACACCGCATCAAAATGAACCCGTTTTCATTGTGGGGAACATCACAATTTGAAACACCAGCCTTTTTCGGTAATGTCTGCGCATGGGCTGAACATAGAAGTCTTGAGCCTCTTTGTGTCAAACATATCTTTGTATGTTGTTATAGACTATATAGGGTTGTGCCTTAGAGAGTACAGCCCACTAGGTTATATTCCCTTGTATCCCACCTTTCTAGTCATTCGTTAACTTTGATATGGTATCCGAGCAGGCTGCCCTTCCCGGGCCTGCTCCCCACGCTTCCGCCACGTACTCGTTCTCCTGCTGTCGCCATTTCCGTGATGCCGTGGCGATCATGCGGAGCTGCCATGGCGGCTTTGTGGTGCTGCCGTTGCGTTCCGACGTGCCGCCGCGGCATCGACGCCGCGCTGTGGCGGCGTCGTAATGCTGCAGTGGCAACGTCGTCGGGCGCCAGCCGGCCGCGCAACGTCTGAGGCGCCGCCAGACCTGACGCCCGCACGCTAGCCACGGGCGTGATGCGGGACCACGCCGCGCCCCCCTTCCCCTGCTTCCCCTCTTCCTCGCCGCAGCCGGCGGCTGACTCCCGCCGTCGTCCCATCGTCGCGGAGCGTGGCCACGTCGCCGACTGCTGCGAGCTCCGCCGCCGTCACCGCCGCAGTCGTCGAAGCCGCCGCCGTCGCCGATGTTGCCGCTTACTTTGTACTCTCTACTTCTACAAAAAGCTCGTGCTTCACTGTCCTACACTAAAGCCTCATGCACTGGAAGCAACTGTTGAAATGAACAACGTGTTTAGGGTGACGAGGATCTAGAGTTGGTAGGGTGGCTATGATATAGAGTTGGTGGAACTAAGAGTAAAAAGTCAGCTAAAGACTTCGCAAAACAACCTTAGCTGCTCCTCCTCGATGGCTGAGAATTTTGAACTTGATGTTCAAACTCTCACCAGTGCATAATTTTCACCAATTTACCGGCACTATTTGGTATGGGAATTCATTTCCAAGTCGGGATGTGTGCACGGACCACGCTGACAGTGGAGCCGTGTTATGAGTGTTTCACCAGAGTAGCGCGGAATCGAATGTCGAGGTTCAAAATAACTAAATGTGGTACAATGGAATGACGAAACAAGATATAGGAACACCATCGCAATCCTAGCCGCGTGATCAAACAGGTTCGTAGAAGGCATCCGAGGACGCGGAGCGCTTCGGAGTTACGCGGAATGGTTCGGCGTGGCGTGTACGGGCCGAAGCTAGGGCAGGTGTCCGTGCCGTGTGGGGTTGGGGTACGCGTTAGCGGTGTGGTGCGCTAAGGAATGGAAAATTCTTTACACTACCCCCCCTCTAGCGAATGTGGTCTATATTTGCGACGTGCTTGCGGGATAAATAATCCCGGAGTACAGTAGGTGACTGTACTTGTACCGAGGGAACCCACATGTCGTCCTCGCTGGTACGATGGGCCCATCGTATCAGAAAGTCAACGTCTTGTTCCTGACCGTTGATTCTTACGCGGTGGCTCAGAATCTTCGCTGGTTCAATGAGTGTCTCTTCGGCTGGCCGTAGATCCTGGGCGATCGGCTGTCGGGCGATGGTTGACGTATCGGCGACAAAAAGACGAAGGCGACTGACGTGGAAGGAATTGTGAATTTTCCAATCATTGGGCAGGCGCAGTTGGGTGGTCACTTGCGTGTGCATTTTGATGATCTTGAAAGGTCCACAATAGCGGGGTTGAAGTTTTGACGGTATCTGCAGGCGAAGGTTTTGGTGTCGAGGAGGACTAGATTTTCCTGCAGTCAAGGGAATATCTCGTCTGTGGCGATCGGCGTATTGGCAAGCAATGACATTGGCTTTTCTGGTAAATTTGATGGCTGTCGTGCGGGCGGTTTGAAGGTCTTCGAGAAACTGCTGCGAGCGGGGGACTTGGCTTTCGACGTTGGTGGAAATATAGTAGGTACAGTCGGATCCATCCCGTGATTCAGGAAAAAGGGCGAATGATTGGTCGTGGTGGAGGGTGCGTTGTTGTAGGAAAACTCAAGCATGGGTAGCGAATCTTATCATTTGCTGATATCTGGGCATTTCGTGCGAATCAATTGTTCCATGGTCTGATTCGTCCGTTCTGTCTGACCGTTGGTTCACGGGTGATAGGCGGATGAGAACTATAGGCAAGTGCCATGTCGGTTCCACGTGTCTTTCCAGAAGCGCGAGGTACATTTTGGGTCTCAGTCGCTAATGATCGCCGTGGGCATACAATGCAAGCGAACGACGATCGAGATGAACAGTCGTGCGGTATCTCGGTTGTGATCATCGTACGACATGGCGCAAAGTGAGCCATTTTTGTGAGGCGGTCGACGATGACAAGAACCGCGTCGTTACCACTTGGTCTGGCCGGCAGGCTGGTGACAAAATCCATTATCACCAAGGTCGCTTGGGTGGTTCGAGGGGCTGCAATAGTCCTGCTGACAGCTGGGTGATGATTTCATCATCTTGCAGGTCGGACACGCGCCCACACACTTCTACACGTCCGAAATCATGTCCGACCATTAATAAAACCGTTGTAGTGCCTTCAGAGTCTTGTCAACCACGAAATGTCCCGATAAGTTTGAATCGTGGACTTCTTGAATTAGTAATCCTTGAAGGAGCTGATAACTCGGAACGCAAATTCGTTCCGTCCCCGCTTTTACATAATAGGCTCCCCGTGCAGTCGTGACTTGCTGGTGGACGTTGTTTACGAAAAAAGGATTGGTCGAATATCCGTTGGTAAATAGTCCGCTCAGCAATGGGTCCGTCTGGGCGATTAGTACAGCGACGGTTTGGGCAGATGTTCCAGAGAGGGTGTCAGCAATGTTGTTGGCACCCTTCTTGTACATGATGCGATACGTGAAGTTCGACTCCAGATAATCCAACCAGCGAATATGCCGCAGGTTGAGATTCGGCTGCGCACGCAGGTACTGTAGGGATTTGTGATATGTTCGTATAGTCACGTCGGCTCCCGTCAGGTAGCATTGCCAGATCTTGAACGCGTGCACGATCGCCATCATTTTTTTGTCGTGTACGGGATAATTTCGCTTGCCGACTGTAACTTTCGCGACTCGTACGCTATTGGCTGAAGGTCGTCCCCAAATTCTGTAGTAGGACTGCTCTGATGGCGATGTCACTTGCATAAGTCACGCCTTCGAACGGTCGTACTGGGTCAGCAATCCAAAGTACTGGTGGCGAGATAAAAATGTGTTTTAATCCGTCAAATGCAGCTTGCTGCTTCTCCCCCCACCGATAAACATCACCCTTATGAAGCAGGTCAGTTTGTGCTCCAGTTAACCCCGCCATGTTGGGTATAAACCGGCGCACATAATTGACGAACCCCAAAATTGATTGCAACTCATGGAGGTTGGTCGGCGGCTTCCATTCCTGAATCGCCCGAATTTGCGGGGGTCAATCTTCATGCCCTCCGGCGAAATAACGTGCCCCAAAAACTCCAGTTTGGGTTTCAAAAACTCGCACTAAAAGCCTTTGATGATGAGACGATTGTGCGGCATGTGCTGAAAAACCGCTTCCAGGTCCTTTAAGTGCTGCTCCCGTGTTGTGTTGTAAATCAGGATATCGTTCAGATAAATGATCACACATTTATCGAGTAAATCCCAGAATACCCCGTTCATCATCAGTCGGAACGTCGAGGGGGAATCCGTTAACCCGAACGGCATGACAGTGTATTCGTAACTCCTGTTTCGAGAATGAAACGCGGTCTTGTGGCAGTCGTCCTGCAGCTCGGGTTGCGTCAGCCGCCACTGTGTCCAGACAGTTGGTTGCACGCGAGGTTCGAGTTTGATGTGATGGTCCTGAAGGCGTTCTGGTGGTAGGCCAGGTGGCAAGTCGTCAGAAAAAATATATGGGAATTGACGAATCAATTTTGCCAGATCTTCGAGGACTGCTGCGCAGAGGTTTTCGATGTCGGCCGATTGATCGTCGTCCGTTGATTCCGTCAGATGGACGGCGTACAGTTCCGCGCCTTTCTTGACCGCGCGTGTCAGCGTCATAGTGTTGATGCGTGTCGTTATCGGCTCTGCTCCTCGCCAACTTGGCAGTGTCTGCCGACCAGTCACACAGTTCACTGTGCATTCGCCTGTCATCCCATCGATCTGCGGGTTGTGTCGCCGAAGCCAATCTCGTCCCAGTAGCACATCGTAGCCGTCGAGTGTAGTCGCCAGCATCGGCGCGCTGAAGCCAAAATTGTCACCACACTTCATGCGAACAGTTCGCACGCGATCGCGTATCGCTAGTGGGGTGCCGTCGACCAATCGGGCGTCGATCTCGGGTAGACACCGCTCTAGGGGTAAATTTATTATTTTCGTCATCGGTCGGTGAATCGGGCTGTGGCTCGCACCACCATCGATGAAGATTTTTATTTTTTTGCTGTTAACCCTTCCTTCTACCAGCATAGGGTGATCCTCAGGTTCATCCCTGTTATTCGTCCGAGAGCGGTCGATAGCATGTACCGGTACCACTACCCAGTGGAGATGCTGTTTCTCGGGCGATGCAGCCCTGTCAGCAGGGGGCCCGTCTGCTACTGACGAGAGTCGTTTCCTGGCTTATCCCCATCGTTGTTTTTCCTCTGCTTCCGGTC